CCTGTTCCCCACCCCAAAAATAATGACATGTCATGCGGGCACAACTTCTAACTGACGGGCACAACTTCTAACTGACGGGCACAACTTCTAACTGACGGGCACGTACCATCACGAAACACTGCCTACAGTGAGCGAAATGAACATAAACGCGCCCTGACAGGCAGTTTTACGCTCTCCCCCATGCGCGCCGACAGCGGTCCGGAAGGAAAAACAAGGTTTACCGCAAATGTCAGCAAATAGACCCAGCATTTGATTCACAGGGAATTTCTGTCCGTCTGGAAACTTGATCAGTTTATGAATCTTTTGTGCAAAAATTGATTTTAATGTCTGGAAAAGAAAGAACATCAATGTTTAGTTGATGCATGATCTCCATAACTTGTTTTTTTTTGGATTGCGAATTAGAACCTCTGCAATTAAGCGTTGCCATGCGCCATTGGATACATAAGGTTTTTTATTGTCAGCATGTTGTCGGGTTGGTTGAAATCTTGTTACAAGAGGTGTATAAAAAGGCATTCTTTGTTTTTCATGTGTGACTATTTTTTTGTGTTGGAAGCTGACCAGTCGAGTTTTCTTCTGATGGCAATGGTCACGCCTTCGCCTTTGGAAACCTCGTCGGTTTTGGCCTTGGCCAGCAGGGTAGGTTCCTGGGTTGCGGGATCCAGCAAAGAGGTTGCAACCAAATTCCTCAATGCTGCGTTGCCATTTTGTTTTCTTAGTCGCCAATGTCTGCGGTTGTTTCCCCGAAGGGTTTCCCACTGTTCGTACCTAGCTTACACAGAAGTTTTGGACGAAACCTGAATGTATGAAAAGTGCCTAAAAGAGTCAAAAAACTGGAATTTGCACTAACGTGGCACCTGCCATGCACGTATCAATATTTGACCTTTACATGGATTTTGGTTTGTGTCCAACGTTAGTTTGGGGAGAGTAATAGAAAGTGCAGTTAGCATCGCAGCCCGCAACTGTTTTACCTGCCGCAAAACATGGACCATGAATTTCTGGGTGATTCTTTGGGCGCATTGTACAGATCATCGAAAGGTCCTGCGAGACAACGCATCTCACTCAAGACGATCATGGTCCTAGTCATGACACAACTGAGCATCCTAACGTGTTTGGGCCTGCAGGCTGGAAGATGTGTAGCAAAACTCTCGCATACTCTTACCATGCCATTTGTTTTGTCGAAAGGATGCCACCTTGGTAGCATAGTTTCGATGTTGGAGTTTGTTGGCCAGTCGATGTCGTAGCAGTTGTTCTATGTGTGATTTTGTTCTGCAAGTCTTTCCAAAGTTAGCAGCTGCATTAAATGCAGAACTGGAACCTCCAATGAACCTCCCATGTTCATCATTTCCGTAGTCTTTATCGTACGTTTTGGAGCTGCATCTTTGTGTTCGCTACCGGTAGCAGAAACCATGTGGATGATGTTTCAGGCAACGGGGCACCCGTAAAAAAATCACCTGCCTTCGACTTCTCTTCATGGGGGGATTCACCCCAAAAAAAAACTTTTAGGGATAACTGGTTGGTGGTTGAGCCACCCCTCTGAAAAATATGAGTTCGTCAGTATTATTCCCAATATATGGAAAAAAATATGCCAAACCACCAACCAGGATAATGTATGATTCATACGATCATGTTTAGAATCCATTTTGCTGAAATTGTACAAAATTATTGGGTTCACGTATGTTCACGTGCCATGATTCAGGCAATTCAGGCCCGCGTGGCGCCGCGTGAAACACCGGCGCCACGAAGATTTTTAGGCAACGATGTGTTTGGAGATTTGACCGAAGTTTGAAGGAAAATGACGTGATTCGTAGCACTCTTTCATTGCGCCGAGTTGATCCAAAAAATCAAGCAATGAAAAAAGGTTTGACCCGACCGTGCATCTCACAGCGGATCTCCTTTTCTTGCAAGAGACTCGCTGCCAAATTCGCGAAGGCATCCAGTGATCGCACTGACGAGCAGCATTTCGAAGTTAGCACGTGACGTTTTCCATCGCATTCCTATTCGTGAAGAATGTGCTGGAGCATCTTTATTTGCCTTGACAACTTGTGTGATCTTCACTGCAGAGCAGCGGCGACCGGAGAAATTCCAAGCGGCATGGTTTACGCAGCTTACACTTTGTCGATGTTGCGAAGCAGGGTGATGTGTTGACTTTGTGGCCAGCAACGATCAAGGTTTCTCAATTTGCGAGCATGTAGGGGGTACCGCCGCCGAAGGTGCGCTTCAGGGTGAAGGCTGCGTCTAGTCAGAAAGGGCGTTGAACTAGCACAAAGGCTTGTAGATAGGTACTAAAGGAAGATAGGTACTAAATGAAATACAAGGGATACCTGCAGCAGGTAGGATTTGATTGGAACACTAGTGCTTGCTGCACAAGACTGTGCTATTGTACAACTGGATGCTTCTAGTTTAAGGCTGCCGCAAACATGTATCACTTGGCACATAGCCAGTATAGTTGGTACCAAAACAATGGCTTCATCTAGTGATGTTTGAGGCGGAACAGGATTCACAGGATTCCGAGGCACAACCCCAAAATGGCAATATGGTGAACGGATGATATCACATAAACAATCATAAACAGAGGATTTAGGGATTCCTATTTTCGGATTTAAACCATCTTAAAAGCCATGTATTGCAATTGCTAGTGGGAAGGGAGTGCAAAAAAACAACTGTATCCTGGCCAGACCCAAAGGATGGCTTCGGAGATTCTTTGTGCGCTGGAAAGTTAACAGGACACCACAAGGTGGTGCCCCATAGTTAGCTAAGTTGGTTTATAAGTCCCATAACTATGGTTTATGGCAGATATAACTATAGTTCATGGGGTTTATAAACCAACTTATAACTGGGGGGCACCATCCTGCAGGACCATTCCGCCAATTATTTCAACTTGAAAGCCGCAAGATAATTTTGTGGATCAGACGCGATCGTTTCGCATCACAATCGAACAGATTCTGCGCATGGGTGCGACACATGCGACGACTCCGAGACTTTTGTTTGGCGATTGGGGTCAAATGTGATGTTACGAGAGGTGAGTTGGTTGACAGTTCCAAGGAAGTGTGAACAGTTGGTTGACTGTGATTGTGTCTATAGAATTTTCATGATTCCCCAAGTAGGAATACACGATGGAATTGGGCATCACAATTCCCACATCTGGTTATATTCAGTAATAAAAAACAGTGATAATCTATGATAATCTGATAGCCTGTGAAATAAGCAGATATTTGGTTCCCATCAATGCTTTATTCAAGTCTCCAAGGACCGTTTCCGATGGCCAAGGGCAAATGTTTTGAAAAAACACCCCATGTTCCAAGCAGAGGTTGCTGTTGTTTTGTTGTTGCTATTTGATGCTCAGATTTCTCGTTGTTCTTTTCCATTTTGGAGAAGCTTGGAATTCCCCTCTGGTAAATTAACACAGCTATGGAAAATTATAGAACATGATCATCACAGCAAAATCAACTATAAATGGCCAATCTTTCAATAGCCGTGTTAAATTACCAGAGGTACCATCTGGTTATTTAACATAGCCATGGAAAATGACCCATTTATAGATGATTTACCTATTGAAACCTCCATTTATGAGGGATTTTCCATGGCTATGTTAAATTACCAGAGGGTAACTCAGCTAAATTTGGACAGTGACGTACGAGTTGGCTGCCTTCCTCGCGGCGCTTCGCGGTGCTCTTTCTGGTTCTGTTGCTGTTTCCACAGGTTTCCGATTTCCGGTGTTTTTTGTTCTAAGAAAATCTGAATCCCAAGCTGAAAGTGCTGATTTGCAACCATGGTTTGTTATATGTTCAGATATTTTCTGATGCTTTCAATTGCTGCAAGTAGACACTTGGCATGCACTATGCCGGGTGTTTCACCGGTGGAACCATCAGTTGCTCTGGGAGGCTCGTTGTTTCAACGTTGCGCAGTTCGCAGTTCGCATCACTCCGCTCGTTTCACACATCGGCTCGTTGCGTTTGCGAAGATTCGCCAGGTGAATCCCCATCACCCCAAACGCGACTTTTTTGCGAAGCCATGCGAAGCCAGTGCAATACCAACTGTGTTGGAGATGTCACATCCCCAAATCGGGATGTAGAAGTCACCACCAATCAGTATAAACAATAGCAAAATATATACCAAACACCTATTTTTTGAATGTTCAATATCAGTGAGTCTGTGAGTCTGAAGGAAATCTTGCAGGAAACTTGGGATTTCCCAACCACAAAAAAACGAAAGTCCTAAAAGAATTTCTAAGCAAATTCTGGCAATATGATGAGACGTCGACTTGGAAGTCGTATCACATGCCCACATCTCAGCTTTCAAGTAGTTTCCAGCCATCTGCCGGGAACTGAGAGACGTCACTTCTACCGAACGCCCCGCAGCTTCTATCAGTCTCTCTCTCTCTCTCGCGATCGCGGGATCCGCGGAACACTCACAAGACCACATGCCTGGCGATGGGATTCCATGTGGCAGTGTGTCAAAACCTTGTACCCCTGGTGAACATCAAAATAGCTGGTAAATGGATGTTCATCCCACTAAAAATGGTATTAATATGTATTAATAGGTATTGATCCATACCCATGTGATTCCATGATTCCTGATGGAATGAGACGATCCCATGGGCCTCCATGACCAACATGGGATGCGGCTTGATGCGGCTTGACTCATAAAATCACCATGGACGCCGGACCAAAACGTACGTGGTATACGCTGGTAGGTGTCTACCCCGAATCCGCGTATTTTCACCAGCATATTCTCCATAAAATTTTGAGGCTTCAACTATTATTAGAGACACACCAAGATCATTAAATATTGGAGAAACCATGACAAACTCATCTCATATGGCTATGGGTCAATACCTATAGATACATTACAATAGTGGGATGAACATCCATAAATCCCAGCTATTTTGGGGTTCACTAGGTACCAGGGTTTTGACTCATACCCATATATTCTTATGGTAATCATATAGTCGTTGATGTGATATTCATCCGACTCTCTTCCCACAACAGCGTCAGGCGTACGTGGCGGCTCCTGCTTCACCTGGCTCCTCGCCAAGAGATTGCAGATGCAAAAGGCACCAAACTGTTTCTCTATCCATATATTGTGTATATTATATATATATGATATATATGTTTATATTATATATATGATTATATAATATATATATATATGAATGATTATATTATATATATATGATTATATATATTTATATATTTATTGTTATATATGATAGATACGACTTCGTCATGTTCATTTCCCATTTCATTTACCAGATTCCCATCGACTCCCCAAAAAATTGTTCCCCGATTCCATCAGAAATCGATCACATTTTTGTGGGCAAGTCTTCCGCAGATCAGTGCTACACTCACTTGAAAGGTCCGAGTCTTAAAAGGTTGTCACAGGACATTGTAATTTACCATGTATAATTACCATCATTTAAGGAGTTTTCCAATCAAAGGTTCCCCTGAAATCATCCATTTGAAAAGGATGGTCATGGATTTTAAGGGCTGTTTCCATTGTAAACCATCCAGCGTCTGGTATCCCATGGTAGCCCCATTTCTGGAAACCCCCAGAAGCCCATCCAAGCCCCGTCCTGCACTCGTCGCTTCGGGGGCAGAGGCCGCTCGAAATCATCTTTGCCTCGTGTGGCGATGGCACGACTTTGTCAGACTGTCAAGGCTGGGAATGTCAGGTGGGTCACGAATCGACTTTGTCCAAGGATGAGGTCATTCTACCACAAGTGGCATGGCATCTTTATCCATTTTTTCAGGAAAATCATAAAAGAACAAAAGATATGCATATATGGGTATGGGTCAAAATTAGGTACCCCAAAATTATGGATGGTTAATACTAAACTAGACTAACATCTGTGGTTCCCTAGGTCTTCCATTTTGACCCACATCCATATACATTATTTCAGGCAAAGGATATCAAGAAAGAATTTGGGTGGTATTGGGATACCTTCTTTCCAACAAACCTAAAAATATTCAATCCAGATTAACTATGGGATGGTCCATATACAACAGGGAAATTTCGGCAGTTGTTCACCCATCCAGTTCACCAACATTTCACAAGAACACCGTGGCTTGGAGATGTGTGGCTGGTTTACCTGGTAGTCAACCGTGGCTAGCCGGGACATCCACGAAACTAAATGGAAGAATCATCGAAGTAAATGGTGGATTTTCCATTAATGGGGTTAAAACAATGTCATAAACTACCCATTTTCCTGGGAATGGTAAACATTATCCCACCTATATATTTATGGTGATGACTGAAGGATGGTTTATATGTTTATGGCATTGTTTTAACCACATTACCCTCTGGTAAACTAACATAGCTATTGAAAATGGCCATTTATAGTGGTTTTTCCCATTAAATATGGTGATTTTCCATAGTTATGTTAGTTTACCAGAGGGTAGTCAGACTCACCTGAAAAGGACTTGAAAAACTCACCCGAGTTTGTGACTGAAATGGTCCCATGGTCCTCCGGAATCTTCCAGCCATGCCAAGAAACGAGCCAGGTAGCGTTGAAGTCCCAGCCACAACTGGTAGATATATGTGTATGTATATATTGTATTATTATATTAGTTTTTAACATATTATATTATATTATACTATTTTATTTTATATTATAATATATTATATTATATTATATTATATTGTTTATTGTATCATACTAAACTATACTATATTAATTATATTACATTATATTACATTATATTACATTACATGATTTCAATCACATTACATTGCATTACATTACATTACATTATGTTATATCATATTAGACTAGACTTCTAAAGATACTCCTACAGTTACTTTTCGAACATATTGTATTAGACATTAGACTAGACTTCTATAGATACTCCTATAATTACTTTTCTAATATGGTACTTACACTCATTATACGACTGTATGATATTGTATGATATCGTATACAGCCCTTCAAAAACAAATAATCTCATTTACCCTCTGGTAAACTAACATAGCTATTGAAAATGGCCATTTATAGTGGATTTACCCATGAAAAATGGTGATTTTCCATAGCTATGTTTGTTTACCAGAGGGTAAGCACCATACCCATAGGATCCATGTATGCTATATATGGTAACATTTACCATCAATATACCCCAAATGTTAGCATATATACCATACATGGATCCTATGGGATATATATGGGATATATAAAGCTCTTGTGATTCGGATACCATGGAAAAAAACGAACCCGTCCCGCCTGGCCCCTGCTCAACAATCGCCCCAGGCATCAAATGTCGGTATCCGCGCCTGCGACAGTCGCAAAATGTTGAATGATGAAATCTCCGGTTTTTTGGTCTGAAAAAAGGAAATATCCCAAATAGCAATTGAAATCAATATGGGGGTGGGTCAAAACCTATTATTATCAATTCTAATGGGATGAACATCCATTTACCAGCTATTTTGGGGTTCACTAGGTGCCAGGGTTTTGACCAATAGCCATATCTCGTTGGTGGTGCAATAACCATCTTGAAAAATGATGGAGTTCGTCAATGGGAAGGATTATCCCATGTTCCGAAGCAACAACCAGAATATAGATCATGGAGAAAATGATGATATGATGATGATTCAGCATCCAATTCTTATATATTCTTATAGGCTTTCCCCTCACAAGAAATTCAGGTAACGATTCGTGGATGCTGGAGATTTTGCAGATCAGCATCATCCACGCCATCCTGGATTTTGATGCGAAATCTGCGACTGCTGCGATGGGGAAAAAAGGGCAAACATCCCCAATGAATCACCATGATTGCTGCTTATGAACTCTCCATACCAACTGATAGCTATGCCGAAAAAAACGTCATCATATTGCCATCCATTGCCATTTTTTGCCGCCATCTCGCCTCTATCCCCCATTAACCCCCTCATATTCTCCGCATAGTCGAGGTCAAACTCCATGTTTTGACAGTTCAATCCCTGTATTGCTGCTCCTTAAACAAAAACTAATCATAAAGTTGCAGCAATACGAGTTGGTGGTTGAGCCACCCCTCTGAAAAATCATGGAGTTCGTCAGTTGGGATCATGAAAAATTCCCAACTGAATGGAAAAAAAAAATGTTTGAAACCACCAACCAGTGATTATTAATCATGCTTAACCATCATTAACCATCATTAACCATCATTAACCATCATTATCCTATACTAAACCAACCAGATAAAGTTGCAGCAAGACCTTTTCCATCCTTTCGCCTAGTGGAAAAAACTCCCCGGTTCTTTCAGCCCCCAGAGAGCCCGGCATGAAGTTCTGGTGGCGAAGTTGCTGCATCGGGTTGGAGCCCTCGCGTTTTGACAGAAAAACTTTGGAGTTGCCAATTTCTTCTGAAACTTTTCTGGGATATAAATCATATAAATATGTATAATATATGTATGTATGTATATATTATGGAGGGATATAAATGATATAAATGATATAAATAAATATATATATATATATATTATGGAGGTATATAAATGATATAAATATCTGTATATATATATATTATGTACATAGTACAAGTAATATAAATATAACACAAATCAATCAAAATGATGTGGGTGAAATGGATTGTCCAAAAATGACATGAAGGATTCATCTGATTCATGGTCATTTTTGGAAACATGATCCCAAAATCACCCTGATCTTAGAGATTGACCCATCCAGTTGATCCATGGCGGGAAAACCCAAAAAAAATCTTCATGATCCATATCTCCAAGTTGAAAAACTGGACCAAGTTTTTTTTCAAAATTGGACTGCGGTTTCTCCCAGACTCGATTTGCAAAGAACTCCTTTGGTCCCAAGAAGCCGACTGGGCCAAGACATGCTCACTGTGACCATTCTGGCATCCGGGATCCAATGATCCATTGTTCGCTGGTTAACACCTTGCCAGTTGAAAAAAAAAACACAAAAAATTGTTGGTGGATGAATTCAACCTTTGAAAATGCCTAAAAAATTGTTCAAATCAATTTTTCAAGACATTTCCATGTCTCATGGCCCCTCATACTTTTCATGGTTTTCATACTTTTCATCCAAATTGTTATCGCTGTAATCTCTGGTTGATGCTGTGAATCTCCACTTATGTTGCATAACATCCAGTTTTGGCTGGTCTTTGTTTCCATTTTGCACAATTTATTCATGAGAAATCCATTGAAATTCCATCCGCATCCACCCACCTCCATCGAAAAATCCCTGGTCCGCCTCCCCCTCACTCGTGCGGAGTGCATCATCCAAGACGTCGTCACGGCAGGGTTTCCACCTCCACATTTTTTCGCGTTCCAAATGGGGGATATAACATGGGAACTAATCCCAAAAAATGGCGAAAAAATGTCATGTTATTTCCCCTAATGTTATATCTAATTTTGGGTGTCTGAAAATGTGGTATATATATCTATATATCTATATATATATATACATATATACATATATATATATATATCTATATATCTATATATATCAATATCTATACATATACATATGCGGATTTCCCACCAGTCACCGAATGATCACAAGACCACACTGGAAAGGAAATAAGATCAACCTCTAAAAACCCTGGGCACACTCACGAGCAGGCGCGTAGCTTTTGGACAGCGCTGCTAGAGTTCTGGCCACCACAAAAAGGGGGGCAACAATCCACTTGATCCGTACTGTCACGAGGTACAGGAATCAGATCTGCCATGAGCAAAGTCTTCAAATTATCACGGCTCAAAAATTCTTTCTTGCTCACATGGCAGTGGATTCGAGAGCATAGACACAGTGCAACCAATATGAGTGATCAGCATTCTGACTCACCATCTTCATCGCTCTTTTCTTCCGGGCAGACTGGAAATCCGGATCATACACGATTCGCCATTCCCCTTTTCCCAAAGCTTTGATAAGGGGCTCATGTCTCCAAGGTTTAGTCAAACCATCCGCAAGTTCTTGATCCCCATCGACCCATTTCAAATTAACATTAGCCTGTTTCAACCTTTCTTTAATAGCCAGTAATTCAATAGCAGTACGTTTTTCTTCCATATGTAAACCAGAAGTCTCAACACGAACAATTCCATCAAAAATGTTACGAGCATCACAAACCAAACACGAAAGAAACGAAGAAAGGTAATCATCAGCCCTACGAAGATCCAACCTTTCAGAATGGTCCATGTCCCAGAAACCCAGTTTATTGAACTCATGAATGTCCAACGCATTAGCACTCATTTGGGCTTCAGCACTAGTTGAAGACCTAGCCACCCGTCGCAAACGTCGGCTTGTCCAACTCAACACACAAAAAGGTGTTCGGTGTCCCTTCAAAACATTCTTTTCCATCAAAAGGGTAATCTGACCTCCTTGAGATGACCCGTCTTTTCTGGTAGCCCATGAGGCATCGGTGAAAGTCACAAGAGTCACTTCGCCCATTAAAGGAGGAAAATAAAGCCCTTGATCAAAACGTTTTCTTTGAAGTCTGACAAGTTTGTTTACTGACACCAAGTCACCAACTGTAGCACTCTCGACAGTCCCTTGAAGAATTGAGACAGTAGCCAGCAACCAAGGAGCTGTCTGTGTTGCGCGCCAATTAAGAGCACCTAGTGCCTGTCTCATACTTCTGCGTTCACCATGTGTGATCTCATCAAAACTGTTTTCTCGACGTTCAGTGGTCATAGGTATCTCTTCAATACCAAGTGCAAATCGCTCCTGCTTGACATGGATACCAAAATCATCATTTTGGGTGATTTCACAACCACAATAAGTAAGGGAACCCTCCTGTGCACAAGACCATGAACCAAAAGGATATTTTTCACGTAAACGATTAATAGCAGCAGTGAACTCAGAACCAACCCCGGCACAAAGAACATCATCGACATGAATCCCAAGATAACCACAAATCTCATTGTTTTCATCAATACGCTTAAATAAACATTTGTCAAGAGAATGAACAATCCAACCATCGTCAATGAGGAAACGACTCAGGGAATCATACCATCTTTTGGGGGCATTCAACAAACCATAAATGGCTTTGATGATTCGAATGATTTCATGATCCTTCATACCCAGCATCTGACGAACTTCCGGTGGAGGATATCCATACAATTCATCCTGGGATTCCGTGGCATCACCTTGCAAGAAAGCTGTGCGGATATCTCCTGAACTGAGACGCATGCGACTTCGCGCCGCGCAAGCTAGGAGAAGGTTTCTACCCAAGGAACTCAGAGTTGGTGATTCACGTGGTAAAGTGGTCAAACGTGGATCCTGAAAACCCTTGATAATAAGCCGAGCCTTGGCCTTTTTCTGTTCACCACCAGTTTTCTCATCAGAACCTCCACTCTTCCACGTTAGGACCCAACGCATCTGCATGATACGATCAGCTGGAACTCCATGGGAAGTGCAAATGGCAATGGCTTCACTAGAAAGGAAAGAATCAAGTTCTTTACGCATAGCCTGATCAAACAGTTTCTGATCCTCTTGGCTAAGTTTTCGATAGGTAACTTCAGCACCTTTCTTAGCCTTGGCATTCACAACCCAATTTTCACCCTTCCGGTGGACATCCCGAGGCGCAAGAGCAAGTTCCATTTCTACCACAGTCAAATGATCAACATAATGAACAAAACGATCCATCAACTTTTCACAAGGAGTATCACTCTGAACATGATCATCAACAAACCAGGTAAACAAATCACTAGATTCCATACCATGTTCTACCATGCGACTCAGGCGCGGAATAGGGGATCTGCTTCTTCCACTGGCTCTCAGGTGTCCCTCAGATCTGCCTGCTTCTGGATGAACTGGAGAATCTGACCCATGGTCTCCTCGATGCGAGCCATGCGGTAATGGATTGCTTCGTTCCCCTGACGAAGATCCACCAACTCCTCTTCCAGAATCTCCACCTTGCTCCACTGAGACGTTGTCGTCATCTCTTCCTCGTCCGTCCTGATGTTCAGGTCTTTCGAGAGAGGTGGAAGGCTTCCTTTTTCTGGATTCTCCGATGGAATTGGTTCGGTCTGATACACTTCGGCTTCCAGACGCCGACGCAGGTATGCTGCGTACTGCTTCATGGAGGCTCCGTGATTGCCCTTCTCGGTGATGTGACTGGCTACCCACTTGTTGTAGCCCTTGTCCTTGTAGATCTCGGCGAAGGTGTGGCCCCGGTGGACCTTCCCATCCTGGAGGGTCATCAAGCCCATTTCCGCCAGAGTCATCGTTTCGGAGGCTCCCTGCTTCTCGATTGCGTCCTTGGTCTCTTTCATATTCAAAAGGTCCTTGAGGTCTGTCTTCGCCATGGTCAATTGGATCACCGATGTGTTCCTGATCTTGGCACTTTTCCTTCCTAAGTTCCTTGAGAGGGCGCTTGCCCCACGCACGGAGATGGGGTTTGAATTCTTCTGGTGTTGCATCATAGGGCATGAAAGTCAGATCATCTTGGCTGATATCCAAATATTTTTGCTGTTGGGAAATTTGTTCCAACAGAGTATGGAAGTTTTGAGGTCCATTAATTTCACGATCCGCTTGTCTCAAGTCAAAAGTCACATGTCTCAGTTGCTCCGGAGAACATCGTATGATCCTACCCGCATGGGCAATCCAAACAACAGATCCCGCGTGTTGACTGTCATCATAGGAACTGGTTTTCTCATGAGCAAGGACTCTTGCGGGACCATGCCACACACCCCCAAAACGATTGTTGGGACCCCGACCCTTGGAAGGTTGAACACGATAATAGTAAACCAAATCACCAACCGTGAACTCACGCAAGGGTCGACTACGTGTGTGCAGTGCCTTGTTGAAACGGCGTTTGGCATCAACCTCCAAAAACAGCCTTTTTGCCTTTTCTTCATTTGCAACATTTTCTTCAAAAGTCCAGTCCTCTCTGGCCGTCATCAAGGGAAGGTTTTCATACTGTTGAAGAAAAGAACCAATACGTGAATGATTTTGACCAAAAGCCCGCTGATTTGGTGAGTACCCACGAACATTGTGCATGTTATTTTTGGCGTTCAAACAAACACTCAAAATTTCTTGGGTGGTCATTCCAGTTCCCACATCCATGGCCAAAAGGTTCATCTGTTCTTTGAGTGTATGCAAGTGCCTACTGTGCTTTCCCAACTGCCATGCGCTCTCCCCTGCCACCGGTTCAAGCTTCATTCCGAATTTTTCCAGCCAAGCGACAGTGTCAAGGTTTTTCAGGAAACCCTCTTCATCATATCGAAGAAGCGCTGGTGCTGGAAACATCTGAAGCCAACCCTGTGAAAAAGCCCTTTTGAAATCCTCCCCACTGATGTTTCGAAGGGGTTGTTCACTACCAGATTTCACCAAAATGGCCGTATGGTAATCCGTGGCTTCATCCATCATACTCAAACCAACCACATACTCAGGCTTCTCACCAGGCTGAAGAGCTTCTTTGGGGGTTTTCCACCAAAAAGTATCAATGCTCACACAAAACCATTTTTGGGTGATTTTGGGAACAACACTGGGTCGAGTCGGACTTCGCCGACCCCGTTGCAAACATTCAGGACAACTGAAATTCTGGGCTTCCTTCAAAATTGCCTCAGAAGCTCCCGCATCCCTAAGAAGACGAGTGAAAGCCTCATTTCCGGGGTGTCCCATATTTCGATGAACATTACGCAACATCTGTTTGATCCGAGCAACGTTCTCTTCGGGATTCTCGTCTGAATGGGGATCAATCTCGACCCTCTGCGGTCTTTCAAGGGCATCATCTGGTTGATTCTCAACCCCCATGTCATGTGGTTCTTCATGGTCATCCAAAAAATCCCCAGCACCTTCACCCAAAACGTCTTCGGGATTGGGGGCTTCCCCTTCATTGGCAAAGACACCAGAAACATCATGTTCATGAACAAAACCAACCTCATGTTGATCACCAGAAAACCGTTGTTGTTCCAGAATACTAAAAACAGGAAACAGATGAACCGAATCTTTCATGAGAGCTTTGGCAAAACGTTTACACAAAAGGGGTGGATATATGGCCGTGGATGACGTGATGCTTCCCTGAATCAAGTCATGGGTACCCTTTGCATGGTTACAAGTCATGGAAAGAGCGGAGCGAACACCTTCATGAGTAGAAAACCAACCCCATGGTTTCTTGATCAAACGTCCGGTTTTCTTACTCTTCATGCCATGTCTACAACCATGAACACTGAAACGCTCACCACACATACGAACCATGGCTTTCATGTCAGGTGTGTTCCAACTCTGTGCATGCAAAGGGTGTTCCCCGCCGGCATGGTGAAATTCCGGGTCCTCTGGTGTCCAGCCACACGCACCATTGAGCTCATATAGTTGGACTTCAACAAGTCTTCGACAATGCCTGAGTAACTTGCGGCTTTCCTTTCGGCGGACACCTAAGTTGGAAATCTGGGCCTCAGTCCGTTGATTACAATTCTGAAAGGCGGACCATGGATCACATGGAGGAGACACATGAAGATATCTCGGTTTGGTTCTTCTGAGGAGTTTCAAAGCTTTTCGAAAACCAGCAACAGTCTTCAAATCAAAACCGTTATGCAAACCAATGGACAAAGATCTTCCCCCATTGTCAGCCACAGCCTGACTCAACGGACTATCCCAGGGAGCACAAATTTCCAACATGTCAAGTTGACCAAGGCCAACAAGTTCCCGAAAATCACCAACAGCATGGATCAGGGAGGTTTCGACGTCACGATAATGATCCCGTTCACCAGGCCCAAAATTGAGGAGTTCAGAATCCGGTTCGTCAACACACGCACCACCAACACAAACAGAATCGCTACAAACACTACCATCACAAACCAAAACTTCACTGGTTGCACAAGCTGATGCTCCACAAAAATTCACACTCTTTGAATTTCCACTCAAGCCTATCATGTCAGTTCCCAAACTGTCATGTCCATTTGAGGCTTGGTGGTGCTGTCCCTACGAATCTGGGGTCGCGCCCCCCTGTACAGTGGCCACGTGGCCCGCAGATGTCTCGGCGCTAAGAGTATTCACGGATGGATCTGGCTCACACTGCAAGTCACTGATCTCCTTCTGCATGCCACCAAAGTGAGTGATGGGTACCATCAAATGGTTCCCAGGTCCACGCTCCAGCTGAAAATGCTGATCCGACAGAGCAGCAAACTGGGCAACTCCCGTGTGGAAGTTAATGGTCGCACGCATCTCATAGAGGAACTTGGCACTCAAGAGAAAGGGTGTGCTGCCCTCAATCATGTGAGTCTCGATGTTGACTTCATGTCCCAACAAGCCAGTATTCATCTTGGACAGTCCCAAGGCCGAACTGGAGTGATCACTGCCATAGACGAACTGCTTGTGCATCGATCGATCAATGCTCACCTCATCTTCAAAGTTCAAACCAAGCTTCTCATACACATCTACCAGTTCTTGCATAGTGTGGACACCGATCACATTGTCAGAGGCGCCAGAGTCAATCACTGCCTTTCCACGATGGAAGCTGTTTCCTTCGCCAGTAGACCATACCTGGCTCATCTCTGGAGTGCACATGTTCTCCTTGGGCTCATTCTCTGCAACAGCCATCTTCGCAGGCTGTGTCATCCCAACAAAGCCGACCTTGCCACCACTGCCACTCGATCCCGCAGCCGATTGTTCTGCTCGACCACGTTGATAGCAGTTCTTGGCTTCATGGCCTCTCTTGCCACATCGAACACAGATTTTGCTAGTGTTCGAGCCATCTTTGGATTTTCCTTTTCCACGACCTTTGTTTCCTGAAAAGGTCCTGTTGCGGTTGTTGGGATTGGAAACTGGATAGAAGCCCCGGGCCACCTTGGCCTGATCCAAGGCACGACGGGCATCACGAAAGGATGCCAGGACCTCAGGATCATTGGGCTCTTCCAAGAATGCCGTCAGGCTCTCTTGGTACCAGCTGCTCAGCTCTTCCATCTCTGCAGTGTCATAGGACTCCTCTTCCTCATCAAGCTCATAGGAGTTTGAAGCTTCCTCATAGGACTTGTCATCCTCAAGAAGGAGTGCATGGCCTGTTTCTCGTCGACGCTTCTTCAGGTCTTGGTCCTTGGCAGCTAAACCACCACCGCTCCACATCTTGTGAAGGGCGGCTGTGATGTCCTTCAACTTGTACGATTCAGCTTTGCCCCTGACATTGGTCACGTCACTCGGGTCCATGCGCATGTACATGTTCAAAAGATACCATCCAAAAACTTCACTGGGGATCTTCCCATCTGCACCAGATTCAGCTAAGGTGGTCTCAAGGCGACGAAGCAACTGTCTGAACCTAGGCTCATACTCTGACAGTTCCTCTCCGTCCTTGCGGAAAACCTCTTTCTTCAGGAAGAAGTCAGCAAAGACATCACCGAGTAGATCAATCTTCTCCTTGCCCTGTGTTCCTTCCAAAAAGGTCAGAAGAAACTTCCAGCCATCTTGTTGCCTAAGTTTCTCCTTGTCAATGTCGATGATGGAATCAAAAGCCCGGCCAACCAGATTGCCAGCGAGCCGAGGGCCCAGCAAGGCTCGTTCATCTTCTTTCAAACTGTCTGCGCGAAGCTCCACTCTCAACTTGTACTCAGTCCAGCGACTCCATTCGCCATTCCATGATGGGAACTTGTGGTCGATGGTCTCTTCTGAGTATTTCGCCGATGCCGAACTCTGCGAAGCCATCTACGGATGCCCGTGATCGGGCTCCGCTACCATGCGGATTTCCCACCAGTCACCGAATGATCACAAGACCACACTGGAAAGGAAATAAGATCAACCTCTAAAAACCCTGGGCACACTCACGAGCAGGCGCGTAGCTTTTGGACAGCGCTGCTAGAGTTCTGGCCACCACAAAAAGGGGGGCAACAATCCACTTGATCCGTACTGTCACGAGGTACAGGAATCAGATCTGCCATGAGCAAAGTCTTCAAATTATCATACATATATATATATATATATATCCCCAAAAAATGTCTGTTTCATGGGGAATCTATGATGATTTTTCCTATGGGATCTTGGGACTAGACATATAAAAACGCCACGGAGAGTTCACACCGTGAATTCTTCAACGGCAAAAAGAACAAAGGGTGAATTACTCAATAGATATACCAATTACTCTCTGGTAAACGTTAACATAACTATAATGGGAAATAATATGACATAACTATAGATATGACCATGTATGACCCAGCTATAAAATTACTCAATAGATATACCATTTATAGATGATTTTCCCCAGCTATACCTAATCATAGATGATTTATAGATGACTCCCTTCATTTATGGATGATTTTCCACTATCCTCTCATAAACGTTAACATAACGAACTGGAAAGATCCACCGTGCTATTAATGGGAAAATCAACTATTTCGACTGGGCCATGGCTTCAATAGCTATGTGAAATTACCAGAGGGTATCAATCGTATGACGAGGTAGAAATACCAATAAACAATGATGATAATGATGTATTGAGAAAAAGGCTAGGGCAGCATCTTCCCAAATCAGAATGGGCACCACCATCACATCACTGAGTCTCAAACTGAAAGGAACAACTCTGACTGGAACCCCACAAACTTTTGCATATATTTTGAATTGGCTTTTAATTGGTTAGCCTTGGACAAGTCCAAATAACTCAAACAACTCTCCACGTTTCGGGAATACTTTGGATAGTCCATATATTTACTCATTATATTCACCATATATATATAACATGTAATATATACATATGATATATTGATATACATATTGATATACATAATATAATGTATATATATATATATACATCCTCCAATGGCTGCGCCCCAGTTAAGGTACGGACCTCACATTCGACCCTACCGCAGCCTCACATTCGACCCTACTCCAAAATAACGTCATGCAGCCTCACATTCGACCCTACCCTAACAAAAATATGCAACCCTTCCAGGAAAAAAGGCCACTTTTTCCGGTTCACATTTGACCCTACCCCACTTTAACCCGCCTCAAACCAGAAAAATTACATTCATTGCTATCAAATCAACCAGCCCCCCTTGCACAACTACATTCATTGGTATCAAATCAACCAGCCCCCTTGAACCATTACATTCATTGGTATCAAATCAACCAGCTCCCCTTGAACAATTACATTCATTGCTATCAAATCAACCAGCCCCCCTTGAACAATTACATTCATTGGTATCAAATCAACCAGCCCCCCTTGAAACATTACATTCATTGCTATCAAATCAACCAGCCCCCCTGGCACAATTACATTCATTGGTATCAAATCGACCAGCCCCCCTTCAACCATTACATTCATTGGTATCAAATCAACCAGCCCCCCTTGAACAATTATATTCATTGGTATCAAATCAACCAGCGCCCCTGGCACAATTATATTCATTGGTATCAAATCAACCAGCCCCCTTGAACAATTACATTCATTGCTATCAAATCAACCAGCCCCCCTTGAACAATTACATTCATTGGTATCAAATCAACCAGCCCCCCTTGAACCATTACATTCATTGCTATCAAATCAACCAGCCCCCCTTGAACAATTACATTCATTGGTATCAAATCAACCAGCCCCCCTTGAACAATTACATTCATTGGTACAAAAAATCAACCAGCCCCCCTTGAACAATTACATTCATTGGTATCAAATCAACCAGCCCCCCTTGCACAATTATATTCATCGGTATCAAATCAACCAGCCCCCCTTGAACAATTACATTCATTGCTATCAAATCAACCAGCCCCCCTTGAACAATTATATTCATTGCTATCAAATCAACCAGCCCCCCTTGAACCAATTACATTCATTGGTATCAAATCAACCAGCCCCCCTTGAACAATTACATTCATTGGTATCAAATCAACCAGCCCCCCTTGAACAATTACATTCATTGGTATCAAATCAACCAGCCCCCCTTGAACCATTACATTCATTGGTATCAAATCAACCAGCCCCCCTTGCACAACTACATTCATTGGTATCAAGTCAACCAGCCCCCCTTGAACCATTACATTCATTGCTATCAAATCAACCAGCCCCCCTTGAACCATTATATTCATTGCTATCAAATCAACCAGCCCCCCTTGAACCAATACATTCATTGGTATCAAATCAACCAGCCCCCCTTGAACAATTACATTCGTTGCTACCAAATCAACCAGCCCCCCTTGAACCATTACAGTCATTGATATCAAATCAACCAGCCCCCCTTGAACAATTATATTCATTGGTATCAAATCACCATCATCATCATCATCACCATCATCGTCGTCATCATGATCATCATGATCATCATCATCATCACCATCATCATGATCATCCATCGTCATCATCATCATCATCGTCATCATCATCATCACCATCATCACTGTCATCATGATCATCATCACCATCATCATCATCATGATGATCGTCCATCGTCATCATCATCACCATCATCACCATCATCATCATAATCATCATCATCATGATCATCATCATATCCGGAACCTTCTTTTCGCAGCTAAAAACGCTACTTTCTCACATTCGACCCTACCCCAAAAGGGGGGTAGGGTCATATGCGAAACCATTAGGGTAGGGTCAAATGCGAGGCGCGTACCCCCAGTTAACAGCTGCAGATTGCAGCTCAGCCTTGGCCCACGGACTGGATCCTGAGTTTCGTCTTCGCACCGACCCAGGTGGAGAATCCGGAAATTTCTTCAATGACCATTTTCTTTTTAAGCAATGATATGGTTTCCATAGATGGGGGTACCTCAATAGCTGGATGGTTTATAATGGAAAATCCCAATCTGAAATGGATGCTTTAGGTGTACCCCCATTTCAGGAAACCTCCGTGTATATATATATGGATATACTGTCACTTCTATATGTATATATATATGAATGGTGATATATGGATATTATATCTATATCTTATATATATACACAGAGAATATGGTCCTACCTGCTATATGTAGGGGTTTCCATAGGTGGGGGTACCTCAATAGCTGGATGGTTTATAGTGGATATACTATCACTTCTATATGGTGATATATCATGATATTTCTGGATGGTGATATATGGTTCGTATATGCTTTATATATGGAACGGTGCTATTATCATTTCTACATGGTGATACTACAGTATCCATTAAATTGTCAAAATGATAATGTAGTGATAAAGTTATAGATGATGTATGGATACTATAGTGATTGAAAGTATTGATAGGAGGATATTGGGGATAATATTTATCACATTCTCTGAATTAATTAAGTTCTGTGGTAAAGCTAATAGTAAACCATCAACATCCCCAACATTACCATAAATGGGTGGTAAATATCATCTCCAAATGGTAGCTTTAACTTGGGATTTACGACATTATCAACATATCAAAGTATATCAAAATATCTATTCATAGATACCCATAGAAAACTTAACGTCCCTAAACGATACCCATGGCCATATACGTATTCATGACATTGACTTAACGTCCCAAAACGATACCAAAAAAAATACAACTTGGAGACGTGTGAGAAACGAATCAACGGGTCTCATGGGATGATCGGAAAGATCCACCATGCTATTAATGGGTGAACTAAGGAAAGATCCACCATTTTACAGCTGGGTAAATCCACTATTTCGAGAAAAATGGCCATGGCTTCAATAGCTTTTTGTTAGTCATAACCAGAACTCATGGCTTCAATAGCTATCTATGATTATCTATGTATGTTTACCAGAGGGTATTAAAAATCAATCTTACTGAAGGCATAAGGCTTAATGGTCGAATCGGTGACAGGAAAATTCACCCAACTGGTACCCTCCGGTGTCTTCAAACATGGCGGGCTCTTGGGAAAAGCCCATTGCCAAAGGCTTAGGCCTAAGCCTTTGGCAATGTTTGATGACAACTGAGGTTGTTCTTCCATGTAATTCCACTTATACCCACTAATCACCATCCCCGAGTTTGGTAGTTATTCATGGCATTGAGTTTCCCACATTAAAAAAATCACTGTTAATTAATTAATAATGACTTAATTATTAATTGGCATTAACTGAAAAATACTAACCACTATTCAGCATCATTCTTGAGTATATCTGCTATAAACCATGATTAACCCTGATTCACCATGATTATTTTATATTCAAAAAAATAATACCCTTTGGTTATTTAACATAGCCATGGTATAGATGACCCATGTATAGATGGTTTACCTATTAATAGCATGCTGGATCTTTCCATGGCGAACTGTTAGTCATAACCAGATGGTAACCATGATTCACTGGTTGGTGGTATACCTACCCCTCTGAAAAATATGTGTTCGTCAGTTGGGATGATTAATCCATTCCCAACTGAATGGAAAGTCATAAAAGCCATGTTCCAAACCACCAACCAGTCAGTGACCATGATTCACAATCATCATTTCCCACGAAAAAAAAAAAAAACAACGGTTGCCCTCATCGCCCCTTCTAAGAAAACCAAGGCGCATGGTACGGAAAGCTGTGATCCAGAACGAATTTCCCCGTGATCAACCTCGGCTACGTAGGCCGAGGGGGAAAACATTGGAAAAATATGGAAAGATCATGAAACATGATTCATGGTGATTCTTTCTTGTTTCTTGGAAAATCCATTTAAGTTTTGAGTCGCATTTTTTCTGGACAAGATATAAATGGTGTCTGTCTCTGTTTTCTCGGACGAAAGTCCAGCGTTTTGAGTTTCCTGTGGCGTAACCTGAAACAACACGCCCTTGTAGGCGTGTTTTTTGGCATGACATCAAGCGGGTGGTGTACACCACCCATTTCTGGAAAAGTCATTAGAAACGGGTTTGAGTTGTGTTTACCGTGTATATATATATATATGTGTGTATTATACTATCTTATAAATCTTGTGTGTGAATCATTAACAACTATATCACCAGGATGACTTAGATTTACTATCATCCATTATGACCATGTTACTTTCGAATCTTAAACACTCATCATGAATTGCTAATAGTTGGATCCAACTCATCATCTATCGTAAAAAACTAATTCAAAATCTTGAATACGTTCAATGCAATAAACACTTCAACCCTAATCATTCTACTCATAAATCAATTACCTTCTGGTGAACTAACATAGCAATGGAAAATCACCATTTTTAATGGGAAAATTCACTATTTCTATGGCCATTTTCAATAGCAAACTGTTGGTTTACCAGAGGGTAAATCATGATGATTCTCTATTTACCTGGACCAGAATCACAAGCATTTTGCAAGCTGGGACGGTTTGCAAAACATCCGGGTTTCTGGGCTTGTGTTGCACAGTACCAGCCGCCTGGTGAAACAAACGGTGATCGCTGGCGACAACTGTGGTAAGGTTCATCCCCTAAAGATGGTAATATATGGATATATATATATATATGTATATATACATATACATACATATATATATATATACATATGTATATATGTATATATGGGTCAAAACCTTGTACCCCTGATGACAATTCCTGATCACAATTGATAACATCTAAATGGATGTTCATCCACTAAAAAATAGTATAAAATTAGGTATTGATTGATCCATGGCCGATATTTCATAGGATTAGTGGAAAACTCGCCTGGTTTCCCAATGGTTTTACCCCTGGTAAAATGGATGAAACATGAGGCCATGGCCAAGCTTCATACTTCGATGATTTACCCTCTGGTGAACTAACATAGCTATGGAAAATCACCATTTTTTATAGGAAAATCCACTATTTCTATGGCCATGTTCAATTGCTATGTTAGTTCACCAGAGGGTAACGGAGGTTTTCCATAGCTACGTAACACATTACCAGAGAGATCATGGGTGCAGAAATCCATGGCAGACTGGCAGACCTCACCTATCAAAACTTGGGGAGTTCGGAAATGAACTTACGAATGGAAAACAAAGATAAAAGAAGTATAAGCATCCCAAGATTGGGCCAAAGATTCGGATAACATACTGTGGATGGGCGGGCGAAATCCTGCACCACCAAAAGGATGCTTGAAACACTATAAATAATGTGATGTTTACCACCGTTTTCAACTGGTGATTCGGATTTCGCTGGCCCATCCACCGTAGGCTACTTCGAAATCTCATGGTTCGCCATCACTTTCACTGTGAACAAACATGAATTCATAGGCCAGCGGCCATTACCCAATGACCCCGCCAATCTCCAAATCTTTGAGTCACCACCGGTGACTTGTTAAAAAAAAACAGTTCTAAGCACGACACCCGGAACATACCAGCCATAAGTATACTAGCATATTTCATGGGATATATCCTGCACAATTTGAGAGGTGTTTGTTGTTGGGATATGCAAATGTGAGGGCCTAAATTCATGGGTAAAAACCGGGGGTCGAAACTAATTCATGGCCATTGGTGGTACCCCATTTTCAACCAAACCTGGGTCAACTGATCCATGCCGAGCGATGCGAAAAGAACAAATCATATTGAGAAAGATCCAGGGACCTCATAGACATGGAAAATCCCATGGAAAATCCACCATTTAGAAGGATCATTTGTTATAGTTGTACCTTCCAGTAACTGACATAGCAAATCACCCATTTTTGTTGTCCATCATCTATGGTTGGCCATTTTCCATAGCTATTTTAATTTACCAGAGGCTAGATCCTGTTGCGTGCCCATTTTCGGAAGCACAGCTCGCGTACTGGGCAGGAAAACTCCGCCTGCTCCCACACGGGGAGCGCGCCGCAGCCGCCGCTTATTGGGTGGGCGGGGTCAACTCAAGGGAAAGCCACTGGTTGATTTTTTGGTGGAAGTCATAAATTTCAAAATTCCTCTTGCAAAATACTCTTCCAATATATATATATACAATATATATATAATATATAGATTCTACATTGACATAAGCAGAATTTCTTGTGCGAAAACGCCACCAAAACCAGCGAAAACGCTGGGAGTTCAGCAGCGCTCAGCTCGATTTGGCGACCAAATGAACGCTGGGATCATCGATCTCCGCCACGCCCATCTTGGTGGCATTCTCCAGTGTGATCTCTGGTGGGCGCCCTTCCTGCGAAAATAAAACTGGTTATGGTATGCATGGGTTTCAAGATGTCAACAAATACATATTATATGTGTGTGTATACATATATATATATATTAGATTTACATGATCCACTTTTTAGTACATTCAACCCACAACCAACAATTAGTTGGACTATTTCACAGGGATATGATGGGATATGATATCCCGGGGCCATTTGTTTCGGTGATCTGCAAGGTCCCTAATAAGGGACAAGCTCAGACACAACGCCAGCGTGTCCCCCGGTTTTAACGGGGCATACCCCCAAGTTTGGTTTCTTTAATGAAGACCATTTGATGATGATTGATCAATGGATTTGGGTTTGCCTTTTTTTGACGACAACCCCATGTTGGCGCCGATTGAAGACTCGACATGCCCTCCTTGACATGTTTATAGAACATGTAAATTCCATCCAATGAGTATTGCTCTTCAAATCCACTCGATCAAAGAACTGTTTCTGACATGATCCTCTACTTACCCGGCCTGGTAAACTAACAGTTTGCTATGGAAAATGGGGGATTTGTAGTTGGTTTCTCTATATACCATGGTGATTTTCCAGTTCGCAACCTGTAAACGTTTACCAGGCCGGGTAGATGGAGCCATGGAGTTAGGGTGATCATCTATGGGTCTATGGGAAGTGACCCACCTAAGCTTGTCTCAAAAGAGGCTACCCAAAAAAATCCAAAGTGGTGTGTCATTCATTTCCCAATGAGGACGGCCATAAAAAATAGGGTGTCCCCATAGAGAAACCCATATATTAGATATTATTAGATTGGTTAGTTGCCATTATATCCGAGTACATCGTATACATCACACCCCCGTCACACTTAACATGGTGATTTCTTAAGTCATGGGGGTACCCCCAAATTTTGTCAAATCATCCAGTCAATAGACCATGTTAATATTGAAACCAATGATTTTGATATGTTTTGATGCCCTCCCCATTTTAGGAAACCTCCATACCCTCTGGTGAACTAACATAACTATTGAAAATGGCCATAGAAATAGTGGATTTTCCCATTAAAAATGGTGATTTTCCATAGCAAACTGTTAGTTCACCAGAGGGTATTCCCAAATCCTCGAAGTACCCAAGGTCCTCATCTGTGGCGCCAATGGACCGGGCGAAGCGATGCGCTTCACGCATCACGTCCAGCAGCGGCACATGGGCGGAGTTGCGCATCACGTGATTGATCCTGTGGCTGGGGTACTTGAAGATACTTTAAGGATTCATTTAAGATGCATTTTCCCAAGAAAAATGATGATCCTGTTGATCCCCTAATATTCAATGCAAGAAAAACCACGAAATTCATGATCCTGCTGGCAATTTGCCGAAGGCAACTTGATCAACTTGTCCCGTTGAACCCACCAGTTTCCCAATGCCGTTGATGCATAGACCCCCAGGGATGCAACTTCGAGATTCCGTGGGATGGTTGCTTCGAAAAATGTCCCCGTGCCCTCCTTGAGTAGTACGCTTGGGCTTTGACGTTCTTGGCAATTGGCATCTGCTGAAAGTCAGGCATGTCCTGCACATCAGCGGGGTGGACCTGGGTGAAAGATTCATCAGTCACATACATATCAAATACATATCCACTTTTTGTGATTGAATATGGTTAAATAACAATTAGATACAATTAGTTCATAGACTGTCATGTATTGAACCAATCCAAATCTGGATCAATTTCCGCATGGAAAAACGTAGCCGCATTTTCTCCAGCAACGCCCTGTGCTCCTTCAGCTCAACAGACTCCAGGGGCAGCTCAGTCAATGTTAGATCGGTCAGTTTCTCCAAAAAATCTGCGAACAGCGCGGTGGTTCGGAACAATTTCGGGCACCGATCCCGGTCGTTAATGTTGAAGATATCAATGCGATACCTCATCCAAACTGATTTGTTTATATGGTTGATGCGTTTATTCAAGTAAAATTGTGTTATCACATGCGTTTGCGGTCTATCCGAACAACCTGGTACAGTATGGTGAAATCCGCCGGCCTTACGGCGTGTCTGATTGGAAGGTGTTGTTTTGTTTGTTCTTGGTTCGTACTTGTTCCTTTGTTCTCTTGTTGAGCGTTTTTGCTTTGTCTGAATCAAGTCCACCCCTCCCTCCCCCCCTACTACCACTACCACTACAACTACAACTACAACTACTACCACCACCACCACCACGACCACTCCTACTCCTACTCCTACTCCTACTCCTACTCCTACTACTACTACTACTACTACTACGACGTCCTGCTCTTACTCCCACCCCTACTCCTACTCCTGCTCTCACTTACTTCTACTCCTCTACTCCTTACTTCCCCAAGTGCTAAACTGGCAGTGCCGGTGGCAAACGACACTACCTACAGCATTGCAGTCGCCTACAGGTACCCGTCAGTACGAACTAAACAGATCAACCAGTACTCATTTGGTATGCGGTCAATAGCTTGTTCAAGCAGGCACTTGCTACTCCAGCTGCTTCTGATCTACTACGGCTCTGTCTTCGTCTCTTCTTCTTCCTCTTCTTCCTCTTCTTCCTCTTCTTCCTCTTCTTCCTCTTCTTCCTCTTCTTCCTCTTCTTCCTCTTCTCCCTCTTCTTCCTCTTCTTCCTCTTCTTCCTCTTCTTCCTCTTCTTCCTCTTCTTCCTCTTCTTCCTCTTCTTCCTCTTCTTCCTCTTCTTCCTCTTCTTATTCTCTTCTCTTCTGCTTCTCTCTCAGGCTTCCACCTAGCGTGCACATCAACTTTTTTTTGTTGGGGCAATCTCTCTCCGCTTCCACCCTGTCTCCTTTCCATGCAGCGGTCTGCTGTCAAGCCAGAGGCTCATACATAGTACCTGACGCTACTTTGCTGGGGGCGGTACTAATTTGGTATACGTTGTGGCAGCCAGCACTTGCTACACAAGCCGCTTCCGTTTCACGGCGTTGTCTTCGTCGTCCTCTTTTATTCTTCTTATCCTTCTTCTCCTTCTTTTCTCTTCTGCTTCTCTCGCGGGATTCCACCTAGAGTGCACATCAAACTCCCTTGGGGCCACCTATCTATGGCCGGCGGGCTTGCCGAAGGCAATTAAATAAGGACGAATGAGGTTTGTGCGATTTGGTCTCATAAGTCGCCGCTATCTTATTCAAAGAATAATGTAAACAAATTCGGAAATGGCGTTCGGTTTCCCATTGGGTTTACCGCATTGTTTCTGGTTTACCTCTATGTGAGTCTGCGTTGAACTGGATCATATCACTATCGACTTCCTAAACTTTGCTCATATCTCCAGTCAAACTGATTCATATCTGATGTAGTGATTTTTATGTGACATGGATGTAGCTGAAAATGGAAATGCCTCACCAATTGGCGATTTTGACACGGGAAATGATGATAAACCAGTGGGTTTAAGGGTTTCCCATAATTTTAAAACAATTTCTGCATACTGTATGTCATATGGTATCATATGTTTGGTTACTATTGCGTTGTTTCCCCATTTCCATTGAGTCATAAATGATCAACTAAACAACAATCAAAAATCTCCACATATTTCCACTTTCCCTCTGCAACAACCCCCCCAAAAAAGCAACTTTTTCCAGGATCGCAGTTGGATGATATCTACTTCATATTTTCAGGTTTCTCATTTCCAAATATTTATATTGATACTTATATGTATATTATACTTATTCCTCCCTTATTTAGTGAAAATTGGGTCAAACACAACACCAACCAAGAAAACAACCATTCATTATTTTTCCAAATATTTATATTTATATTGATACTTATACCCAGAGGATCCATGTATGGAATATTTACCTACATTGACCCCTAAAGTAATTTAAAATAATCCCAATGTAGGTAAATATTCCATACATGGATCCTCTGGGATATGTATTATATATATAGTGCTTGATCTTGGAGGTTCGAGGTTCCACCGCTATCTCCACCCTTGGCACCTCGCTCGAACTCATGCAGCAGCAGCAAGCCTTGTCCGTTGGCGCCCGCGCGACCCGTGCGCCCCAAGCGGTGGATGTATTCCTCGGCGCGGAGAGGGACCCCGTTGGATCACCAATTGATGGGATTCATATTGATATTATTACTATAGGATCCATGTATGGTATATATGCTAACATTGGGGGTATATTGATGGTAAATGTTACCATATATAGCATACATGGATCCTATGGGATTACTATTGATTTTGGATTTACTAATATTATTACTATATATTACTATTGATTATGGTTTATTTATGATTATTTTACCAATATTATGGACCTTTATGGATAGTAAATCCCCTAGGGTTCTCCCATGCGGAAATTCGGCGGCCTTGAACCCCCGCTTGTGGCGCCGGCCATACTTCTGTGGAGTGTCTGACTTCGAAACTGCTGATAAAAATGAGGGGCAAGTTCCTCACGCAGAGGAATTGCCTATGTTGAGGTATTGCCTTGGTTACAATCATACTAACTTATGAACTTACCATCATTGGACCATCAAATATGAACATTATATAGTTGGGCATATTGAGCCTACCTTGAGGACAGCAAACACAAACCTGAAGAATCTCTTGGGAACGTCAAAGAGATCTGGTCGTCACCAAAGGTAGTTAGTCTCTTCACTTCTGATGTTTTTTTCTGAAAAAAACATGATGTTGAAACCGGCCTTGAAGTACAAGTGTTGCCTGGGGGATATGCAAAATCTAACGTGGGGGAAGTAAAATCATCTACAGTACACATTGTTGTTTCGGTCGCAAACAACCAGGTCAAAATGGGACACATACACGAAACACAATGGTGAGACTGAGACTAGTCAACAAACATCCTAGATTCAGCCAACAAATTGAAATCAATATAAATGATAAACACAAGGACATAAGGAATGAACATGGGAAACTCACAAACAACTACCGGGTGATACCAGCACTTGGATCAATGGACCTGTCGTCCCTGTATCTTTTGTGATCAACCTTCACAGACATAAAGCCGTAAAGATGGGTCGAGAAATGCAATAAGCCAACAAACATGTTCTTAATATGCTATACAGATAAGGAACAGTAAGCTATTGTTCCGTTCTATTTTGTGGCTTATGAATAGATCGAAGCCTTCGATATCTTCCATACTAACATGTTTCGGCCAAAAAGATCTAATATGACCAAACTAATCTGATCTATTCATAAACTAACAATGGTAACTATAGCTAGTTAATGCTAGTTAGATCTAACATGGCCAAATGTTAATAATCTGATCAAGATGGGTTTTTGTCAAGTGTGACTTTTCTGTCAACCCAGCCTCCCCAGTTCTGACCCGATTTTTTTGAGGTTCGGCTCTCGAATGTGCTGCACCCATTTGCACCACATGGGTGACGCCTGAAAACGAACATCCGACGATGGACTTCGGAGAACTTGGGGTCTTCGTAAAGGTGAGACAATTCGCTGTTTCATCCATGTGGAAAAATCCGACAATTCAGAGCCATTTATGCCATTTATGCCACATTTCTATGCCCATTGAAATGTGGACAATTTCCCAGCCATTGGATTTTTTCCAGATCGACATGGCATAGGGCCAACGGGGATGAACAATGGTACCCTCTGGTAATTTGTTGCATAGCTATTGAAGCCGTGCCCATAGAAAGTTCGTTGATCTACCCATAGCATGGTGGATCTTTCCAGTTCGATTTTTGTATGTTTACTCTAGAGGGTACCCTCTGGTAAACTAACATAGCGAACTGGAAAGATCCACCATTTTTCATGGGAAAATCCACTATAAATGGCCATTTTCAATAGCTATGTTAGTTCACCAGAGGGTAATAACCAAATGATAATTCGATGATATCCCCATTCTACCAGATTCGACCACCTGCGAAATGCTGCGAATATCCCCAATTCCGGAAAGTCCTGATGATCATAATGATGAAAATATAAACTAACCAATCAATATCCCATACTTTTAGGGCAAATTCCCAAAAGTCACCCCAATTATCACTCGATATATCTCCATATAGCTATCATGATGAATGGTGATCTAATACTTATTCAATGTTGTGGATACTATCCCCAGTACACTACATGTAATATATAAAGAAAATCACACATTGCATTCCATATCCCCATTGAGTACACATCAAACCGCGTTAAACCATCATTGTCTACTGAACCATCACTCAAAAGTCATTCTGAAGTCATTTTCATTGGTTAAATCCTTTGAAACAAACCATCTTCGATGCTTAAATCCCAAAAATCACCGCTAAATCACCGTCACCTCACCGGGCGGTTCCTCACTCGCCTGGATAGTCCAACCCCCGCGACGACACGTCGGAGGTGAAGAGGATCCCACTGCTGGCGGCGCGGAACTTCTCTGATTCCTCCGTCCTGACACCAAACAAAGCACGGCCGATGCATGCCGATGCAACGAAGAGTTGAAAGATGTTAGGGTTTTACCAACAAGAATGGTGATTTATAATGGATTTAATAATGTTTAAAGTGCTTTCAAAAGAAAAATGCCGGTTTGTAGTTTGTAGCGGATATACTTGATTCATGCTACAGCTAAATGTCATGTGCAATGGGATGCAATGGGCTAGCGGTAAAATCACCATGGCCCCTCTGGCACTCCTTTGTTTCTGACTTCTTCTCGCATGGATCTCAAACACAGCCAGGGTGGTGCCTTGCGTCTCGCCAGTTGAAGGCCATTGGGATTCAACGAGGGAGGGAACTGTTGGACAAACGCAGATGGTCACACATGGACTAAAAATTGAACGTCATCCCAGTGGTCCAACATGACTACCCTTTGGTGAACTAACATAGCTATTGAAGCCATGGCCCAGTCGAAATAGTGGATTTACCCATTTAAAATGGTGGATCTTTCCAGTTCGCTATGTAAACGTTTACCAGAGGGTAAGCTAAGGGGATTGATGTGTAGTGCCAGATGTTTCTTGCCCTAGATCTACGGACCCGTGAGTCCCATCTCCCCCAAGCGTTTTTGCCGCCTGCTTTCCGAAAGGCGTCGGCGTAATATGCAGCGATGCGGCCGGTCATGAAAATCGCCACCTGAGGGTGGGATGATCAGATCGTCACCCAAATATTGTTTAAGTGTGTTTTTTAACATGGGAGATCATTTAAAAACATCTTCTGGTTGGTGGTTTCAACCTACCCCTCTGAAAAATGATGGAGTGAGTAACAGTTGGGATTAGAAAGCCAACTGAAAGTCATTCAAAACTCCTGTTCCAAACCACCAGAACCCTATCGTTTAAAAACATCATTCAGATCGATTCAGGACAGCCCTGGTCCGGCCATGCCGCAACCATTCGCGCCATGCTCAGATGATGGAACGAGGTCCCAGAATGGTAAAATCTGATGGTTGTTTAATTATAGGAAAACCATAGGAAAACCATAGGAAAATGGTGGTTTAATGGGATTTAATGGGTTTTACCCTCTGGTGAACTAACAGTTTGCTATGGAAAGATCCACCATATTTTATGGGAAAATCCATTATTTCTATGGCCATGGCTTCAATTGCTATGTTAGTTCACCAAAGGGTAATCTCCATGAGTGGATTAGTGGATTATATCATCTCCATGGTTATTATCTCCATTCTTAGCCCGGTAGTCCGACTAATTAGTGGATTAATGACAATCTCCTGTTTTTGAACATAAATGCCACTTGATCATGGCACATATGTTTCCTGCTGTTTCTGCAAAATTGAGAACCTTAGAAATTCATAGCTTCCCGCTCTTGAAGATAAACCGTCAATGTGTCTAAAAATAACGACGACGTGTTGCCTTTGCCAAGGTTTCCAACATGTTCCAACCGACGTCCCCAACTCTTCAAGCATTCCTCACCTTCATGTCCAAATCATTGTCCAATTAGATTGGCGTGTATATCACATATATTCACATCACGATCAAATCAAATCCCCACAAATCACCATAGATCGATGGTGATGTCATATCATCGTTCCCATGTAAAAAAAAGGCTAGAGTAAAAGTAGTACTGGTAACCAGCTAGTATCTTGAACATGTTAATCGTTTATTCATCGCTGCTTCTACCACCTTTTTGCGGTTCACCATTTCCGTTAAATCCAAGCCACAGCCTTAAAGTCTGGCCCAACGCCCTGCGTGAAACGCCACAAACTTTCCGTCATCCGTTCGGTTGGTACCACTGTGTAATGTTGGTCGATGTGATCTGGCGCATGGTCGTCTGATTGTATCACCTCAAAGCAGCAACGTGGTAAACCTGCCAATGAATTGGGCTGTTCCCAACACCCTAGATATCTTTGGGGGAAAGCTTGGACAAAGAGAAAGAGGTAAGATGAACCATATACCCTCTATGAATCGCTATGAATCGCCTAGAATACCCTCTGGTAAACTAACATAGCTATTGAAAATGGCCATTTATAATGGATTTTTCCATTAAAAATAGTGATTTTCTATAGCTATGTTAGTTTACCAGAGGGTAACTTGGAGAAACCCTGCCAGAAACATCCGTCGCCGAGACGCATCCACAAAGGCATACTCCTCGCGACCGATGGCCTTCACCAGCGCTGTCACGTCATCCGACAGCGTCGCTGAATAGAAGAGCCCTGCGACCAACAGGTACGACCGGTGGTTCACCCGAATGGATGACCCCAGTTGTAACACTGGTAAATCCACTATAAATGGTGTTTTTAAATGGGTAAATCCACTATAAATGGTCCAGTTTAACAGTTTGCTATTGAAAATGACCATAGAAATAGTGGATTTACCCATTGATAGCATGGTGATTTTCCATAGTTATGTAAACGTTTACCAGAGGGTATAACACTGGTTGGTGGTATACCTACCCCTCTGAAAAATATGTGAGTTCGTCAGAGTTGGGGTTATTTTCATGACATTCCCAATGAATATGGCCCCAGTCATTCAAAATTCCATGGTTCCAGTCACCACCAACCAGATACCCTGCACTAAGGTGAACTTACAGAGATGAAAAACCCAAAAATCCTGCTACTCCAGGTGGATTCCCAATGGTTGGTTTCTAAGCCACCGGAAAAGAGGGAGGAACATGCGCGGAAATTGAAGACATCAAACAATAAAGTAAATCAAAATATGTTCCCGCCATGTTTATTCATGATTATGCAAATTATGCCCAGTTGTTCCAAAATGTTCCAGACATTTGCCATTAATAAACAACAACAACATGATTGGGTGGATAGTCCATCCCAACCGTGATGCCTTTTGTACAAATGTAACCGCTAATGAGGAATTCAACTCCAACATGTTCATGTCAACCACGTCAACCACGAAACAGGGGAATGAAAAATGGCGGTGTTACCATCCCTTAGCTTACCCTCTGGTAAACTAACATAATATATGGAAAATCACCATCTTTAATGGGAAACATCCACTATTTCTATGGCCATTTTCAATAGCAAACTGTTAGTTTACCAGAGGGTAATTCACACCTGAAACTGGTTGGTCCGTTCAATCATTTGGTTATGGGTCAAAACCCTGTACCCCTGGTGAACATTAAAATAGCTGGTAAATGGATGTTCATCCCTCTAAAAATCCGTTTCAGTGGTATGGTCACAACAAAACTGCCTGGCCTTGTCGCTGGGAGGCCGCAGGCAACGCTTTCACAATGTCCAATGTGGCAGGGCGAAAGACGTCCTCAGGGAACGACGGGGGCTGTAGGGATATGGACCACCGGTTCAAAAGTAACTAACCATCAAAAAAACAGATGCCCTCTGGTGAACTAACATAGCCATGGAAAATCACCATTTTTATGGGAAAACTCACTATTTCTATGGCCATGGCTTCAATAGCTATGTTAGTTCACCAGAGGGTACTGATGATATTATAAAATGTTCAATTTATCGCGACGTCAATGGGATTTTGTGGGCCTACCTCGTTGGGGGATGCTATAATCATTGTAGAATGATGCCTCAGTGATGATGAAGATGATGATGATGATGATGATGGTGATGGTGATGGTGATGGTGACTATATATTACTATCCCCTATATACCAGGCAATATCATCCCATATGCCACTCAGCCCACCTTTGGGAATGCGACCAAATGAACGGCTTATCCACCAATCATTGGAAGGGTCACCCTGGAGTTTCAATCTCCCCTGGATCCAGAAGGGGTGTGGATTGCCATGTCCATTTCTCAATCATATCCCTATATTTTTGCTAGTTAAACGTCGATAAACGATAGTCAAATCCCGCTGCCTTAGTGTTAATTGTTAATCCCCATTATCCCCATCAGAACCCATTCGAAATTCCAATTGGACCACCATATTCCACCATTTTTGTTAGTGAAATCTGCCTTGTTTGCTTCATTCTAATCCTATAACAAAAATGCTAGTTAAACCACCAAAGACCGTTAAATCCCAAAAATTAAAAGGTGGCTTCCCATCAAATCACAGTAAATCCCAAGATGTCATGGCTAGAATACGCGTTTTCATCAGCGGATCATGTGGTATATACGGTAGTCGCCCCACAATAAACCATCCAAAAACAACAACCATTTGGGGATCATATTACGAACATCATCCCAAAGAAGTTTCGGCAAAAAGTTCTCAATTTGGGTATACCCAACCATTTGGGAATATTTAGCGTATCCCATTAACCAACCATTGGGTATATCCATCCCAAAATTTACGTAATGAATTTAACATGTTACGGTATGAATTTACGGCAAAAACCCTCTGGTAAACTAACAGTTTGCTATTGAAGCCATGGCCCAGTCGAAACAGTGAGTTTTCCCATTGAAAATGGTGATTTTTACTATAGCTACGTTAGTTTACCAGAGGGTACCCAATTTCATAAACCTCAAACTTGGGGATAGTTTTATGGCATTCGGTTTAATGTGGGTAAAACAATCACAAACCACCCATGACTGGGAATGGTTTGAATCCCACCTATATATTTATGGTGATGACTGGGGGATTGTAAACATGGCAGTGTTTCATCCACATTATAGAATTATTCTAGGATTATATTCGAATATCTAGGATTTATCTAATGATTACATTGGATTATAAGTCCATACTAGATAAGTCCATTTTGACTATTTATATTCCATAATTAATCTATCATATATGAATCATATTGTCTTATATTCCATCATAATAGAAAAAAATCCTAGATATTGGAATATAATAGGGTAAATCCTAGATATCTTGATATTCCATTTATCCTAATTTTAATATTATAGGATAAGAATATCTCCTAGATATATAAATATCTTAACTGATGATCCTAGATATTCTTATATAGACCATCCATATTTTAATAGGATCATCACTCCCCAGGTCCCCATCCCAGCCACGCTGGCGAGTTGATCCACTTCATCCAGCACCAAAATCTGCACCGCACTGAGCCGCGCGGCAAAGGACTCTGTCTTGGCCACCTGGACCAGATGGAAAGGTCCCAGCGTTGACACCCAAAAACTGGTGATTAATGGTGGTTAATAATGGTTAAAACTGGTGGTTATTATGGTGAAAATAATGGTGAAAATAATGGTTTACCAGAGGGTATAACACTGGGTTGGTGGTTTCAACCTACCCTATATATGGTTAGTATGGTTTAATCTGGTGCAAAATCCCATTGGTTATCATGCGAAACGCTGCGAAACGCTGCGAAACGCTGGTTGGTGGTGCAACTTTCCCATCTTGAAAAATGATGGAGTGAAAGTCAATGGGAAGGACGACATCCATTTATATGAAATGGAAAATAAAAATGTTTCAAACCACCAACCAGAAAAAGAAACACGATGCAGAAAACGCTTGGAAAAACGATGGTTTTCTTGTTGAATACAGGAAAAAAATATATATATATCTGGCCAAACATGAGGAACATGGTGTGGGACACCAGAATCGTATTACAAGAGATTGAAGTTGGACATGGGATGTACCACTGTAACTGGGATAATTATGGATACATTTATGGCGCCTTATGGCGATGACTCAGCAACAAATCACCAATGATGCTTGGTGGTTGAGCCCCACCCCTCTGAAAAATATTTGAGTGAGTAACAGTTCAGTTGGGAGTATGACATTCCCAACTGAATGGAAAGTCATTCAAAATTCCATGGTTCCAGTCACCACCAAGCAGTATATCTTAGGATTTTGTTGGATCAACGTGAATGGATGGTGTTGTTCTTTGGGAGACACAAATATTCCATCTCAGTATGAATTTCCCGTTGGAACATTGCATTGTCAGCACAAGTCCGTGGATATACAGTTGGGTAAAACAACGCCATAAACCATCCCCCAATTTCACCATAAATATATAGGTGGTATAAACTTACCATTCCCAGTCATGGGTGGTTTATCATTGTTTTACTCCCATCATCCCCTTTCGACAGCGGCACATGACTTTGCAGCCGCCCTGGTGTCGCAATCAATAGCACCGTCGACGTCCCTGCGTCGTTGAGATTTTGAAGGTCCTGGTGACGATGTAAGGATTACTTGTCGTGGTACCTTCCCAGTATATGTTCAATCATCGAAATGAATGTCGGGTCAAGTGAGATCATGAGTGACATCTGTTTAAATTTAAATGAGGGACTGTTTAGTTTGGTCAATTTTCAGGACTCCCATGGAGCGCCCGCTCGGTTAGTGGCTGTCTTCCTGGCGTCCTCCTCCCAGGGAACTCCTCCGGTCATGCAAACCATACCTCCGCAGATCACCCTACTTGGATGATCTCTGAAGGCTGCCAAGAGATTTTCTAGCAAAATACAACATACATACATATGTGATCATATGTGTGCATATATATACATATATATATATATATACGTTACAGGCATGTTACTCGCTTGTGCACCTGAGAATCGTGTCGCTTGTGCACCTGAGAATCGTCTCGCTTGTGCACCTGAAAACTTCCACTTTTACCTCTACTTGCACCTCTGCTGATACTTCCACTTCTACTTCTACTTCCACTTCTACATCTACTATCTTCTTATTTCTACTTCTACTTCTACTTACATTCCCACTTCTACTCCTACATCTTCTTCTACCTCCACTTCTACTTCACCCCACCCCACCCCACCCACCGGTTACTGATCCTGAAAGATCAATGCCTGTGTTTGCAGGACAGCAAGAAAGATGATGAGGTTGCTGTGCCTGTGGGTGCACGGGAACATGAACGTTATTATCCCACCCCACCCCACCCCACCCCACCCCACCACACCTAGGTGCGCAAGTGAGTGATTTTCCAGGTGCGTAAGTGAGTGAATTTTTCAGGTGCGCAAGTGAGTGATTTTCCAGGTGCGCAAGTGAGTCACGTCCCTACGTTACATAATACTACTTATTTATATATATATATAATGTGTATATATACCAACGATAAGCCTGGACAACTTGTCAACAACATTCCTAATCATACGTTGAAAATTCGTTATACTACATAACCCCCTGACCACCAGGATTGTCAACCTGGCTCTCAATGGATTGGTTTTAAGGGAAAATCTATGGTTTCCTGTAGGTGTTCCCAGTTTCATATCCCAGTTACTTGCCATATTTTAATCTCTCCTGGTTAGATCCACAATTTTCGGAACAACAAAATACAATATAAATTGTATAGTATTGTTGGCTATATACTTATTCGATATATTCCACAGTATCCCCACCATATCCATCCATATCCCACATCAACCACAAAATTGTTGACTTACTCCCCATTTTTGGCCATAAATCACAGTAAATTACCATATGAATTCTGAATGTTTTTTTAATACCTTCAATCGCACCAAAAAAACAACAACTAATCCCCAGCTCAATCCCCACAAATCCCATCAACCACCCATGTCTCAAGTATACCCCCATATATCATATGTTTGCCGGTCAAACCCCCTATGTTTGTCATGGTGAAAAACAAATTGTTTTCAAAAACAACTAAATCACACCATGAACAGCATTTTTGAATGGTTTCAATCACCAACTTCACCATTTTCAGTGGTACATCGCCATTAGGGTCTAAATCATCATGTTCATGGGTTCATTCACCGCCACTTTTTCAAACCTCCGTAGATCCAACGGGTTCACTGCTGAGCCACGGCAGCTCTGGTAGAAACTCGTGAGTTTTTCCGCCTCCTTGGCCACTTGCATCGAAAGCTCCCGCACGGGCGTCAGGACCAACATGGCCACAGCACCTGGCCACATTTATATTGATACTTATATGTGCATTATATACTTATTCCTCCCTTATTTAGTGAAAATTGGGTCAAACACAACACCAACCAAGAAAACAACCATTCATTCTTTAAACTTCGGATAGTATGAAGTTTCGTGGGAGAAGGTTTTTTTGTGGGATATGCGTTCGGACCTCACTTTAGGTTACCGGGGCCTCAGAAGCGTACCAATGTGTCATGTTGAAATGGAAGCTGCACAAGAACGCATATCAAGCGTCCCAGCTACTTGTCCTGGCTCAAGCCCCGTACCAAACATAAATATGTATGCTATATGTCATATTGCTCTTCCATTCGATGGGTGAAAACCAGCAAACAGGCAAAAAAAAACGGTGGTCGCGACATGAGACCCAAACCCGGCAAATCTTCAGCAATCTAACTTTTCACCAGTCGGATCAGAATGTATGCCAGACAGAAAACCAGAACTTTTGCCAGGTCCCAGGTAAAATAATTTGCAAAAGATTTGCCAGATAGAACGCCATATTGATGCCAGATAGAACGCCCGAAGCGACACCAGAAGAAATTACAGATAATAGAATGCCAGAATGTATGCCAGGGTTTATGTGACGGGGGGTCGGTCGAAGCAAAGAAGTGTTTTAAGTCTTCTAATCACAATCAGAAAGCTCTGATCACAATCAGAAAATTCTGATTTGCATTTTTTTTGGATAACAATCAGAAAATTCTGATCACAATCAGAAAATTCTGATTCTTGATGTTCAAGTTGGAGTCTTAAGGTTCAAAACCTGTAGAATCAGAAATGTTCGGATACACATGGCCAATAAGCGTTCCAAAGTCACAAGTCACCAAAAACAAACGAACAATGCATCAGAAAAACCACTTGATAGTATAGAAACGCTTATAGCAATGCCACGATCAGAATTTTCTGAAAACCAGCTCGCGCGAAATTTAGTAATATACGGTCAACATTTTCCCGAACATTCGTGTTGTATATGTGTACCAATATGTTCTTAGCACATGTATATGCAACTATTTTCTATTTGTAAATTTAACAATGCATGAAATTGTTTTGAACACTGTATGTAAACCTAAACGAGTTTGTGTATATATATATATGTGTGTGTGTGTGCGCGTGCGTGCCTTATTACGTTTATTGATACAATGATTTACTACATCCCCTATTCAACCAAATACATATTAGCAATGCCAAAATAAACACAATGATGTACATAATATAGACCGTGTGAATACATAAATAGTTTAAATATATATATATATAGCATAACAATCAGCATTTATCATCTTTAGAATTGGTATGTATGTCTAAACCGATATCTTTTTAAATAATGTGTAATAGATTGGTGAGAAGAGTCACAGAAGAAAAAGGAAGAAGAAGATCAGAGAAGAGAAAGAGTCAGAAGAAAGAAGATCCAGGCGCGCTAAAAGGTAGAAAAGTTGCGAGACACTGTGTTTTTTCCAGTGTCTTGTGGCTCCGGATGTCGAAAAGTGCACGCCGTTGTGGCCCGAAGCGTGCTCGTCATGATGGAGTCATATGGAACCCTGAAATGGCAGAACTGGTAAATTCGCATACCCAATTGGCAATCAGTGGGAAGACACCGCTGAAATCGGCTAAAAAGGGTTTATATAATTATCTACAACAAAAAATCATATATGCAAAACATAAATGGCTATCTGATTGTATCACATTGTATCTTAACTGCTATCCACACGTGGTATCTTTGCCCCAAATCAAAGCTGGCGGGCGACATCTGACACGTCTGCAAAATAAGGGAACTGAAAGTAATTTTGGTACAGTTTGGCTGGGATTGCTTTTATCTGCAAAAGTACCAGTACCATGGTCAGTAGTTGATGCGCTTAAAACATCCTATGTATGGATATCAACCGGCAGTTGTCCGACAGTTGTTGGAGGTACATAAAAGTCATTGAAGGCTCAGTCACTAATGGCAGCTAGTTCATCTACAGAATATAATGCTAGACGCCACACAAACAATGCTGTTTACCCTGTTAATCAAACATGGCAATTGGGCAATCCACCATAAATGGAGCTTTTAGGTGGAAAATCATCGAACCAAATGGTGGGTTTTCCAGCCCTGGCAATGATGACAATGGAAGGTACAGTCGTGATTCCGCTGCTGGAATTGACGGGACCGAATCAATCCGAGTTCCCCGGGGGTTCTGTTTTTTATCCCCCATTTTTGGCTGAAATCCGATTGGTGAAGGGATGATCTGCCCCATAACCTCCACTGACCCATCCCATATGAAGCCTGGTTGTAGCTGCCCCTCCAGGAGCCGGTGGATCCTGCGATGAAAAAGGGACCCACCCCCTTAACCCCTGTCCCCTGACCCGTGTCCCCCTAACCCCGGTCCCTTGTCCCACCCCTGTAGCATAAAGTGGTGTGTGTTCATGGTGGTTGTGGGTTCATTACCCTGTCCCCTGACCCGTGTCCCCCTAACCCTTGTCCCTTGTCCCACCCCTGTAAAATAAAGTGGTGTGTGTTCATGGTGGTTGTGGGTTCATTACCCTGTCCCTGACCGGTATCCCCCCTAACCCCTGTCCCCTGTCCCACCCCTGTAACATAAAGTGGTGTGTGTTCATGGTGGTTCTGGCTTCATTACCCTGTCCCCTGACCCGTGTCCCCCCTAACCCCTGTCCCTTGTCCCACCCCTGTAACATAAAGTGATGTGTGTTCATGGTGGTTCTGGGTTCATACATGAAAACGCTTGTGTGTGTGTGTGACCCTACTTTTGCCTGTCTGTCTGACTCGAAAACGCCTCTGTGTGTGTGTGTGTCTGTGTGTGTGTGTCTGTGTGTCTGTGTGTGTGTGACTCAACTTTTGCCTGTGTGGATGACCCTAACACCCCCTCTGGTACCCCCATGGATTGGAGACGTCCAATTTAACTGAGTCATCACAACTTCAGTTGGTTGGTGGTTTGGAACATGAATTTTATTTTCCCATATATTGGGAATGTCACCATCCCACTTGACGAAGTCCATGATTTTTCAGAGGGGCATCTCAATCAAACAGGTGGGCATGGGTGTGGCCCAGCTTTGCATTTTCCTCAGAGCTAAGGCCTGCCCTGATGATAGGGGCGCCTGCTGGCAAAGCAGAGTTGTACACCAAAATTGCCTGAGATCCTTTCCCCCCGCACAGGCCTCCAGGGCTCCAGTGCCTGGTCTGCCTTAAAGCACCGCCAGTGAGTGAACTTGCGTGTCAGGCCCAGCTTGTGCAACAGCCTTTGGTAGGCTGAAGGTTTTGAGGCTGGGATTCTCTGCTGCCTTTGTTGGCTGCTGCAATCGCACAGCCCCAGTGAATCAAGTGCATGCAAAGACCTTTGGGCACTGTGGAGGATGAGGCCCTTGCGCACCTCCACACCCATTGTGTTTGAAATGAGCTCAGCAGCCCCTCCATCCACTTGCTGCTCAAACATCTCCCAGCTGCAACCATTTGGCCTCACTCTTGTCTCCAGCCTAAAGCCTTGCCACTCCACCATTGCTTCCACCATCCCTTCCACCTTCCCTTGCAGCCTTGTCAGCTGCTGGTGGGTGGGTGAAGGCTTCAGGAAATTGAATGGGTGGGAGGCCACAAGCTTTGAGGTGGTGCACCCACCCAACAGGATAGAGCTTGAACTTCCGGAAAGTACATGCTGTCCTATGTCCAGCCCTGCTTGGAGAATAAGCTCTGTTGCCTCTGCAGGTGGCAGGACCCTTCGCATTTCAGGTCAGTTGGGCACCAAGACTCCTCTGTAAAACTCCATGGCTGGAAGTTTCATTCCATAGCCACACACCATGACTTTGAATGCAATTTGGCCCTTGGCCTTGTCCAGGAGCATGGCCAAAAGGCCAGGGGCCATCCCTGAGCAGCTGGTGCAGAAGGATGCACAGCTTTGATCTTCTGGCTTCCATCCGCTGGATATTGTCTCCTACCTCATCAGTGAGCAGCCTCACTGTAAAAGGTGAGCTGCAAACCTCAAGCCCTGGTGGAAAGCCAGGTTGTTTAGCTGCAGAGCCCCCAAATACCCAGCTATCAGCTAGCAAGGGCAAAGACTCTGGGCAGGAAGGGCGCACACAAATAATCCATATCCATTGCAGTCTTGATGCCTTGGCCAGTCAAGCTCCCCCAGATTGATGGGCTCACTGGGCCCAGGGGTTGAAATGCTGCTGGCTGATGTTGCTTGTTCTTGGGCCGGACAAGGGATTCAGGGTTAGGGGGACACGGGTCAAGGGAAGGAGGCAGTGGTTGAGGCAGCGCACAACGGACAGGGACAGGAAGGAAAGCCACAGATTAGCGCACACGCACTCACAGGAGAGGGAACTAAGACTAGGAACAAGAGCCAGGAGACGAGTACAGACACGCTGGGTTTCTACATTTACACACACATACACAGGCAAACACACTGGGATTCTACACTTACACACACATACGCAAGCAATGGGAAGGGAAGGAGACCGTGGCTGAGGCAGCACACAACGGACTGGGACAGGAAGACAAGCCACAGATTAGCGACTAGGAACAAGAGACAGGAGATGAGTACAGACACGCTGGGTTTCCACACTGACACACACACATACACAAGCAAACACACTGGGATTCTACACTTACACACGCATACATAAGCAATGGGAAGGGAAGGAGACAGTGGCTGAGGCAGCACACAAAGGACAGGGACAGGAAGGGAAGCCACAGTTTCGCACATACGCACTTACCGGAGAGGGAACACAGCCAATTAACACGAGACAGGCGATGAGCACAGAAAAGCTGGGTTTCTACACTTACACATACACACGCAAAGGGCACAACGATACAAGGCCACGTGCCATCCCCGCCACCCCAAAGATACTCAACCTTCTCTTGCTCCTCCGCTGCCTGGAAGCACGCACAACATGCATTTTGTGGCCTCTCTGCTTCAACTTATCGTCTATCAGACATCTGACTTCCAAACTCTCTTCGCCAAACTATACAGATACAAATATTCCTTCAGATATATATTAAAATGTAGATTACATTCCCGGTCTCTATGTATGGACATATAGTGCGACCGCAAAAATCAAAACAAAAGAAGGACAGATGTATCTATACCTATACATGATTATACATGTAGAGAAATCAAATAGGTAACAACATATTGACGTGTCTTTCTCCCATGCATACACATTAAGGACACCACTCAGCGCAGCTACAGACTTGGATTGCTTCAATGTCTCACCCACGCAAAGGCGTCCAGCCCTAACACAGCAACATCTTTGACTCTTGCACTGGTTTGAGGGGCGCAAATATCTCGCATCCAACGGACTAGGCTTTAACGCACTGAGACAGGATCAGCCTCAGATGACCCTGGTGAATTACAAATTCAATCCGAACATCACAGATGACCACAGGTGGGTTACATCCACGACTTCGGAAGCGGACCATGCTCTTCCACCTTGTACGGCTTATCGAACCAACAACGTCTCCCTAATCCAACTCGCTCCTCGCAACGGAGACGGGCAAAACAATTCATTTATTCAACATGGCTTAGTATAAAATCAGCATCAGCTCGCTATGCACCGGACCTGCTTGTCATATGTATACTTTGCTGAACGCATCAACACATCGCCTGCCAAAACTGACAACCTGCCACTGGCCTGACAGTAGTGCACCTTTGGTCTCACGCAGCCAGCAAAATGAGCCCAATCCATAGCGCGAACTGCGCTCTTCAGCAACTTCTGACGCATAGCCTCCGCACCCAGATTCAAGTCTGAATGCCACTGACAGACACGGTCCAGGAAATCTGGCACCTGGAGGCAAACGTCGAAAGCTTTTGCAAGAGCCGTCATGACTCGGCAGCATGCTGTCTCCGACTCAGTGCTGCAAATGGCCAACGCGCATTCATGAAAGGACGTGGTCCAAGTGTCGGACCCTCTATCTTTCTTGTCATTGCTCCAAGCCTTTGAAAGCAAGCCAACACAAATCAGAATGTGGCCTTCCCATACCACACGAAAAACGCCATCCCCGCTGACCCTCAAAAATGATTTGTTCTCTAGGCGACTCCACCATGCTCCTTAGGCACGCGCAACTTATCTGACCTCTTAGCAGACCAAATGGCCCACGATCAGCATCAAATGTTATCCTTGCATCTTCACACGCTGATGGATCAGCACATGCAATTGCTCTCTATTCATTGCATGACGTTTGACAATTTCAAACTTGATATGATTGACATACTTGATATGATTGACATATTTTATTTTAAAAACATGTGACAGTTCAAAAACAATTAACAATATATTGCTATATATTAGTATTCGTCTTTGGGGTGACCCCCGAAACCAACAATCCCACACACCGAGCAGCGCAGGAGACGAGGGCTAACGAAAGTGCAAGTCAGATCTTCATCCAAGTGGGCCTCAACCAGCACCAGGGGATGCACGTCACCGCTGCCAAATTCCTCCAAGGTGGGGTAGGATTCCAGCAACAACTCCCAATCTTCTCGATGCCATTTCCCGGAGCCACCTCGCCGAGCCCCTGCCTGCACCTGAATGCAAGCACCCGCTGACAAGTCGTGCAATCGAACAACTTCCCACATGGCCGCTTGAATGAACCGTTCCAAAAAAAAATCTTATCACTTCTGACCAGGTTAAGGGATCACTTAGAGCACCGGAAAGTGGATCACTTAGAGCACCGGATCACTTAGAGCACCATGGGATCACTTAGAGCACCAAAAAAGTGGATCACATAGAGCACCAGAGAATGAGACCTTTAGGGTAACACTTGGGCACACGGGGCTGGGAAATGGGGTGAGTTTAGGGGACCAGCATGGTGGAATGAGACCTTTAAGGTAACACTTGGGGACACATGTTCCTGATAGAATGTAACTTGCCACATGTTCCTGATAGGTTGTAACATCTTCTTCAAGTAACTTGCAAGACGTTCCTGATACGTTGTAACATGTTCGTCAAGTCACTTGCAAGACGTTCCTGATACGTTGAAAAACTCTTCTTCAAGTAACTTGCCAGATATTCCTGATACGTTGGAACATCTTCTTCAAGTAACTTGCAAGACGTTCCTGATACATTGTAACATCTTCGTCAAGTAACTTGCAAAGACGTTCCTGCTACGTTTTAACATCTTCTTCAAGTAACTTGCAAGACGTTCCTGATACGTTGTCGTATCTTCTTCAAGTAACTTGCAAGATGTTCCTGACACGTTGTATGGTGCTCTCCCAGCGCCGAAAAGCGGATCGCGTGGAATGTTATCGCGTGCTTCAGCGACATATGAATCATCCATTTATGTGTCTATATGCCTCTGCGCATATATGGAACTCTAGCGCTATGTATCTCTTATGTCACTTTTCGGCGTTCCAAGCGATCCACTTTCCGGCGCTCTAAGCGATCCACTTTCCGGCGCTCCAAGAGAACCCCCGACCGACCGTCCTCTGGGTCTCGCTTTTGCAAATTTTTGACGTAGTTCTTGAGAATGCGTTCCTTGGGGGTCGAGCTTTGAACTTTCTTTCGCCCAATCTCCTGGCAGAGATGACTAGAAAAGACGCTGATGCCACTTAGGGCCCGACCGCATCATCATACATGTCCGCGTACGTTACATATGTCCAAACAGATCAGACTAGCGAACTCATGTCAACCAGGCAAGTTTACCAGAAATATGGCTGCCAAACCCTGTTCACGCCATGTCTCACCTTGACACAAAAGGCCCCATCGCTACCCTTAAGGGTTTCTCCACTCTCAACTCTCTGTAAAAAGTTTCTTTAAAGATGTTTAAAATAGCATGTGTGTGTGTGCGTCAATATCGATGAACCAACGATGATGAGTTGTACCTTTTTATGTATATATACATATACGTATATATAAAAATTACCGATGTCAATATTATATATATATACATACACATATAATCATATATAGAGGAATCAATGATGCAATGAACCCAGAAAGTACTAGTACTGGCAGCAGCAGCAACGGCAATAGTGATATAGAATCAATAGAACTAGTCGCAGTCGAAGAAGTACTACAAACAGTCATGACACCACAGAAATGCTGTTGCCCGGTCCTAACGAAATGGTGGTGCCCGGTCCTGCAGCAGGGCTTCGATCCTGTAGGTTTCCTTCGTCACAAGGTACTCCTTAACGAACTTCTTCGTAGCAGCCGTCAAACCATGGTCGTCTGAGGACGAAGTCCTCAGCAAAAGATGGTTGACACTTTCAACTTCAATACCTCACTTCGGATGTGTCAACTGGTCATTCGAAAGCCGAACTGATGTTATTCTCATCGAAATGTACATAGGACACAACAATTGCACAACAACCCCATGGAACCATCACACACTGCATCCTTCTATCCACAATGAAGATACCCGAATGACAAATCCTTCTGAATCCATCTGCAACGGTGCCACCCAGACACCTGTCCAAGCCAGCGTGCTTTTCAGCCGGTGTTGCACGGACTTTCAGCAGCTTCTTGTGAGGGAAATACGTAGCCCATCCGAACCACGAACACTTTTTGCACGAAGTGCACCAGAAATTCCATTCTAAAGTTCCATTCGCACGTGTTCGCTTCGACATATCTATTTCAACATGCTGAGGACCACTAGCACACCAATCGCGAATACACTTCTTGATTCGCTTGTCAGTCCACGCCTTCGTGACTCTCCTGGTGCTGCTGAGTGAACTGCGTCTCCTTCACTTTCTGCCCGGCACGTCGCGCCGGCCGTTTGAGAACATGTCTCGCAACATGTCTCGCAGCCGGTCTTTTGACCATGAGCGAAAGTTCGAAGAGTGAGAACAACTTGACGTTTGTAGACAGGTGGAACATGAAACTGCGCCCCTTTGCGAAGCTTTGAAACATCCAACAGATTAATTGTGCTCCTGCTTAGTCACTAGACATGTCAAGATTCTTTCTGGCCCCTTTAGGGTCATGTCTAACATTGTCTCTTGAGCAAACAAATCAAAGAACACGCAGCAAGCCACACATGCAATGCTCAATCTCCAATCGTGCCTCCCACAAAAAAATCTCTCAACTCATTCGCCCAAGCCCTGCCTTGGCATGCTTGCGCACACCAGTAAGCCAGGTTGATCATGAGGTCACCTCCCTCTCGCTCCAATCTGTTGTTCTGTGTTTGTATATGAATGAACGCATGGTTTTACGTAAGTATGTGCGTCTGTACGTGTGTTTGCGTGTGTGTTTTCTTGTATGTATAGGTGTGCGTTTATACGTGTAGGTATGTTTGTCGGTGTGTGTGTGTATGTCGGTACTGCTGCGTCTCTGTATGTACAAAGGTATGCATGTGTGAAAAATACAAGAGACTGCAAAGCGTCAAGACATTAGCGTGATGATGAGATGTATTGATACTTTTTATCGACTCTTGCTGGGGTTTCACCGTTCCCAGCTCCCTGTAAAGAGTCATTTATATGAGTGACCGTAACAATGATGGGATATATTCACATATTGATAGACAATGAAAAATACAATGAAGGGATGAAGCAAGTATGCTACATAGCGACTCATGTACACACATCTGTGTGCATGAATGTAGGTACGTGTGTATGTATGCGTCGCGTCTCTGTGTTGCTGTGTGTCGGTGCTATGTATCCCCGTGTGAGATATGATATGATATGATGCATGTAAGAACGCATGCATGTGCGACCTCACCGCTATGCAGACTTCTAGATAGCAAAACATCACAAATGAAGCAAAACGCATGCGTATGCGACCCCAAAACATATGCGCCAGCGACCCTGCAAAACGCATGCGTGAGCGACCCCGTGACCACCACCAAATCCAAAATCAGACCATGTTAGTATTAAAATACCCATGGTGACTTGGGGATCCCCATTTGAAGAAACCCACCAAATACGAATCAAACGACAGTGGACCGCTCCTCTCTATGGCCGGCAGAAGGAAACTCAACCTGAGCTGGAGGCAACTGCAGTTTTTTTGGCTGTGATTGATAGTGAGAGCTGGCGGCTACACTAGAACAACAACACCAACAACACCAACAACAACAACAACACCAACACCAACACCACCACCACCACCACCAACAACAACAACAACACCATCAACACCACCACCACCACCACCACCAACAACAACAACAACACCAACAGCAACAGCAACAGCAACAGCAACAACAACCACAACAACAACCACAACAACAACCACAACAACCACCAACCAACAACAACCACCAACCAACCAACCAACCAACCAACCAACCAAACAAACAAACAAACAAACAAATAAGCAACAACGACAGGATGGGTGCCTCAAAGAGAAGTTAGGGATATTAATATTAATGATAATGATACTACTGACATAAAATCCGAATGATCCTTCAGCCCAATGGTTCCTCTTCACTTCATCAACAAGCAAACATCGAAACATCGTGGTTGAAACTCGGGTATGGCGAATACAATTTGAAAATCAGTGGAGTGCACGTGATCAATAGTTAAAATAGTTCAGCTTTGATATCAATTATATAATAAGGTAATGTAAATCTATGATAGACGGTTGCATACTTATGTAATGTGGTTAAAGCAATGCCATTTGCACCATCCCCCAGTCATCACCATAAATATATGTTATATAATATGGTATAAGGTATAAACCTTCTATAATTAAACATCTATAAACATCTATAAACTATTCCCATGGGGTGGTTTATGACATTTTTTTAGCCACATGAAATACACGAATGGAACATCCCCGTCGAAGCAACGTCTTGCCACTGCCCGTCTTGGCGCGAGCCAACAGTTCCTGGCCCGCCAGGATAGGATGAAAACTCCGCGTCTGCACCGGCGTCCTCGGTGGAGGATATCACCGAGAAATGATTGCGTTTCATGGAAAATCCTATGTTACCCTCTGGTAAACATACAAAAAACGCTGGAAAATCATCATTTACAATACTGTAAGCAAATCAACTATAAATCATCATTTTCAATAGCTACGTGAACAGAGGGTAAAATTCATGTTAACGGGATAATCCTCTATGAATTGATCACTTCTCGCGGTACCCTTTTGTGTTGGCTAACAGCCCATGTTGGTACTGTCTATCTTCACTCGATAATTAAACATAGTAAACACCTCAAAAGCACACTAAAAACAAAGTAAACACATAGTTTGTATTGGTGTTTGTGGTGGTGTTGTTGTTGTTGTTGCGCGTAAAGACATAGTTTAGGTCACATTAAAACATCCATATTTGAAGTACATCCCCTCCACATCCGACCCTTGCAGCCCTGGCACATGCGTTCGTAGCCAAAGCTCGCCATGGCCTTCTTCCCTTCGGCCGAGAGCTCAGTAAGATCCGCAAAGCGAGGGAGCTCCTGTGCGTTAGGTGAACTCTTCTGGGGACAAACCAACCAAATAAGGGGATACCCTCTGGTAAACTAACATAGCAATGGAAAGATCCACCATTTTTTATGGGGAAATCCACTATTTCTATGGCCATTTTCAATTGCTATGTTAGTTCACCAGAGGGTATCATGGGGATATCATCAGCTGTGGAATTTCAACAAGAACAGGTTCCGGTCAGATGTTTAAGGAATTCAAGAGAGGCAGTGCTACAAAGCATGGTCTGACACCGCCCGATTTTTCACTTTGTGACAACGATTAGAATGATTTGAAATCATTTGGTCCCCATCAATGGATATCGATTGAGCCAACACTTTAAAGTTGAACCAAACAACACTATAGTTCCACTATAGTTCCACTATTAATAAGTAAATAATTTAGTCCCACAATAAATTGATGACATTGTCCAACAATAGTGGGACTATAGTTGATGGATTTAGTCCCACTAAGTCACTAGTCCCACTATTAAAGTTGAACCAAAAACATGATGGTTAAAGTCCCACTGTCCCACAATATGCCTCTTCCTGGATGTTCTTAGTGCATTTGTCCGTGGGAATTGCGATGGAATTTATTGGTTCCTTTTTGGTAAAAGAGTAATTTGAATGCGGAAGGAATCGTGAATTGCCCATTTACATCAATTTACCTTTGCATAGTGATTTTGAAAAATCTGGGATTAGCCCTCTTTGAACCAAGCGGGGGGAGATGACATTGGTATATGTGTTCATTTCCTGAAGTATCTCCGCATCACTCACAACAAATTGTTAAATTTTCTATTTCCTGGTTCCTTTGCCCAAAATTCCATGTTCAACTACTAGGTAAGTCCACGTCTTTATATACTGGACATGCACGACTTTCAATGTAGGAAATGGGTGGATATGAGACAAGCATTTTTTGGCCAAGATCACCATTTTTGGTAAAGAGTGGATGCTTTTACATGTTGTTCTCAATTTTCCACGTAAGCAGTTTTCACTTCTTTATACTACAGTATGGTTGATAGGTTTTCATATTATGGATTATGGTAGTCTCCAATTCTATAGGGTAGATCATCCATCTAGAATTATGGATTATATACTAATGATTATACTAATATGGAATACATGAATATACTAATGATTATACTAATATACTAAATTATACTAATATCATCCATATAATTATGATGGTAATCATTAGTATAATCCATACGAATCCATATAATCATCAAGCAACAGGGAAAGAATCGCAGCTCGAGGCCATTCCTCCCCAGCCCCTTCTCCGACTCCACCTCTTTCGGCACCGTCGCAGCATAGCCCGCCATGGCGGGAAATCCGGCGATCGGTTGGGAGTTTACGACCGAACTGGCTGATTCTGATGAGTTTTTTCGCATGGCAAATTCAAGCATCCTTAAGTTTCAAAGATGTTGCTTAAACAAGGTTGATTTAAAAAAAAAAAGCATCTGGAATGACTGCTCACTGCTACTAGCTGCAACTGCTATGATCTATTCTTGGGTGCTTAGAATGGTGGCAGTGCAGAATGTGGGGTTGTGGATTCCTGGTTCTTTTTCTTGTCTTCGAATCATCGAACAGGTGGCATCCGGCAGGTGCATCAAAACTTGGCGTCAGCCTGAGTCCCAACATTTGTTGGCGAGGTCGGACCCGCAGGTTTCAGTTCGTGATCATCAAAACCCAACCCCTTACCATGTCCCAACACAGTGATGCCCCCACTATAAGAGTTGAAGCCTCTCAAATCTCTCATTTCTGGCTCAAATCACTAACCCTCTGGTGAACTAACAGTTTGCTATGGAAAATCACCATGTTTTATGGGAAAATCCACTATCTCTATGGCCATTTTCAATAGCTTTTTGTTAGTTCACCAGAGGGTAAGATCTGTGGAGAGTCTCCAAAATTTGCTGGGGAAATCCACACAAAGTGTTCTTTTTTTCATCCCAAAAAAACAGCCCATGGTTTCCCTGGCCATGACTGGCAGCTCATTTTACGAACATCGCCACAGGATGGGGCCCAGTTATGTAAGTTGGTTTATAAACTATTAAATCATCCCCATTAAGTATAGTTTAATAACATAACATATCTACCATAAACCATAGAATTCAGCCACTTAGGGCCTAGGGCTATGGGCACCCAATTTAACCTCTTGGGAATGACCCAAAACGGCACCTGCACGACGGTGAACTGGCTCCGTGTTCCGGACTGAGCCTTGGATGCCAAATCGCTGGGATTTCTGGTTCTTCGTTCATGAGAAAACACGATACAAAGCTATTGAAAATGGCTATTTATAGTGGATTTACCCATTTAAAATGGTGATTTTCCTATTAAAAATCGTGATTAAGCTATTGAAAATGGCTATTGATAGTGGATTTACCCATTAATAGCATGGTGGATCTTTCCATAGTTATGTAAACGTTTACCAGAGGGTAAAACATGATAAACCCCCTAAACAAATACTGGAAAGTGTCTGAAAAATCATAGGGGATAAATGCCCAAATGTTGATGGTTCATCATGTTCCCGGCATTTCGTTTCACTGCTTCAATAAAAAGTGGGTAAATCCCACCATTGCGAGCGCCTACGGATCGCATCATCATGCGGCGATCTGTATTCTGGTGAATCTTCCGCAAAATAATCTTGATACCCTCTGGTGAACTAACATAGCAAAGGAAAATGGCCATTTATAGTGGATTTTCCCATAAAAAATAGTGATTTTCCATTGCTATGTTAGTTCACCAGAGGGTACCCTCTGGTAATTTAACATAACTATTGAAAATCACCATTATTAATAGGTAAACCTGGGAATATAACCAGTGCTGGAGATTGGAAATGGAACATTTTACCCTCTGGTAATTTAACATAGCTATTGAAAAAATGGACCATTGATATTTGATTTACTTATTGTAAATGGTGGATCTTTCCAGTTCGCGAACTGTAAACGTTTACCAGGCCGGGTAATTGTCCACCTCCCAACATGGCAATTTGGATTCTGATCACCTCCAATTACCAATATCTGGTTGGTGGTTGAGCCCTACCCCTCTGAAAAATGATGGACTTCGTCAGTTGGGATCATGAAATTCCCAACTGAATGGAAAGTCATTCAAAATTCCGTGGTTCCAAACCACCAACCAGTGTAAAGGATAGTAATTCTTTATAATGATCAACAACCAACAGGCTTTTTTTCATGCCCGATATTCCCCCCTGATACCATTCAGCAAAGGCAGGAGGTCTTTTTCAAAAACGGCGGAAAAACGCTTGCATCCGATTCTACCCACGCCGGCTGAGACTGAGAAAATTTGGCGCGTCCTACTGCAAGAAGGGGTGGGCCAACACCTGTTGAAGCGAACAGAAACATGGCGCGGGGAGGCCCGGGTACCTGTGTCAGAACAATAATATATCATGACATATCATGACTGTGATACAGCCATGATGATATCTAGTACGTGGTTGGGAAACTCTTGGTAGCTCCGAATCCCTCCCCATTTAATAGGGACTATGAATACCCATAGCTCCAAATCGCTCCCTCCTAACCACTGGATAGACATAGCATATATAGCATTATGACTAAATCATGAGTGAATTCCAACAGGCATTAATCCAAGTTACATGATTTGTAGGTTGTCACCTACGACATCCCTGGATGGCATCTTGATTCCAAGTTTAAACACATCTACCGACACACAAATCCATCTATTGAAATGGTTTTTCTATGTTGACATATATTTCTTTGGCCAAAAAGTCCTAAGTTGGCTTTCTGGTTCTTTCAACCCCCAAAAATATCTCATCAATGTCGTCCTCATCCAGGATGATGGGAACCAAACAAATCTCCATCTCCGTTCGACGCCTGGTCGATGGTCGGTCGTTCGGCGGGGTTCACCTTCAACAGGCTTCGGACCAAGTCCTGGTCGATGGAGGATGGTTGGGATGCCATGGAAATACCATGGAAATACCCTCTGGTGAACTAACATAGCAATTGAAAATGGCCATAGAAATAGTGGGTTTTCCCATTAAAAATTGCCATTTTCAATAGCTATGTTAGTTCACCATGGAAATACCAGAGATGTCCATGGTTTTCCATGGTATTTCTGTGAATGATTCAATGATGTGATGATCATGAAATACCATGAAATCCATGGTGAAGTATAAGACCATGTGAATATACCAATATGCCATGACAATTGGAGCATACACTGGAGAAATACCATGAAATAGCATGAAAATATGGTGCTTCAAAATCGAACATGGAGATTGTTTATAGATACAACGTGCTGCAAAATTACAACACATTCTAGATGTCAGAGCATCAACCTGAAATGATTCAGACATCATGAAGTCCCGCTTGACATGTCTCCCCAAAGATTGGATGGTGTATCATGAGCCTCACTGTTTTCTTTGGAAACCTTGACTTCCTAACTCAGAGGCATTCGGCTCTCATGAACTACCAACGCCTAGCAAAACAACAAATGAATGTCCAAATCAAAATCAGTAACATAATCAGTTAATCATAGTGAATCTGATAATGACTTAATGTGGAATTAGACCAGTGTCATAGAGTCATAAACCTGTCAATTTGGGATACTTGAACTCCCTAGCCATTTTTTCTGTGCGTCGGCTATGGAATGGTATGGATTCCTCCACCTGTCCCAGGTGTCCTGTGCGTTCGGGGAGCATTTGCTCAACAGACTGGGATCATACTCGCCATCCACGATCTTGCTCTCATCCTCCGGCGCAGCCCAACAAACTTCCGACAGCAAACCCTGACCTTCAAACTGTGCTTCCAAAGGACCTTGGGGAAGTTCAGGGAATCGGATGGTTTCAAGAAGTTGCAAAAAAAATCTAAGCTGAGGATATAGTCGAAACCGTGTGTTTTTTTACAGTGTACACTAAATCAAGGTTGTTTATCAACTAATTTAGCATTTTCCTCCATTAACATTACAAAGTTTTCGGTACCCCATTTTGGACAAATCCAACGGCGACACGACGCCGCAAGCGGTCCGTGAAGGGCTTCACACCGGTGAGCATGACATACATGGTGACTCCCAGACTCCTTGGCAAATGCGAAGCTCAATGGATTGATGGACTGGGAAAAAAACGGAAACCAGGCTTCTTTATCACCAAAAAAAAGGGGGATCCTGTGAATTGCCACAGAAATTCTGGGAGAATGGTGGCTAGTATGATGGTACTGCGAACTCTGTCGTGAGAACTTGGGGATTTGTAAAACATCAACTCATTGGTTTGGTCACAAGCGATCATCCACCATTCTATCCCTTTCCTCTAGATATCTTGCAACAAATCCCAAGCCTACTCCAAAACCATCTGAAGCAATTAATTGACGAACCATCAACCTTAAACTTCATGGTTTTCAAGTGATGAAAACAAATGCCAAACAATTGCAAGCAAACAAACAACACTAAAACAACAAACCATCCCTTACCCTCCGCCAAAACTAACATAGCGAACTGGAAAATCACCATGTTTAAGAGACCATGGCCTCCATCTATCCCATTATCCCATGGAAAATCCCCTTGTAAGTGCTATTTTGACAGAGCCAAATCACCACTTTTAACAGATAAATCAACTATAAATGGCTATTTTTTCATGGGAAAATCACCATTGTTCATAGGAAAATCACCATTTTTCATCCCCGTTTCGGATACCACCGAGGCACCACAAATCGACAGCCTTGGTGAATTCGCGTTTTGGCAACTCCACAAACTCCACGGCGAAGGGAGCCGTGAGACCACCCAAAATCTCGGTGATGGCGGTGACACCTGCCTGGTGTCAGCGACTTTTCGAAGCGATTTTCCACCACTCGAAAATCATGTTTTTGATACAATAAAAATATTATATATATATACATCAGTATGAATAATCTATGCACTATTATGTATATATATATGTACTATTATATATCTATAATGTACATATGTATATATTGGAATGTATTATATATACAGAACTATATATACTGATCCTTGGCGGATTTGGGTAGCTGCAGCCAAATGAGATTCTTGTAGATTTGGGTGTTCTGGAAACCTCATGGGTGATGGAGGCGAACCAACATCCACTATGACTATGACTATCATGACCTTGCCTGAAAATATGGTATCTCAAAGTTTGATAGTTGCCTTAATGTGGTGGGTATATTCCATTTGCAGACAAACCCAGATATCATAATTATTTTGCTGGTATATCCCTGAAAACATCGCCATTATATACCAAAAATAAAATACTGATATCCATATGACCAAATATAAGTAAACAAGTTACCCTCTGGTAAACTAACATAACCGTGGAAAGATCCACCATGTTTAAAGGGTAAATCCACTATGTCTATGGCCAGAGTGTTGACATAACCAGAGGGTATCATAGATACTTTCAGGGATTATCTTGTTGATATATCCCTCCCATGAAAAAATACCAACAATATACGAAGATATTTTATTACCCAATATTATTATATCACCCGGACACCATGAGGGTATTAATATTATTACCCAGATATCATATTATACTTCATTAAATGTTGAATATCCCTGTTGGAATATAATATCTGGGTAATCATATCATATTAATATTATTGCCCAGATATTTAATTTATACTGATTGCCAAAATATTACCCAGATAATTAATATTATTGATACTATACTCCCATTAATAAAACAAGATATAATGACAGATGTTATATTATATTACAGATATAACAAGATATATCTATGAGATCTATGACAACAATATAATCCCTCCCTGATATATCCACTATCGCTCACCACCCCTTCGCACCAGCGCCTTGGTGCCTGCGCCCAGTTCGTTGAAATCCTTGCGTTGGGCGAGGGGACTTTCGGGGTTTTAAAGCCACAAAAAAAAACAACGAAATTAAATAGCTGTGTGTAAATAAAATAATATATATATATATTATTATTTTACTATATTATATTATATTATAGTATATTCTATTATATTATTTTATTTTACATTATATCATATATTATTATATATTATTCCTTTTTATTATTCTTATATATTCTATTATATTATATTAAATTATGTTATATTATATTATATTATTTTACATTATATCATATATTATCATATATTATTCCTTTTTATTATTCTTATATATTATATTATATTATATTATATCATATTATATTATATCGTATTATATTATATTATTTATTTTTATTTTATTTTATATTATATTATTTTATATTATTTTCTATTATATTATATTATAGTATATTATATTATATTATATATTTTTATATTATATTATATTATAGTATATTATTTTATATTATATTATATTATATTATATATTATATTATATGTTATTTTAAATATTAGATATTATATATAATATTATATATTATGTATTATATATTACATATTAGATATTAGATATATAGTGTATATATATAGTATTTTTTATATTATAGTTAATCATCAACAATATAGTATATTCAATTGTTGTGTATTTGTATAGTTCTTAATTGGGTGAATCAACTATTGAATCTATTGTGAAATTGGTGAATAATTAGTTGAATCAACTATCAAGCATTGTGACACCAAGTGAATCAAATATGGCGAATGAAACTTTGACAACTAGTTAAGAACTAGTGCCAAAACTATTACACTCCCCAAAAATAACATAGAACTGCATGCTATTCCTGAGGTCTCCTAACATGAACCTATGGTACGGTCTCAAGTGGCTTTTGTTCCCAAGGAAATCATGCAACTAACTTTTTCAATAAAATCGCTCAAAAACTGACATGGAACCCAATGCAGGCCCAAACTGAGCCCAAACTGCACCCTGAAACAGCCAACATGGAGTTTGAACAAAAGTTATCACAAAGCGATCTGCAACCTTGAAGGGTGATTTGAAGGTTAACCTGGAACCCAAGTGGTTTTTAAGGCATTTTCATTGAAAATTCCATGTTAGTGACTTTCGGGCGACCCTACCTTTCACTTCGTATTGCGCTCACATGTTAAAAACTATTCAGGTTCCAGGTCTGTGGTGGGGGAAGAACTGAAACCAAAAACAATCAAAAACACCTCCAAGAAAAGGTCGTGACTTATTTTTCGATATGTGTTGGGTTCCGTGTTCGTCGCACAACCTTCCAAAGTAAGCTGCGACAGGCAGAAAACCCGACAGCTAAGAGAGAAAAAACAAGCGACATGAAAGGATAACAAATATCAGCAAACTAAGAAAAAGATGGAAAGAGCAACAAGGAACCCGCTCATGAATTTTAACATGGGTGCGCTAACATGGAACCCTTCATTGTTTTTTCATTTTTATTTTTGCCCAACCCAATAGTTTTCGGGAGAGAATTCAGCTCTGAGGCTTTTGATAATTGAGAAACATGGTATATTATCCCATATTATCCCATCATATCCCATCATATCCCATCATATCCCATCATATCCCATCATATCCCATCATATCCCATCATATCCCATATTATTGGCCGGTTCTCTCCAATGATTCTGATTTTGAGAAATCGTGGGCCTTTTTATTAGATAGAACTCTCCTCCCATTGGGATAAAGATTGGCAATTTTAGCGTCTTTTCAAAAAAAAAAACATTTATGAAAAATCCTCAATCCTTTTTTTTTCACATGAAATATCCCATGAATTCCCAATGTGTGTTGATTTTTTTAGATCCCATTAATTTCCCATTAATGACCCATTTATTAGATATCATATTCCATGGAAAATTCCCATGCTAATGTCATCCCATCATCTCCCCAGGTAAAAAAACACATAAATCTCTGCAGGATGGGGCCCTTGTTCGATAGCGTTCAGTTGCCTTATAAGTGGCAAAAAAACTACGGTTTATAGATGTTTATAGTAGATATACTGTAACTATAGTATTCATGGTGGTTATAATGGTTTATAAACGAACTTATAAGTGGGGGGCCCTATCCTGTATGATATATTCGTAATGGTGATTTTCGTTAGAATCTATGAAATCCATTTAAATCCCATGTAAATCGCCATTCCTCTTCTTCATCTCTGTCCTTCATGAAGGTGCCCCATATTTTTTTGCAAATTTGGAAATCCTGATACTGTGGATGGTTGCGAAATCCCACCAAAAGGATAAGTTGAAACCCTATAAATAATGGGATGTTTACCACGTTCATGGTTTTTTTTCCACATATATCAACTGGTGAATTTCATCCATCCACAGTATGATATCCATTCTGGTGGATTTCATCCATCCATCCAGGACTTCTCCCATCAGTTTCCCCCTCATCCGCCATGTCATCTCCAAGTCATCCATCTGTCCTTCACGAATGGCATTTCCAAGATCTCAGTGCCGTTGATGGAGGCAATGGCCCAGCCGTCGCCCACGTTGAACTGCGCCGCTTGTCCTGGCGATGAAGCCGTTGACCAAGAGATTTATGGATGATTCAAGGTGATTTTTAGTAGATTCTATCCATGAAATCATTAAATATGGTGATTTCGTGTGATTTTGTGGGTGATTTAGTATACTGTAGTTTCTATTGGATGACATTTGATTATGATCTTTACGATCTTCACATCCGTTTTTTCTATGAATGTCAACTAATCAGAGTGTTTGAACAACGAAAGCAACCAAGTGAACCTCTACCAACGGTGATGATTGACTTGCCATGCTACGTGATAGTCCCCCGCAGTTGTCCCAACCTAGGGTTCTGTTACTGCACTTGCTTCTACCCATGCGGACATTCGTCTCAGACGCGAGCGCCTGGGATTTCTGTTCCCAATCCACCCCGCATCCCGTATTCATCCATACCTATTTTGGCTGCTCAACGCCCACTTCTTGTTGGATCATAATGATCCCAACTCCAATTTTTGCAAGGAAAATGAGCCGCAGAAACAGAAACTGGAGTTAAACATATTCAGCATCAATATACGTCAATGCCATGAAATTCAACAATTCAATACAGTTCACGCTATTCAGCAAAAAAACAATCCATCCTAAATCACTAAATCAGATTAGACTCAGATGTATTCAGTATTCCTGGACACTGAATCAATTTCAACCCTGGAGTCATAAACCCCTACTCTGTGGCAAATTGGAGTACATAATATAATATACCAAGTATAATAATTATACCATCTTTCCATCATTCAAGAATTAGATCAAATCAAATATAGCATAATATAGCCACTACTTGGGGACTATCCCATAATAAACCATGATTTATTGGGATTCACTTAACAAACCATAAAGAGTTCGTTGAATTAGTTCGATGATTTTCCCAAACGAACCCCTCCATAGTTGTCACCATGGTCCCACCATCATGAAATTCAGTACATCATGAAATTCAGTACATCAGCTATAAACATCTATAAACATCATTGATTAACCCCCTTTGGGTTGGTTAATGATTAACCACCATTAGATGTTTATAGGGGGACCATTATGAACCATCATAAGCTGTTTAAACCATGATTACCCTCTAAACTAACATAGCTATTGAAAATGGCCATAGAAATAGTGGATTTTCCCATTAAAAATGGTGGATCTTTCCATAGTTTCTTGTATGTTTACCAGAGGGTAACCAAAATTTTGGGCTTGACTCCCCCGGGGCCCCTTTCGGGGCCCCCATCGGCTCCTCCAGGCTCAATGCCATTCACCATGGCACCTTTCCCATCCGGTCGCTGGGTCACGATGCCGAAGCCCGGGGAGGCTTCCTACGGCCGCCATGGGGAAAAACGACCATGGAACGACACCGAAGATCGTAGGGGAAAAACAAAAAAAAAACGAAAGGAAAAAAAAACATGTTGAACTGTAAAAAAGCACTTTTGTTAGAAAAAGAGGGTTCTGACAGAACTTGAAAGCATGTTTTTTTTGTCAAACGTGAGGATCAAGCTAAACATAATGCTAAATCTCTCTACAGTAAGGTTTACTTGCTAGTTGTTTAAGGGTAAAACAAACATATGGCATGGCAAGCTGTATAATAGATTTATCGGGTTTTAGAGATATGGTGTATTAGGTCTACTGGGGGGGGCAGTGGACCCAGCAAGAATGACAGAAAACGAATGAGGGGAAGGTGGCAAAAATATAGGGTATACATAATCTCACTGGCCATCTCAGGTAGGTACCTTATATAAGGCCTTTGTTTAAGGCCTTAGTTTCAGGGAATATCCCCTCAAAATATGGTCTTATATGGTACAGTACCTCCATTGAATGATATGACTAAACCATGGGATATATCAACCAAACTGACCGGGTATATCCATCTGATGATTTTTCACAAAGGTAGAACCGCGAGATGATATGCATATATGTTCAAAATCATCAAGCTTTAAATTGTATATAGCTAATGCAATTACTACCTCACGGTCTCTATTGGAAACGTGTAAAAAGTAAACAAACAAACAAACAAACAAACAAAACAGAACAAAACAAACCAAACAAACAAACAAAACAAAACAAAACAAAACAAACAACATCAAACAACTATGAGTCAGAATTGGGTACCCCGATACTTAGATGCTCAATACTAATCATAGACTAAGCCATCTGTGCTCCCCTGGGTCTTAAATGGCTTGACCTATTCCTGGTCACAGCTGCCTCAGATCTTCCCAGAACATGAATCAAAAAAATTCATGGATTGAAGCCAACAAAATCAACTACTTACCCTCTGGTAAACTAACAAAAAGCTATTGAAAATGGCCATTTATAGTGAGTTTTCCCATTAAAAATGGTGATTTTCCATAGTTATGTTAAATTACCAGAGGGTAACTATATGTTTTTCTACTTGCAAATCCCTTGGTGCCTTGCTGCCTTCCAAATACTCTATCTGGTTGGTGGTGCAATAACCATCTTGAAAAATATGAAAGTCAATGGGAAGGATGACATCCCATATATCCCATATATGAAATGGAAAATAAAAGTCATGTTCCAGTCACCACCAACAAAAAATGTTCCAAACCACCAACCAGTTTATGAAGTTTTTATCATCACAACTGGGTCCTGTGGAGGTTTGAAGGTGTAGGGCCCGTGCTTCTTCATGGAGGCTCCTTTGGGCGCGATCATCAACCTCTGCGATCGGATCCGATGGCAAAATCAACCAAAAGCCCATGCAAAATGAGTTCAATCCGCATCAAAAAAAACAGTATATCCCAAAAAATCTCATCCAGATTCAACAAAAATCTTCAAAAAACCCAGTAAAATCCACTACAATTCCATTCAAAAACCTATGAAATCCCAGTAAATAGATCATTAAATCCCACAAAATGTCCAAAAAACCCATTGAAAATCCCCTTCGCCCCAGCTGCTTGGCGCTCACCAGTTCCGGCGCCATGATCTCGGTGGTGCCCACGCAGCTCCGGGCGATGGTGCCCGAGAGGCTCTTGGCCACGCCGAAATCGATCAGCTTCACCTGGGTTTTTTTGGGGTTTTTGTTGGGTCATTTATAATGGTGATTTAATGGGAATATACTGCAATTTATATTATATATATATGATATTTAACGGATTTCATTTGAATATCATGGGAATGTGAGGGGAATATACTGTTTTTTTGGGGTTTTTTGGGTCATTTATAATGGTGATTTAATGGGAATATACTGCTATAAACCATGATTAACCCTGATTCACCATGATTATTTGATATTCAAAAAAAATAATATCCTCTGGTTATGACTAACATAGCCATGGTATAGATGGCCCTAATCGAAATAGATGATTTTCCCAGCGAACGAAACCTCCATTTATGAGGGATTTTCCATGGCTATGTTCAATAACCAGATGATAGGTAATTTATAATGGTGATTTAATGGGAATATACTGCAACAAAAATTCATCAATGAGCTTTGGGCTCATATTCAGAAGGGATCATATTCAGAAATGAACTAGGGTAGTCCAAACTGCAATAAAACAATGGAATTGTGAAGCAAAACTGAAGAAAATGAAAGGAAATCTGCCTCGCCCCAAAATATGTTATTTTATGTTGTGTTATGTTTGTGTGTTTATTGTTTTCTATTTTGTGTTCTTATGTTTTTAATGTTTTTCTATGTTTTCCTGTGTTATATTTTTTCAAGTATTGTTTGATAGCTTCCATTAGTTTTCCTCGATTGTAAGTATGCTTGCTTATTTGTTACAATTTGGTATTATTTATTTTTATCTTAATTTATTATCATTATTTATTATTTTTTATTTTTTCCAGGTTTGATTATGATCCCTCCTGATTAGACTCCCTGTTCTCATAGAAGATATATATAATGTAACGGATTTCATTTGAATATCATGGGAATGTGAATAACCATATAATCTACTTGTGAACGACTTCTATCGGTGTGAAGTTGGCTTATGGTGAAATAGATCCACTTATGGAATGCTCCACCTATGGTGACTCTTGAGGTGGTCTTCAAGCAGATGGATTTCAGCCATAAATCCATGAGGATGTCCCAAAAAACAATGGCCTTAGTCTGGTTGGTGGTTGAGCCCTACCCCTCTGAAAAATCATGGAGTGAAAGTCAGATGGGATGATTATTCCATTCCCAACTGAATGGAAAGTCATATAAAATTCATGTAAAAAAATGTTCCAAACCACCAACCACTAGTGAATGCTGCGTATTTGTCGTATTTTTTTTTGATTTTCCACTACATCCCCAGCTACCGAATATTTTGAGAGATATTCATCACTGGCCATGAAAACGAACTCTGTGGCCCATGGCTTTGTCCAGAAATGTCTATAGGATGTTATAGGCACCATGGAAAATCCATAGAACATCAATTTGATACCATCCAAAATCGTGGTTTTCTTTAAGTATATATATATAAGCAAAACAACGCGTTTCACACATGGGACATCTCTTAGATCTCTCACATCGACCAGCTTTTTTTTTGGAGATGCCAAAACCCGATGGCCAAACTGACATCATAAGGTCCAATAGATGGGGCCTTTCCAGCCCCCGCCATGAATCGCCATGACATGTCTTGTGTTCATTCAGCGGGACCCCTGGGACCCCTATGGACCCCTCGTCTGAAATGAACTGGTTGGATTAAGTGGGGCACACGTCCTTGATATGTGAGGTCGTGTGCCAAAATTCACGTAGTTTGATGACTTGGAATCAATACATCTATCGTGTCATATGTTTTTCAGGATGTAATTCATCTGATACAATTCAACTCATACTTTCATCTAATCATCTAAGATCCATCTCTGTTCAAGATCTCGAATTCATCGAATTTTGAAGCCTCCAAGAATATCAAAGATTATCAAAGATGTCTATAATATTTTCTGAAAATCATCCAAAATCATCTGCCCTCCAGCATTTCTAGATCATTGTCCAGTCGTGAAAACCAGGAATTTCACATGTTTTTGTGCGATCCAAGATGCTGGGGTGGTGGCAGTGATCTGCGGAGCACAGACCTCATTATTGCGTGTGGCGTGGTGCTGAAAAATGCTGGTCTGTTTGACCTATCCAACAGGATTTAACATGATTTAACATGAAACATCATCAAACATTTAACATGATTTTTCAAACCAGACCATGAAACATCATCAAACATTGGAAAAGAACATGATTTAACATGATTTCACCAAACATGGTGGAATTCACCAGAAAGACAAACAATGGCCTTAGTCTGGTTGGTGGTTGACCTACCTGAAAAATCATGGACTTCGTCAGTTGGGATGATGACATTATTGCTATTCCCAACTGAATGGAAAGTCATGAAAAATTCCATGGTTCCAGTCACCACCAACCAGTCATCCAACATTGGTGGAATTCACCAGGATGGTGGTCAAACGCATCAAACATAGAGGATGATGGGGGTATCGCAATCCAAAAGGGAGTTTTTCCATTTCAGGGGTCTCATATACATCAAATTTGGAGGTTTCCAATCCATGGGGGTAACCCCAAATCCATGGTTTTTTTTTTGATTGGGCTTTTCCGAACGAAAGAAATAAACCATCCAGCGAGCGACCGAAATAGTACCCCCATTTACGGACACCAACAGTTTTATATATATATATATCACATTCATATCACATCATATATCCTCTGGTTATTTGACATAGCCATGGAAAAATATGGCTTTAGTTTCTGGAAAATCACAAAAGATTTTGGTCAACCATCAGCAGAAAGCTTCGCCGATGAGTCGTGATGGCAACACGGTCACCTAAATAGGCGACCATTTTTCACGGGAATATCACGGTGAACTGACCCTAAACCATGAAGAGTCTGAAGAGAACACCCTGGTGAGCAGGGCTAAGAACAGAGAACACCCAGAGATTCTGAAGAATCCCCAATATATATAATATATATAAAGGATAGTATACCATAGTATACCCCGAAACAAAATCATTGATCAACAAGAATGTCTTGATTATATCCCCATATGTTTATGTTAAACCCCTATAAATATTATAATCATGGTGAAAACCGGTGAAAACCGGTGAAAACCGGTGAAAACCGGTGAAAACCCAATTGTTTTCTAAATGCTGTGTTTTTCCAAAAGAAAAAGCACAAGTTTTTCCTATGGCTATTCAAACCGAAATCACCGGGTGATCTTTTTATCATCCCAGGTGCCGCTCATTTTTGGTCATCCCGGAGCCTAATTGATTCAACTGGGTCCCATGATCATTTCTGCATATAGTTCTACAACTGCATACCAACGTATCACATAATCTGGGTAAATGATCATATTTCACTAACCTGAATTGTTGGGCCACTCATCTTCCCTTTCCCGGCCCATGCTGAATTGTTGGGCCATTTGGGGATGATTTCCCTAAAATAAACCATGATGAACCAGGCTTCGGGACAATGACGTGAGGTCGTAAAAATTCTTTTACCCAGACATTGTGAGGTCAAGCCGTTCAGAGTTTTCACCATCTGCAACACTTTTCGATCGGAACACCATCCACAAACCATATATCATTGGAGATAATACATTCACCATATATTCACCATATACTTAATATTTATGTATATATATATAGAGAGAGAGAGGTTTCCTGAAATGGCATAATGGGGGTATTCCCAAATCATCATCCCATTTTTTCCATGGGATTTTCCATGAACGAAACCCTCCAAACATTCGACGGAAAAACGCCGAGATGCCAGGACGTTCTCCGCTTTCAGGTCCCGGTGCACCACGTCCTTGTCGTGGATGAACTTCAGCCCCGCGGCCGTCTGCTTGGTGACGCTCTTCACCACATCCTGGACGGAGAGTGGCACCGAAAAAACGACACGGTTCACGCTGCAACGGGGACGGGGTGAAAAATGGATAGAAGTGCTGTCATCAGCTGTTACATACATGTATATAATTTGTATATATATATATACACACAATTTATCTATATATATATGTATAGAGTTATAGATAGTGTAAGTTGGAAGGTGCTCACAAACTCCTATTTGAGTTGGTTGACAATGTTATACTTGGAACTCCAAAAAAGTGGTGGGTTTATTTTTGTGCACCAAAAGTCGTCTTTCCCAATGCATCTCCCCAATCTTTTCCAGATGTTTTCTCCCTTGCCAAATCAACTGTTCAGGTTCTCAATTGCCTCCCCAGTTGTTTCATAAGATTCATATCAATTTCCACACTACTACCATCAATCTTGACCGTAGTGAAAATTTGTGTCTTGATCCTAAATTGATTCTTCCATTTATTCCATTTACATCCATCTATACGTGGTTAATTATAAACATATTAATCAATATCTGGATTACTATCATTAAAACTATATATATGCTTATAACTTATAACTAATGACATTACTAATGATCTGGATTACTAAACTAATGATCTAATTAATTTACTGATTGGTTAAGTAATGATCCCCCCTGCGTCATCGGCGCACTGAGACGCTGAAACCTGGACATCCCTTTTTCGAATGTTCGATGACTATGTTCACGGCTTCGAAAGACCTCATACTAATCTCATACTTTTTAAAAAAGAAATAAGAAAGAAATAAAGATGTTAAAATAAAAAAATTTTAAAAAAAAAAACATTTAAAAAAAAATGATATAAAAAATAATCTCAAAGAAATAAGAAAGAAATATATAGTCATTGTCGGCCAGAAAGCAGACGTTCGGCCACGCCCGGTGGTTAGCAGATCCCCACATTGGGGGTTCACAGTAACCGGCACTGAAATGTATTTCTGCTTACTGCCCCCCCTAACACCCAAAAAGGAAATCTGCTTACTGGGGGGTGTCCCGGGGTCCCAAGTCAAACCTGGCCGTGATGGAGCACTGGAAAGATCTTTTTCCCCCATGTTCTTCAGAAATAATGGTTTCCTGTCCAAGTATTGTACAAATCCAAGGGTATGAAGTTAACATTGCCAGAAAAATCAAGGTCACACTGCAAATAACCCTGAATAGGTTCGGTGCAGTAAGCAGAATACTGCATCTGCTTACTGCAGTTAGGTGGCATGTGCTCGGGATTTGAATGAAAATAATGAGATAATATGAACCACATGCAAAAAAACAATGAAAAATGATGAAGCACATGGAAATAAACAGTGAACATGATAAAAACATATTGCAAACACATTGCAAAAAGCAATGAAAACATGATGAAGACATTGCAAAAAACAATGACAAATGAAGTTAACATTGCCAAAAAAATGAAGGTAACACTGCAAATAACCCTGAATAGGTTCGGGTGCAGTAAGCTGAATACTGCATCTGCTTACTGCAGTTAGGTGGCATGTGCTCGGGATTTGAATGAACATAATGAGATAATATGAACCACATTCAAAAAAACAATGAAAAATGATGAAACACAATGGAAATAAACAATGAACATGATAAAAACATATTGCAAACAAATTGCAAAAAGCAATGAAAAATGATGAAAACATTGCAAAAAACAATGAACAAATGATGAACAATAGAGACAAAACAATGAAAACATATGAAAAATAGAGAAAAAACAATGAAAAACCATGAAAAAATGATGAAAAATAATGAAAAAAACAATGAAAAGCAATGAACAAATAGAGAAAAAACAATGAAAAGCAATGAAAAATGATGAACAAATACAGAAAAACAATGAACACATATGAAAAATAGAGAAAAAACAATGAAAAAATAGGAAAAAACAATCTGGCTCGAGGACTTGGACCCATCAGATTTTTTTTCGATTTTTTTTTTCGTTTGTTTTCTTTCTGTTTATATTAGAAGCGTGTTTTAAAAACATTATGTTACACTCTTATTTTGGCCCCAGAAAACATCGAAGAGCTAGGAAAAGTAATGGAAAAGTCACATCACTCCACAAAAGAGTGGCATCGAGAGTGAGTGCAGACAGGGCAACTTCAGCCCACCGCTGCGAACTCACCAAATTGGGAGAAACTTGAGACATGTTTCTCTGTTGAAAGTTTGAGCCTTCAAGAGTTCAATGAGCGGTCATCAGAATGGCAGGTGCAGTAAGCAGACTCAAATCGACCATGAACGAACAAGTTGTGAGTTTCTGCTTACTGGGGGTCCTTTTCTGGATGCCTCATATATATGCATTTCTTATTTGCCGGATTTGGCCCTCGAGCGAGTGCAGTAAGCAGTCAAATCTCTTCTTACTACCCGTCACTGACTATAAAGATCTCAGACTAACGTTCATAATCTTAGATGTTCATCTCATCAAGTCTAACCCTCATATTTTCTCATCCCAAACGGGAAGTCTGACCAGCAAAAAAACCGCTGGACCAGACACATCTTTTTTTTAATGGTCCCAAAGTATCCGGGCCGTTGATTTATACTATACCTTTTTTTTCCTTTCGCGATACTGCAATGTCTTGCTCGGTTCATGCAAGCCACATGACATCAAATGTAACAGTCCGGCTGCACAATGGATTCTGTTACAAAATCATATGACAAAAATGGGACTAGGTCCTCCGAGAGGGGATCCACCCGCTCTCGCAACTCTGCGTAACTACTCACGGAATGGTATGCCGCCTTTGCAATTGCCATGTTGAGCTGCTCCGGGTAGATCTTCGCAACCGCAGTATTGAATGTCCCCTCAGAATCGCGTCCTTTCAGCACTCGATGAGCTCCACGGGGGTGATTGCACCTGCCTGCATTACTCCGGTTGGCAATTTCAGTCCATAGGCTCGGCATCCTGATAAGCAGAAACGTTGTGGGTTTCCTCGCCTGACATCCAAACAAGCATTGGTCAAATGTAATCAATTGAGCACACTGCAGTCGCTTGAGCCAGCGAACTAACAGGCTGCTCCAAATTGAACTTGGTCGCTTGGATGTGATCCAGACTGGGAAAGCAGGGTGTTCCAGAAAAGCCATCCCTCCCACTCTCGCCACTGCACAAATCATCGTGAGCATGAAACGCATCAAAATCGACCCCACTCGGGTTTGCTTCCAAGACCGCAAAGAATTGTGTGGCAGTCCATGGGGCCAGTCATGTGACCTGAGTGGAGGAGGTCCGTCGGCCATGTGCCTTGCGGCCGTGTAGGTCTCACAAGGTGGACCCCCTCCGGCGCCACAAATGGCGCCGGAGTAAATGCGCTCCAGCCAGAATTTCTTGCTTGACTCCAAGGTGAGATCTCCCCCATCCTTCTGAATACAGAAATCAACTGAAACACAAAAGATTTGGGTATTTTCATGATCCCACCGTGCCTCGATCTGTGATTGGATATCCCCTTGTCGCCGATGTCCGCTGAAGAAATGGATGAAACACAGCGTTCTGATATGCAGTGCTGCATGCAGTTTGGCCAGTCCATCCATTGAATACTTCCCAGCGGCTCCTTGAAGATGTCCTCCATCTGACACAACGACAAACGGGATCATCTCATCCTCGACGATCGTGGGCGTAGGCTCCTCCACAGTCTCTACGCAGAACCCTTCCAGTGCTTCAAACATCGGTTGGGCATCTGGAGGACGCCGCGCGGTCCACCGCTGCAGCATAGTCCTGGCATCTGCGGAATCACATGGTGGAAGCCTGGGCCCATAGGCTTTGATCACAGGGATCAGGGCTTTGGTGCCAAGCCATCCTTGGTCGCGCATGCATCTGGTGTGGGCTTTGTCTTCCTCAGCCATCTCCATGAGCACTGCCTGCTGCAAAGGCGGAAAACAGGCCCTCACTTTGCTGAAGCACTCCGGCACCGCCTTGAGGTGATTGGCGAGGCGTGCACGATGAGAGAAACATTTGGCACAGTTTGGGCAGGTACCATCGGTGGTGTAATGTGATGCCACATTCCGGTAACTGTGCTGCTTCATAGCATGGACCGCCAATGCTTTTTTTGAGCTAAAGAGGGCCTGACAAGTTTCACATGTCCATGAGGCGGCCACAGGAGCTTTGCCACTCAATTCAGCCAGCGCCTCTTCGTTTCGAAGGTCCATTTCCATTCTCTTCTCCCATACCAATGCTTCAGCACATTCTCTGCGGCATTCTCGACAAGCTCTGGCTGCTCGTTTGACCTTCATGTTCCACTTGGGGTCCAACCGAATGTACGACCACCAATCCTTCAAATCTGCCGTGGGCACAAGGGCCAGCCGTGGTCCCATAAAGGTGCACAACCATTCCAAGGAAGACCTGAGTGATGTTGCCCATGAGTCACCCCCATTGTCTCCTTGATGAATGAGGTCCCAGAGAACAGAGGGGCAGTTCGCAAGGAGCCTAGGCAAGAACCGCAACCTTGCCACATGAAGTAGGTCACTCGGAGGGAGCAACTCAATCAAACCACATAGTGATGCCGTCGACAGTGTGAAAGGTGGCAGACCTTCCATCTTGCCACTTGCCAACGGGATAACCATGTTCCTCATAGCTGCTTCCCACATGTCGATGTCCTTCTGCGTAATGCGAGAAAGTGCATAGACATTGAACAACATGCGGGACATCACCAAGGACTCAAAGACCCTGACCTTAGCTGTAGTCGAGATCTGCTTGCGCCTGAAAAAGGGCTGAATCAATGGTCCCCATGCCTGTTTGGCTGTGCGGAGTCGTTCCCGAAGAGCATGTTTGGGCTTGCCATCTGCATGAACCCATCCTCCAAGATGTTTGTAAGACTGAACCACCCTCAGGTGCATGAGGTGGTCCCCAACCTCAATCGGCATGAGGAACTCAGAGTTGAGCAGTTGCTGTTTGGCATGCTTCGCTCCTTTTCCAACAAAGGCTCTCAACACCTCTGTCTTGCCCGCCTCCATGTTGAGGTGAAGACCTCGCTTCTCAGCAACCACGCAAACAGCCTGAAACGCGGTCTGGATGAGGTTGTCCAAATCATGTTGGGAAGGTGCCCTCAACAGCACGGCAAGGTCATCCACAAACGCCACCTCGCACCAAGCATGATCTGGTAGGCACTGATGTGAATGGAGGTCATCAACTGGCAATGCATTGCCTTGCCATGCGGCTGTAGTATTGCCCTTGATGTGGTCAGTGACCTCCTCCATCATGACTGTCATCAGCATATTGAAGAGAATATCTCCCACTGGATCTCCCGGCCTTGTGCCTCGAGTCGTAAGGGCGACTTCATCAATTCCATCCATCTGAAAGAACGTGGCCTTGAAAAGGTCTGACAAGAGAAACTCGGCATGCTGGGAAATACCTCCAGTGGCATTGTCGTTGGCCGCTTGCCTCAACAAGTTGTCAAGCACCTCTTGATCGATGCCAAATCTCTGCATCGCACAAACCAAAGCCGTGTCGTCCACAGGGTTCTGAAAGAGGCCTTGTCTGATGACAGTGTAGAAGGCTGACTTAAAGTCAATGAAGAGGACTGCAGCCGGGGTTCTGGTTGCCGCTGAATATCGGAAATGCTCCTGCACTAACAAATGAGGTGTGTCTGTGCCGCATCCTTTTCTGCCGCCAAATTGGATGTGTTTGATTTTCTGGTTCCAAGCTTCTGCCAGATGATCTCGTAGAGCTGAATGGTAGATCTTCGTGACCACGTTGTTGATGAAAATCGATCTATAGCCCAATGGATCAGATCTAGGAAGCTTACCTTTGTGGAGGGGCACTAACCGCCCCCCCCGCCATTGATTGGGCTCTTTACCCCTCAAGGCAATTTTGGTAGTCATGGCGGCAATGTGCGTGATCATGGGCCCAGCTCCGGCCTTAATCACATCAGGCAAAATTCCATCAGGTCCAGGCGCCTTGCCCCTCCTGATCGCTCGAACCTTTCCAGCAATCTGTTGGGCGGTGGGCACGGCGTCCAGGGCAACAATCTCTGGTGGCAATCCAAGAGAAGATGGCATCATCTGGTTGAGGGAGTCCTTGGACATCGGAATTCCACCTTCAACTTGAGCAAACTGTTGAAGCCACATACGTTGTTGTTCCCCAAAAGAGCTCATTGGATCTCCTCCCGGTTTCTTCAGAAGAGGGAGGGGGCATCGTTGGCCAGTCTTATGCGCTGGCCGACCTCCAAGTCTTGACAACAGGCGATACATGAGCCGAAAATCATGGAGTTCCCCAGCCTCCTTGAGCTGATCGACCAGGTTGTCATAGAACTTCTTCTGGTCCTCCCGCACTGCCTTTCTGACTTGTGATTCCAACTGCTTCATTTCAGCTTTGTAGGAGTCGTCCTTCAAGATGTCATGTTGACGCCCATAGTCCAGTGCTGACCGTTCGAGCTGGATGAGAGCGAGAGTGCTCTCCGTCAGCTTGGGTCTCACTTTTTCCTTATTGACCTTGGTGAAGTACTGCTTCGCCAGTGCCAAGACGGACTGGTGCCAGTAGCTCGCATGATCATCCACATGGACACTCCAGCTTGGCATAGGCAATGTACGTAGTGCCTCCTGGAAAGCCTGGCACCGCTGAGGATCAAGCATAGCGAGGCGATCCCATTGCTGCCTGTCTTGGTTACTGTCGGCCGGCCACCATCCGCACACCCGGAGGCACACAGGTAGATGATCATCATGAGTGAAGCCAAAGTCCTGGGTCGCACACGTCCACGATTCCCAGCAGCACTCCAATGCCTTCTTTGTACAAAAGATATAGTCTCTGCGCAACTGGGTGCCTCTCGGGTGACGCCATGTATGATGGGGGCTAGTGTGACACCACTGCATAGTCGTTGGGGCAAACATGTCATTCTCAACCAAGAAGTCCTCCAAAATCCTGCCTTGTTCATTAGAAGCTTCAGCTCCCCACACTCCAAAGTGAGATGTAGACTTCGTGGCAAGTGGGGCATTGGCATCAGCAAGGATCCATGTCAAATCTGAGATTGAGGTCTTGTGCAAAATGGTGGCGGTTTCATCCCACCAGGCTTGAACCTGTTCAATGGAGGTAGTAGCACTGCGACATGGAGCATGAAGAACCACGAAGGTCACCGCAAAGTTTTTACCAGTAAAATTGACCACAAGCCTGCGTGGATCTGCCCATGCAGCCACGACCCTGGTTCTCGACAACTGCATGCTTGAGTCCTTGTCGAGCGGAATTTGCTTGTGAATCCAAAGCTCGCATCCATAGTGCGGAATCCCATTGACAACCTTCGCGCCGGACGCCAGAATGGTATAGTGCGTGGTCTGATACCTCCCTTCTGGCCTCCTAGATTCTTGTACTCCCACAATGGCCCACTTTTCTTCATGCCATTGGAGGTCAAGTCTTTCTGCTCGAGCTGCAACCGGCTCACCATCTTGAAAGTCACTGCGTTCATTGAGTGCAAGGACATTTGCTGTGGCGATCCGAAAATCAATGTTGGCCCATGGCATCAGATCAGGCTCAGCTTGAGGAGGACCACTGCAAATTCTCCCATGTGCAGGAGTAGCAACCCAACTGTTTGGGACCGATCCTGGCGGGAAGGCTTTGCGCAAAACTTCTTTGTGATCCCAAAGCCAATTCCACTTGATGTCGCCACTAGAGATGACGTCATGACAGCCGGCCAGGTCAATCTGACCAACTCTCTGGGCAGTCGCCAAGACAAACTTGGCTAGGGAATCAGCCATGTCATTCCATGGGTGTGCTGTGTGTCCTCTGACTTCATAAACTGCACCACCTTGTTGCTGAAACGCATTGCCCAACCATCGTGCTACCTCTGCAAGACACCGGTGAGAGGAGCACGTCCACTGAGAAGATGAGATCATTGCACTCAGGCGTAGGTCAGGTCGAATGACTACTCTTTCAGTGCCTTCTAAGCTTAGGGCTGTCACATGAGCAGCGACTGATGCGGTCAGCTCCGCTGCAATGTTGTCATGATGGGTAGCCCCAATCCACTGTCTTGAAACGTGGTCACATTCAACGGCATCAGCAAGAACTCCCATCAATGCAGGAACTCCCACAAAGTCATAAGATACCGCCACAACACTCCATGCTGACTGGTCTCCTTTCGCAGCTCCATCAACGTAGAGAACAATTTTGCCCGCAAGCTCACCTTCCCGATAACAAAACGGTTCCTGAAGGGCATGAAGGGATGTGGCTGTCAGACTCAATGACGCGGGCAAGGCTTGAAAGCTAATGCCATCAGGCTTGAGGAAGTCTGCTGTAGGAGGGTGCTCGGTGACTAACACCTCTGGCAGGTAGTGATCTTCTTTGATCTCATCATCATTTGCTGGAATGGAGGCTTCAAGCGATATTTGCACTGGGAATGCTTTCGCTCTGACTTTGGCCACCTGAGTCTGCAGCATGTTCATGTGGTCTTCCTCACGCCGCGGTGGAGGCATGATGTCAATTTCAATGCTGTCACCGTTGCCAATCCTCGACCTCTGAATGTGCTCAAAGAACTGGTTGCCCCGATGTACTCTGCACGCCCTACCACGACAATGCTCGGGAGCATGCCTGGCAATGATCTCCTGCATGGAAGCCATGTTGGGCATGTAGTGCACATTCTGGTGGACATTTGGATAATCCTCCCAGCTGACAGCGCTGATGAGGACCGCAGCATGATCAGGCTCCGCCCTCTGCGTGATGATGATGTGTGCGATGTGGTTTTCCCAGGGTGTCTTCGGTGGTTCGGGATCTACAAAATGCAGCTCTGTTGGACAATTGGGTGCCAAGTCGAACTGCCATAGGCCAAGAATTTCTGACCTCCATTGTCGTCGATCCTCATAGATGCGCACCACCCTGGGATGTTGGCAAAAACTGCTCCGTGCAGCGTCGACAAACCAAGTGAGAACATAGGCCACATAGCCCTCCTCCAGCATCTCAACTGCCGCACCTGCATTGAATGCAGCCTCCAACGAGTGGTACCAGTCTGGGCCATAGGCGACCCCAGTAGGCCTTGGAATGGCTAATAACTCGGCCAGTCCAATTTGAATTTGCTCATCTGAAAAGGTGAGGTGTTCAAACGCAGGTAAATCCTCTTCGCGTAGCACATGTAGAAGAAAAGCATCTCCATGTCGTGCACGGTGGAACTGACTTCCCGTGATTTCCTGCCCTTCAAACCATAAATGGCATCGATGCTGAAGATGTTCTGGTGGACATTGATACAGTAAGTCTGTCATCAGCAAAACACTGTGTAAGCTGACTCGATCAGTTGCCACGACTGCCCTCGACCTCGGCATACCTCTCTGCAATGCTGTGTCGGCAATAGTGACAATGACGGAGCGTTGAAATTGATCGGGGCGCTGCACCAAAATGAGCTGTGCAATGACCCCTGACGCTGCATCAACCGGTGTAGGGTAGACCAAATGGATCTCCACCTCGAACTGCGGGATGACTACTTCTGACCAAGCGCGCACCAAATCCTGGTGCCACGTAGTGAAGTCTGCCGCCAAAATCACGATGCGCGACTGAAAGCAATTTTGCATTCTCAAATGATCAGTGAACCATGTTTCAACTCTTGCTAGCATTTCGACACCAGCGGGTCCTGGACTAGCTTGCTGCTGCCATATGGGAACTAAATCCTGTACCCATTGGGGCTGAGCCTGAACTTGAGTTGGGTCAGGCTGAGGAAACTCTGGCATCTGATCTTGTGCAACGCTGAGGGCGCCCATTGCTCGAAGGAACTCTTCAGTCCAGCTGCATTGGTTGGGCAAAGGCCTACTTGGGACTGCTCCGGCGGAGACCAGGTCTGTCTTCTCAAACTGCAGGTCAGCTTCACCATAGTGCTCCAAGCGTTCACTCGGCTCAATTGCTTCAGCACAAATCTGGACCAATGTAAGTCCTTCTCCATCGAGATCTCTGGCAAACTCCGCTCGAATATCTTCAGATGGCACCAGGCTGGGAGAGTACCCTTCCTCTGGGGTCCGAAGGTAATCTAAAAACTGCTGATTGTCTTGTTCAAGGGCCTCATTGAGCCTGTAGGATGTAGAATCCTCACAGTACAAATCAGGAGGCACCACAACTCGAAAATGATCACCATGCTGAGTATGGATGACGTCATGGTCTTGCAACTTCACAAGGACATTGTTGTGCAGGACCAGGCATCGATGCTGAACTTGTCGACAATAGGGTGCCGTCAATGTAATTTCCAAAAGCTGCTGCCGAACGAGGCGTCCCGGTACAACCAAGACTCTTCTATCGATAGCAGGCACCGTTGCATAGTTGAACTCTGCAATGTTTGCATGAACCTCCACATCCACCAGACACAAATGAGAGTTTTGGCCAACTGGAAGATCATCATCAAGCTGCACAATGAGTGGAGCAAAGTGCTCTGGGATGTCCTCTGGCGTCCATTTAAGCTCATGAACATTGAACACTCTGTCTCTGCCCACACCAATGATGGAAGCCACCTCTGTGATGACGTCCTCAATGTGCGTCCAATGAACGTGCACATGAACCGCTGGATCAGCTAAGTGGAAAAGGAGGACGCTTTGGAGCGTCGCATCTAGCTGATTTTCATTGTCAGATCTCTCACCATGGGTGGCATCCTGGCTAGCTTCGTCGCCAGAATCTTCCCCCTCTTGTGAGTCAGATTGAGGTTCATCTTGTGGAGGGTCATGATGGTGTGATATCATAGTAACCGCCCATCCTGGGACTTCAACATCACTCCTCATAGTGGTCGGCTTGCTGGTCTGCATCCACGAAACTTCGTCCTGGTATGCACTCGAAGACCTTCGACTCTTGGAAGATGTTGTAGGTCGCAGCGCCCATGGTTTACCAACCCATTGGCGAAGTGCAACTTCTGTCATCCCAACATGCCCTCCAATACTACCTTGATATGTATAGAAGCACACCTCGACATTGCAATCGAAGGTGACTCGATTCCTCTGTGCTCTTCTGGTCGACCTCAGTGGGCGATAACCTCCTGGTTCTTGTTGCGGCTCTCCACACTCAATGGCAGCAAGCCATCCCCTCAAGCTTGCCTCCCAAGTTGGCATGAAGTTCCACTCATCACACACAGTGTGAGCCCAGGGGATACACTCCAACTGAGGTACTCCTCGTATTTGCCCTAGACAGGCAGACCCTAAGGCCCTGTCCTGTCGGGCTCCCCAAAAGACGGCCCTTCGTCCATCTTGTCCTCGTTGCCTGTGTGCTCGAGGCGGGGTCTCTTGGCGGTTTTCTCTTGCTCTGCATGCAATTGATCCGCCTTGTTCTTGACATCGCTCAAGGATTGCATCATACTGGCCATACTCTCCTTGATCTTCTCCGCAGCTTGATCGACACTGCTCTCCTCGTCGTCCTCCACCTCGATGGGGCTCTTGAGATGAAAGCTCGACTGCTGCTGGCCATACTCCTCCTTGATAGTGTCGTAATATTCCTTGGCTGTCTTGATCTTGTCGTGAAGCTCCGCATCGTCTTTCTGGAAGTCCTCGACCCATTTTGTCCACCTTGGAATCGCTGCTGCCATGAAGGTGCGCCAGCGACTGTGGAGCTGAAGCCTCGCACCGTTGGCGGCATCCAAGGCTTTCTGGGCTTTTTCCATCTTCGACACCACGCTGTGAAGCGATTTGGCAGCTCCTTGAGTTTCGCTCACGATCTCCTTGGTCACAAGCGCTTGCACCTCGGGTGTGAGCTGCTCTGGTGTCTTTTTGAGTTGATGCACAAGCTCCTTGTACTTCTGCTCGATCTTCGATGTCGCTTGGCTCTGACTGGATGCAGAGGCAGGGAGAGCAGGCAGGGATGGTGTCTGCCATTCCCATGGTGGCTCCTCCAACTCCTCCTCTTGATCTTTCTGCTTTTGCTTGTTCTTGCCATTCTTTCTCCTGCTTCGCGTCTTGTGGGACTGCTGTTGAGTTCGCTGCCTTGGGCTCGCTGTCCTCGCTCTTGGAGATTGAGACTGCGATTGAACTTCTCGTCTGCGTGGAGATTTCACCCACTGGTTCTCGTCCCACTGGGCATTCCACGTAGGTTGCTGCCACTGCCACTGACTGGGTGGTGGTGCATAGCCCCACTGACACGATCCACACACTCGTGCTGTCTTCTTGTTCAAACGGCCACAACTGCAACGCCACGGCTCCATGGCTGCGGCAATGGCTCGTAAAAAGGCTGAATCTCGGGAGTGGTGCCGTGCAAGCCGATGATGAATAGCCTGCAACTGTACCTTGGTCAGGGGCACTTTCCCGCACCTGTGCAAAAACCAACGCCTTCGCGCGATTGCACGGGCTCTCCGCTGGGCTCGCCTCTGCGTAGGAGTAATCCTTGCCAGGGGTTCCAGGGAGGTTCACAACCTTGAGGCCCAAGAAGATATGGATGAAGGAATAGATGAGATGGCACGTACGCATACACAGAAATGTCGTTCTTCACCTGGATGAAGAAGGCCAAGCAAAGGCGCTTGCCGAGGTCACAGCAGCACGGCCGCTGAGTCCCGTGGGTATGGCGCCGAACAAACCCACTAAGGCTTTAGCTAACTGACACAAAGGGGGGAAGTTCTTCCTAAGTGCCAGCACAGAGCCCAAACCTTATTTATACTATACCATAATGATGAATATAACATGACGGGTTTAATGGGATTTAATGGGATTTAATGGGATTTACCCTCTGGTAAACTGACATAACTGTGGAAAGATCCACCATTTTTAATATTGATTATGGATAGTACCCTCTGGTTATGTCAAAATAGCTATTGAAGCCATGGCCCAGTCGAAATAGTGGATTTAGCCAGCTATAAAATGGTGGTGATTTTCCATAGTTATGTAAACGTTTACCAGAGGGTAATGATAAATAATGATCATATCAAGTTGGTAAGAAACAAACAGTGTAAACCCCCCAATAATTACACAATATCAAGTTGGTAAGAAAAATACGTGCTAAACCCCCAAAAATACACCATTCATATGATAAATAAATCCCATAAATTCATGAGATCTTTCAACAATCTGGCGGTCTGCCGATGGCGGCGCCGGTTGTCGCGCCAGTCGGCGCGCGCCTCGGGCAGACTGTTCTGTCCATCTTTGATGTAGCCCGCCAATTCACCTGTCAAGAGATGCCATGGGAATAAAATGGAATAAAGAAATGATCAAAAATCGATCAACGGAAACAAGGTATACATGGCATGGTTATGATGGTTACGTATGTACATTTACAGCCCGTTATAGCCCGTTTCAACAGGTATCCTCCATGATGGCAATATTCCAAGCCATGGCCTGGTTTTTAAAAAGGGCCTGTGGCATTTCCAAAATGCCAGATTTTGCCAGCCATGGCATGGCCTTGCCTCCATCAATCAGCTCCATCACAATCCTGATTTTTTTAGCCACAAGAATCGTGTCATGAGACATGGAGGATAGTGGTTTTATGTGGTTTTTAGAGGATATGGAAGTTTTTTACGGTCATATCGTGGGAAATGAAGCTAACAATCAATACGCAAAAAAATCCGGAGAATGGGAAATGGATGGAAATGGGGGGTATCCAATGGGATATACCATCTGATTATGACTAACATAGCCATGGAAAATCACCATTTTTAAGTTCGGTAAACTTGGTAAACCATCTATTTCAATGGGCCATTTCCCATGGCTATGTTAGTCATAACCAGAGGGTAAGTAACCAACGAAATATGATCTCTGGGTGTTTTTCAACGGAACCTCGAGCTAGCTATGGCCAATGTGGCCAACGGGGAAGATCATGATGAACCGATGAAGCAATGGATCCAATGGGGTACCCCGTTTTCAGACGGGTACCCCATATTGGTTGTTAAGTATCCAATGAAATGCCCATATAGAATCGCCCATAGAATGGTCGGTTTGAATATTTAAGATTATTTAAGCCCCATTGCTTTAATACTTATAGTCGCCCAACTGGCAAAATCCAACCGTAAACCAATGAGAAGTCGCGTTGCTCTACCCCTTGGCTGCAACTTCCAGACATGTATGTTATGTAGTCATATCAGATCCCAATATCAGATTCTTCCCAAATCCATAATCCTAACAAATATCAACATTAAACCCCATCAAAACGCCACCGGCGCAGCCGGTCCGCCGAGCATCATGATGTACTGCGCTTGCGAAGTTCCAGGGCGATACGCATCGAAGCATCCGAGGCAGCTGCAGATGTTGGGATGGCCCTGGATCTTCATCAACACGTCCGTCTCTTTTCCTGGCGCTTTTGGGGTAAAGAGACCCGGTTCAAGTTCGTAGCAATAGTTTATATAAACCCATATTAGGATTGATGGTTTAAAGATCTTTTTTATGTGTGTTTTTTAATAGTAAAATTCTGGATGATCAACATGAAGCAGCTTTACCGTTGCAGCAAAACCTGGGTGATCTCGGAAAAAACCTTTAAGGGACGATCCGCCAGGTGATCCATGCTCGGATCCAGAAGTTCGGATCCAAGTTCAACCTGTAGCACTCACTGATCTTCAAAGAAAATCAACCTGTTAACCATTGGAAAAGTGCTGGTTTACGAATGCTTTTCTTGTGGTTATAGTTATAATAAGATGTTATAAGTATGCATCATATTCATAACTGGTTGGGGGTTGAGCCACCTATCCCTCTGAAAAATCATGGCGTTCGTCAGTTGGGATGATTATATATTCCATTCCCAACTGAATGGAAAGTCATAAAATTCCAGCCATGGTTCCAGTCACCACCAAGCAATTTTGCCTTGTCTGAAAATAGAGTATCCCATGCTATCCACTGGCTCATCATGATGTTTCACTTCACTTCAATACCATCTGGTTATGACATTCACAGGGCTAGCCATGGAAAATCACCATGGCCCATTTATCGAAATAGATGGTACACACCGTTCTTAAAAATGCATGGTGGATCTTTCCAGGACAAACTGCTGTGAATGTCATAACCAGATGGTTATTTTTGTTAGATCCTATTAAACCACCATAAAATCCCATGGAAAACCACCATTCAATGCCATTAAAATCACGATTTTCAGATCTTCTGGCCGCTACCGAGTATCGGATCTCAGCGATCTTCTGGTCGCAAGAGGGATCCATCAACAAACGCCAGATGGGGATGGTCTTCACCGCATGTTTCACGTTGGGAGTGCTCCTGAAAAACACCGCCAGATACCCCCAAAATGGGCAACCAAAAATGGGCAACCAATGGGTTTTTTAGGGAGAAATGGAGAAGGCTTAGAGATATATATGTTAACCAGAGACTGGATTATGTATGATTATGTAGTCTAACAAAACTACATGTTTCTGGAGAAGGGTTAGAGATATGATATGGACAGAGCATCTTGCTGGGTTTTAAGATGGACAGAGCCGATTGCACCACCAGAGGATTCACAGAATGATTTTGGTATTCCTATTCTTTAGCCCTTTAGCCTCTGGTAAACGTTTACATAATGGAAAGATCCACCATTTTAGTCATTTTACAGCTGGGTAAATCCACTATTTCGACTGGGCCATGGCTTCAATAGCTACTTTGACATAACCAGAGGGTAACTTCAAGAAACCCATATTTTGTTCAATGGACGTAGCGCATGGGCTGCTTTTGTTTGAGGCTCTGGCAGCCAACATCCAGGAATCGAGAGGATTCGGGGCGCCTTGTTCATAGTTTTTTCCAATGACTCTCCATGCTAAAACTTGCCTGGGTTGTTTCAAACGGGTCTTTGGATCCATGTTTTTTTTAAAGATGTTTCTATAGATTTTCCCACCCATTGGAGTGACATGGGATGGCTTTGTTTCCCTCTGGTAACTAGTTCGATGATATTCCATTGGAATGACTAAATTGGTATGTCCCCCGGTTTTCTTCAAAATATCATCGAACTAGTTACCATGGGATGGCTTCATTCCGTAACTCAACAATGAATTCGAGAATTGTTACCCAACTCAGAAGCCTGAATAGTTGCTAACAATTACCCAACTTAATGTCAACCCTGGATTAATAAACCCCGTTTACAGCTGTTTAATTGGGAGGCTACTAAAATTTATGTACCATTTAAAGTGACTATTTGGAGGGTACCCCCACTGCCCCGACTCGGCGTGTGACTGGGCGTCCTCTTGTGGCACAAGTAGACGGTGCCCTGACCACCCACGCCCAGCACCTCACAAGAAATGCTATGGCGACGCGAGCGACGCGAGCGACGCGAGCCTACCCGCCTACCCGAAATGGTGATGTCAAAATAGCTATGGATTATGGACCATTTATGGTTGATAGCTATGGATTATGGATGATGATGGCCTTTATAGTTGATTTACCTATTAAAGATGGTGATGTTCCATAGTTATGTTAGTTTACCAGAGGTACTTCATGGATCAAACTGATCAAACATGGCTGAGAAATCCCCGTGGCCTAGCCATGGAGGTTTAGTTCGCTGGGAAAATCATCGAAGTAAAACAGATTAAAAATTAGTGGATTTTCCGGCAAGCCATTGCCATGTTTGACTTCTGGACAGATGGGAACGATTCCCCAGTATTGAGGTTTTGGGTTTTGCCCCATGATAAATCATGAAAACATCACCTCTGCTGCGAAGCCAACCCATCCCAAATAATTACAGAATATAACCTATAGCATCCTATAGCCATAAACTACGGTGCACAAGAGGTAATGAGACCTTGCTGAGAGACGGCTGGAAGTGTTTCTGTATTCTTTCAATCCATGTGAGTCGTGATCAAAAGGTCTTGTCTTTCTGAAGTCGCCAGAGGGAACACTTACGCCAGAGCTTACGCGCTGGTTTAGCGTACGCGCAGGAAAAGCTTACGCTGATGCTTATGCGGGCGCACAGCAGGGTTTTGCTTACGCGAGATCCTAAAGATGCCTCTCCCTTGCAATGAGCTGGGTTTTGAACCTGGCTGTGTCAACAGTTGTCAGTGGCCCCAGAAGATGTCACCTCAAGCCAGACGAAGTCTTTATCCATAGCCTTCACTAAACGTAAAAACTAAGCGGTTTCCGAAATGGAAAATAGCACATGGAGTTTGATGATCTACATATTCTAATGGAGATGTTCCGACAGCAAACTGTTCGTTTCCTCTTCAGGGTCCCCAAAAAGACCCATAAACACGCCTTGTCAGTCTCAATCTCGAAAGGATCCTCGCCAACACCACAAAAAAGCCACGTTTTTTGATTGTCGATTCAATTTTTTTTTCTACCCTCTGGTGTGTTTCTCTAAGAAAATCCCCAAACGGCCTAGCCATGGAGGTGTAGTTCCCGACAGGAAAATCATGAAACTAAATAGTGGAGTTTCCAGAAAACCATGTTTGATTAAAGTCGATCTTGCAGAGAATCAAGGATCATACCCATCATTCAAGGGATTGGTTTTGCCGGGATTTCTTTACACAGCCCCTTATTTCATGGGAAATCTACGGTTTGCGGTCAAGATTTTCCCGTGAAAACCAATCCATTGAATCATGAAGTAATCAGCAATCGGGGTTAGTTCTCGATCATGCCAATCTGTAAGCATAAGTATCTTGTTTTCCAGGTGCTAGTGCGATAGGTTGATGTGGGGCAGGATGGTACAGGTCAAAATCATCAACCTCCAAAAATATGCCACAATGTTTGCTTTACTCAGGTTCATGCTGGAATCATTTTGGACACCTCAAATATTCCAATTAGCAATATTCCAATTATTATATACCAATATTATTATTTTGGATAGTTAAAAAAATGTTCCAATCCCTAGAATTTTCAATACCCATGTGAGATCGTCATATGCACCCCCAAATCAATCGATTACTAGACTGAGAGCAATCTTAAATATTCGTCAACTAGCTCCACTAAAAGATGAAATGGATCCGTATTTTACTTATAATCAGTGGCGAACTTAAGAAGAAAATTATAATTCGTTTAAATCATATCGCTAAAATTCAATCGAAATGCATCAATATAGTTCATCAAGTGTAGTATTATAGTTCATAAATGTTCAATCGCTCAAATACATCTATAAATACTATATTTCAGGTTTCCTGAGTCTGGAGCTATCCTCAAATCATCCATGTCCATTTTCCCACGGAAATAAACATCAATAAACCATCCAGCCATTGGGGGTACTATGGAACCACTATGGAAAGCCAGCCATAAAATTCCTTTCGGTCCTCAGGAGGTCCAAAGACGCGGAACTGATCGATGGAGCCCAGGGCCTGGGGTTTTTCATGGGGTTTAATGGGAATCAATGGGTTTAATGGGTGGTATTGTATACCTACCCTATATATGGTTAGTATGTTTTAATATGGTTTAATCGCATTGATTATAATATCAATAACTCCGATAACTATGGTTTATAGATGTTTATAGGTGATATATCTATAGTATCTATAGTTTTAATGGGGTTTATAAACCAACTAACATCAATGGGAGATCTTCAGGATCCGAATGAATGGAGGTACGTTAGTACCATATTTCTGCAATATTTTGTGAGGATATTCCCTGAAATTAAGGCCTAAAAAATAGGCCTTATATATGGAATCGGTACCTCCAATTTAGGTTCCTAAAATGGCCATTAATTTAATGGGATTAACTGAGGATTCAAAATGTGCTTGTTAATGGATTATTAATGTAAACCCAATTATTCAGTGGATGATTAAGAGCAAACCAAGCAAACCAGAGGATTTTTTTTGGCAACCCATTTGTTTGGCATGTTGCGTTAATATCCTCAAAAATATTGGCTTGATTGTACATTGGATTCATGTATATGGAAATCCTGAAATATTGGCCATTTGAAGTCCCAGAAAACAAGGGATGACCATCCGTGGGACATATGGGCGACTTGCACGGGATCTAATCTGGATACAGAGGATACGTAACCCAACAGCCATGACCATAAAACCCCCTCCAAAAAACAAGCTATACTAGCTATACAAACCAGAAACATGGGGACATCATGGAATATATATGAATATATAACATTCTATAACCAACAACATGCTATTTCCTGGTGGTTTTCCTCATCCAAGGGTGGTTGCAACATGCCAAAAAAGGCTACTGTCCAATATGGTGACCCCTGGGTGACCTGGAGGTTAATATAATGGGGTTGAACCACCAGGGCTTCATGGGAACCCCAAAAAATACCATCAGAGTATAGATAGTATAGGGAAAGCCAAAGCGATAGACAAAGCCATCTTGTGGCTTGATGAAACATTGTATGTCAATTGGAGTGGGTTTGGTCTTGGCATAGAAATCGGGTTGAGTCGGATGAGAGTGTAAAATATTGGTGTTTTCTTGGATTTGAATTCCCTATACATCGAGAAACGTGTTGTTGACTGACTGTTGACCCACTTTGTTCATGGTGGTTTATAATGGTTTATATGCCCAGCATTTTTCAGGAATGGTTGGATGAGTCATATCGTTGATTTTAATTCAGAACAGTCACTGAATTCGTCAGATGAAGTTCTATAAATAGGGGGGGGGGTCAGCCAACTAATCATCAGCTGGTGAAACAGAATGGTCATCCAGCCACACTCCATTTCTTGGTAGTGCAGGCTGAATGATTCTCATTGTTGGTGAACAATGGTGAACACTGGTGAACATAGTGTTGCTGTTTTACTGCTTGTATCAGTTTATAAAATGGTTGGATAAATCCCATTTTAGTCAGATCCCAACATTCCATAACATTCCCAAAGTTTGCAGTGTTCGAACTCATCGAAGTGTCATTCCATGTTAATCCTGGTTGTTTAAGAATAACATTCCCAGTTGAACGATGATCATCCACAAGATACATCAAGATACCCGGCAATTTCACACACCTCGCTATGGCGAAGCGCCTTTTTTTCGCGACTTCGATGATTTACCAAGCTCAAAAAATGGTGATGTTCCGTAGCTATGTCATATATACGACATGGATCGAGGTTCATTCATCATTATTTAGTTATAAAGAGTGATTAACTATCATAGTTAATTTCAATTAATAACAGGTTATTTATCAAACTCATCAACCAACAGCCATCCAGTTGATGGCACATCCACGCCTGCGACACCACCTTAGAGCCCCTCTTGCTGCGGCTTCGGTCAGCCTTCATGCCTGGCATTTCGATGACAATGGCCCATTGCGCTTTTCGTTTTTTTTTGGAACTGTAAAGGAGTCAAAGGAGTGATAAAAACCATTCACCAAATCCCATCTTTAGAGGAGATGTTGAAAAGGAGTTCCAGTGAGGTCGTGCTAGGTCAAGGGAAAGTTGCCAACGATTTCTATGACGAAACATGACGAAACCATGGTGTCCGGTGTCCCCATTTCGTGACAGATGAAAGAAAGCCGTTAAACTGTGTATAAATATTATATCATGGAAGTTGAAAAGTACCATTTCCATGCAAGATATGTCCGAATTAAAGTGTCCCTTGGTGTTCTCCCATAGATCTAGAATCTATATCATATTCCTCTGGTAGGAACTAACAAATTTAACAAAGAGAAAAACCAAGGAAGTCAAGAATCTACACTGCACCCAGAAAAGAACCCAAGAATTGGCATACCCTGCTGTAAAATCCGCGAGCCAGTTCCACCAGCGTCTGCTTTTCCAGGACTTTGAGTTTTATTTGGGACTTACATCACTTACATCCCTCCCGTGCGTTTGCAACCACAAGTGGTTCCAGATTTCCTGAAAATAAGACTGACCTCTCGAGGAACTCATCATATAGGATGAAGAGATTTGGTCCCAAAATGTCGCATCAAATTACATCAAACACTCAGTTAAAACCCATCCTCCCATCCTCCCATCCTCCCAACATCGCCTGATGCATAGGCTCCCAGGCCACACATGGCGCCCAGCACCATGGCGCTCTGCGCTCCCCTGGCGCCATCGGCGCTGGGAGCCGCAGTCGCTGCAGTCGCTGCGCGGCGCGCGGTTGCGGCAGGTGCGACGGCCACGGGGGCGACGGGAGCGACGAAGCTCAAAGACATGGCGCCGTTAGCGGATCAAGCGGGGCCTGCCATGGTGGAGCCTAAACGCTGCAAAAACTCAGGAGAATCCTTGGAAGACACAGTACCCTCTGGTAAACTAACGTAACTATGGAACATCACCGTTTTTAATGGGAAAATCCACTATAAATGGCCATTTTCAATAGCTACGTTAAATTACCAGAGGGTATATTCTACGATTTCTAAGCAACAATCAATGAGAAAAAAATGGCCTTGCTCATTTGTTTGCCAGAATTGGATTGGAAAGATTGGGAGGTTGAACTCCCATATTTGATGGGCAAAAAAGTGGTGTTAGGCTTTTCCCCTAGATCATTTCCATTAAGAGAAGTCGAAACTTGGATGAATGGGCATTGGTCAAAACCCTGGTTTTCAATGGATGTCACATCAAAATCGCTGGTGTATCTGCAGATCTATGTCTGGATGAACTCATCCCAAAAAGCATAAATTCAGAGGTTGCTCCGAGTTGCTTCCTCATTTTTCATAGTGCAGTTCCATTGATAAGTGGGTTTTATAAACATAGTTGCCATAGTTGACCATAGGTATAGGGGCCCCGTCTCCCAACTTTCCCAACTTCAGCTTATAACATCTTATAACCATAGTTATATCATAAGTAAATATCGATTTTCATAAGCCGAAGTAGTCAGTAGTCCATGAGTTCATCTACCCATTATTTTTGATGGTGCACGTCATCATACGTCATCCCGCGGAAATTAGGCCCTCCAGCAGACCCGCGCTGGGACCTCTGGTCACCCTTCTCCTGGAGAATCGTGGGATCATCATGGGATCAAAACGTCAAGAATATGACAATAGTATTTTCGGATTACCATCTGGTTATGACTAACAGTTTGCCATGGAAAGATCCACCATGCTATTAATAGGTAAGTCATCTATTTCTATGGGCCATTTCCCATGGCTATGTTAGTCATAACCAGAGGGTAAATAAATTATTTGGTTGGGATAGTAGTGATTCATCAACAACAATATAAGTGAATCATAAACAGCGCGATGAATGGCATGTATAGTATGCTTTTTGGTCATCGGCTCATCCATATTCTGACCATGGCACAGGGATTCATTGGGATTTACACCTCAACAATTTGGATGCAAATGGTATCAAACCAACACCAAGGAAAATGTACTGGGGGATTTAATGGGGATATGGTGGGATAATATATGGATATATGATATATAACCAACAATATGACATGTTTGTGCGTCTGAACAAGACGTATTCTCCAAAAAAACATGCAATGCGGAACATGATCTGCCGGCACTCCCTGTGTTGAAAAGGAGATCAAGAAATTGGTGGTTTTACCGACCAATGATGAGAGCTGCCTGCAATGTTGCCTGTCACGAAAAGATTGGAAAACCCCAGGTACGGGTTTTGGGTCGCTACATTGGCCATGACCAGAAAGTTGCTACTCACATTCCTCGACTAGGATGCTATAGGTGATTCGTGGTCATTCAGGAGTTCATTTTGTGATATGATTATCGTCAAAATTATACGCCAATTTAAGATGAATCATAATCATATAATTATCCATTTCAAACATATCATATCCAACATATTTTTATCCATATCCATATAATATCCATATAATATCAATATCCAACATGTTCCATTTCAAAAATGAAAGCGTCCTCCATATTCTGGAGTTAAGGGGAAACTCTGGACCCCTGTTTCCAAATTTGCACAGGGGTGTGTTGGTTCCGGGTTTCCGGGGTCCAACTCAATCCTCTTGTTGCTCCATGTTGCTCCATAGTTTCGGATGAAGTTTTCGACTGGAATATAACATAAGGATTTCATCATATTTCAAGTAAAATCAGTAACTCTCCACAAAAATGTCTGCTAAAACATCACCCAACTCACCGACCACGTCTCAAGAAGCGCCTCCTTCTTCCAGGGCAGCAGCTGAACCGCCGGAACGGCGGCCGGGGCCGGACCCGCCGGACCCAGCACCACCGGTGCTACGGCGGTCATCGCCATCCCGAAAGCCGGGAAGGGAATTTCCAGGGTCGATTTTGACGATCTGACGGCCGGGGCATCCCACTTAGTATGGGTTATAGCATGTTATAGCCCCAGATTCATGATTCTTCATAAATGACTAACAAAAATGCTGTCAACTGAGTTTGGACGGGAAACGGAAGCGAAATTCAAGTAAAACATATCGTAAAATGTGGAGCCAGTGCTGCTGTTTTCCCTTGAACAACGGATCTGGATGAATATGGATCAAGTACTGCATCATTGCTCCACACCCAGCAAAAAGACGCTCTCACTCTGATGGCACACCTTTTTTCTCTGCATGGTCTGTGGATGTCTGTGGTTCGCACAGCAGGTGAGCTCTGGACCCTGTTGAATCAACGGTCAGCACGGGTGAAACTCATCTGGCGGTGATGGCTATTGAGTCTTCACATCACCATGGCACCTGCAGGGTTTTACCAAATACAATAATGTGGTAAAGTTGTCATAAACAAGTAGCATAAAAAATGCCCAATTTTTTTGCCATATGGGTGGAATCATTCCAAATGGATCCGAATTTTGAAGGTTTATGACAGCCGGGGGCAATCCCACGGAGGTAAACCTGTCAACCCCAGGGCATTTATCAATCACTGGAGATGCTCAGTTGGAGTTTTGCCTATGGAAAAATATTTCCTGATTTTGGGTGATGTTCATCTATGCCACCCCAAATTGGAATGAAATCTGCAGGGTTTACCCCGTTAATTTAATGTCAAGACCAGCCAGTTTCCGGTGATGATTCTCGCCACAAAACCAGCCAGATCGACTAAGGATCCAGTTTCTGAATTGTTAAATCATGTCAAACGACCAGTTTTGATACTAAAAACACCATGTTGATGGAAAACCCATTGAAATTTATGAATCAAAAAACACTTCCCTGGAACCAAAAAAATCCTTTGCCTTCAACGAACGGGCCATCTCCACTGTTTCCTCGAAAGGAACCGGTCCTGGCTGGTAACAAAGTAACAGCGACACGCAAGGCTCATTTTTAGATTCTAACCAATTTAATCGTCCGGGTGGATGATTACAATCCTCCCATGTGTCTATTGAAATTGTAATAAATTACGATTGTTTTCCCTATTTTTCATGGTGCATCGGTGCAATGGTCGAAAAACGAGATACGTCGACGTCGCATTGTCATCCATCCCTAGATAGATAGATAGATAGATTGATTGATTGATTGATTGATTGATAGATACTATGATAGATACTAAGATAGATACTAAGATAGATACTAAGATAGATACTAAGATAGATACCAAGATAGATACTAAGATAGATACTAAGATAGATAGATAGATAGATACTAAGATAGATAGATAGATAGATTAGATTAGATTAGATTAGATTAGATTAGATAGATAGATAGATAGATAGAGAGATAGAGATAGAGTTAGAGATATAGATAGAGATATAGATAGAGATATAGATAGAGATATAGATAGAGATATAGATAGAGATATAGATAGAGATATAGATAGAGATATAGATAGAGATAGATAGAGATAGATAGATATAGATAGAGATCGATCAGATGGATCAGATGGATCAGATGGATCAGATGGATCAGATGGATCAGATGGATCAGATGGATCAGATGGATCAGATGGATCAGATGGATCAGATGGATCAGATGGATCAGATGGATCAGATGGATCAGATGGATCAGATGGATCAGATGGATCAGATGGATTAGATGGATTAGATCGATTAGATCGATTCGATCGATTCGATCGATTAGATCGATTAGATCGATTAGATCGTCTAGATCGATTAGATCGATTAGATCGTCGATTGGATCGATTAGATCGATTAGATCGATTCGATCGATTCGATCGATTCGATCGATTCGATCGATTCGATCGATTCGATAGATCGATAGATCGATAGATCGATAGATAGATCGATAGATAGATAGAGATATAGATAGAGATATAGATAGATAGAGATAGATTGAGATAGGTAGAGATAGAAAGAGATAGAAAGAGATAGAAAGAGATAGATAGATAGAGAGATAGAGAGATAGAGAGATAGATAGATAGATAGATTGATTGATAGATTGATTGATTGATTGATAGATACTATGATAGATACTAAGATAGATACTAAGATAGATACTAAGATAGATACTAAGATAGATACCAAGATAGATACTAAGATAGATACTAAGATATATAGATAGATAGATACTAAGATAGATAGATAGATAGATAGATTAGATTAGATTAGATTAGATTAGATTAGATAGATAGATAGATAGACAGATAGATAGATAGATAGTTAGTTAGATAGATAGATAGATGGATAGTAAGATAGATAGTAAGATAGATAGTTTGATAGATAGTAAGATAGATAGTAAGATAGATAGTAGGATAGATTGTAAGATAGATTGTAATATAGATTGTAAGATAGATTGTAAGATAGATTGTAAGATAGATTGTAAGATAGATTGTAAGTTAGATAGTAAGATAGATAGTAAGATAGATAGTAAGATAGATAATAAGATAGATAGTAAGATAGATAGTAAGATAGATAGTAAGATAGATAGTAAGATAGATAGATAGATAGATAGTAAGATAGATAGTAAGAAAGATAGTAAGATAGATAGTAAGATAGATAGAAAGATAGATAGTAAGATAGACAGTAGGATAGATAAGATAGATAAGATAAATAAGATGGATAAGATAGACAGGATGGATAAGATGGACAAGATAGATAAGATAGATAAGATAGATAAGATAGATAAGATATTTAAGATAGGTAAGATAGGTAAGATAGATAAGGTAGATAAGATAGATAAGATAGATAAGATAGATAAGATAGATAAGATAGATAAGATAGATAAGATAGATAAGATAGATAAGATAGAAAAGGTAGATAAGATAAGATAGATAAGATAGATAAGATAGATAAGATAGATAAGATAGGTAAGATAGATAAGATAGATAAGATAGATAAGATAGATAAGGTAGATAAGATAAGATAGATAAGATAGATAAGATAGATAAGATAGGTAAGATAGATAAGATAGATAAGATGGATAAGATGGATAAGATGGATAAGATGGATAAGATAGATAAGATAGATAAGATAGATAAGGAAGATAAGAAAGATAAGATAGATAAGATAGATAAGATAGATAAGATAGATAAGATAGGTAGGTAGGTAGGTGGTTAGATAGATAGATAGATAGATAGATAGATAGATAGATAGGTGGATAGATAGATAGATAGATAGATAGATAGATAGTAAGATAGATAGTAAGATAGATAGATAGATAGATAGATAGATAGATAGTTTTATAGATAGATAGATAGATAGATAGCTAGATAGATAGAGAGATAGATAGATAGATAGATAGGTAGGTAGATAGATAGATAAGATAAGATAGAAAAGATAGATAAGATAGAAAAGATAGATAAGATAGATAAGATATATGAGATAGATAAAATAGATAAGATAGATAAGATAGATAAGATAGATAAGGTGGATAAGATGGATAAGATGGATACGATAGATAAGATAGATAAGATAGATAAGATAGATAAGATAGATAAGATAGATAAGGTAGATAAGAGCAGAAAGATAAGATAGATAAGATAGATAAGATAGATAAGATAGATAAGATAGATAAGATAGATAAGATAGATAAGATAGATAAGGTAGATAAGATAAGATAGATAAGATAGATAAGATAGATAAGATAGGTAAGATAGATAAGATAGATAAGATGGATAAGATGGATAAGATGGATAAGATGGATAAGATAGATAAGATAGATAAGATAGATAAGGAAGATAAGAAAGATAAGATAGATAAGATAGATAAGATAGATAAGATAGATAAGAAAGATAAGAAAGATAAGATAGATAAGATAGAAACGATAGATAAGATAGATAGGATAGATAGGATAGATAAGATAGATAAGATAGATAAGAGAGATAAGATAGATAAGATAGATAAGATAGGTAAGATAGATAAGGTAGGTAGGTAGGTAGGTAGGTAGGTAGGTAGGTGGGTAGATAGATAGATAGATAGATAGATAGAAAGATAGATAGATAGATAGATAGGTAGATAGATAGATAGATAGCTTAGGTAGGTAGGTAGGTAGGTAGGTAGGCAGGCAGGCAGGCAGGCAGGCAGGTAGGTAGATAGATAGATAGATAGATAGATATATTGTTTTTCCCTTTGTATCCCATTGTAAGAATGCCTCTTTTCATGCCCAGGTTTGCCAAAAAAAATCGACACCATCACCCCCTTGCCCCCGCAATTCCTTGTCCGGTTTCCAAGGTTTTTCTAACGGCCTGACAAGAGGCATGGCATGCGGAAACCAGGGAGCTGCAAATGGCGGCGCACCGTGCAGGGCGTCCCCGATATGATTCAATTTCAATGGAGGTGTCCGAAAAAGATACCGGGCACCCCAAATCATCCAAGTCATTTTTGAGATTTGAGTATTGAAACCTATGGTGACTTGGGGATGCCCGCAGCGTTAGACACTGGGTTGCCCCAACATGTCGGGCATTGCCATTGCCCACGGAGTTGACGCCTCGGAGGCAAGGGTAAAATCACTCTGAGCAATGAGAGTTTGAAAATACCTGCGAAATTGCGTTGGAAAATGTTGAATCCCGCAGTTGTACCATCTTGCAAATTCATCCAAGATTCACAACTGTGATGTTTCGACCATCTTGCCATGTCACCGAAAGGACATTTGCAAACTGATGCATGTTGCAACATGTTACCCTCTGGTAAACTGACATAACTATGGAAAATCACCATTTTTAGTAGGGAAATCAACTATAAATGGGCCGTTTTCAATAGCTATGTTGGTTTATTAGAGGGTACAACGTGTTGCAAGGCTGGTCCAAAGTATCCCAAGCTCCAGGCGGCAAATATCTTGAGAAGGGACTCATCCTTTGGTCGCGGTCGCGGTCCTGCGGTGAAGGCGGCCCCTTTTTGGATGCCAAAAAAGGGTCCCCCTTGAAAAAAACAATCCATGAATTCAGGGCCGCGGGCCCCGCCGGCTTCATACCACCACCCTCTACAGCTCGCCACCTCTAGAACGTTTACGCAGATCCAAAGGAACAAGTCGCCCCCTTTCCTGCGGCAAGGAAAGCACCCCGACTTCTGCCAACTAAATTCCAAACTGATCCTGGTTGGGGTGTGTCAACATAAATTCCAAAACTGCTTACCTACATACAATTGTTAAGCCTTTCAATGTTTCCCCGCAAAAAATAATGATCTAATTCGGCTTGTCTGAAAATGGGATGTACCTAGTATCTAGCCAATCTTATGGGGGAAAATGATGATAAACCACCAAGTTTCCGGCTAGCCAAAGAATGCAGATTGTGGCATGGAGGGGCAAATCCATGATATACCCTCAAACAGAAACGTTGGCAATTTTATACCCGTACACTCCCATGGTGCTGGTCATGTATGTTATTAACACCCCTTCTAGATCCGTCGAGGATTACATGGCAAGGTAACACGCGCAGCAAATATAGTTACTTGATGTTACTTGGATCTAGCCAAATTCAAAGACTTCAGAAATCCCAAGCAATCTTTGGATGATTTGCCCAAAAGCATTTGAGGTTCAGATAGGTTGAGCAGAGGTCTCTTTTTGCACCAAGATGCATCTACTCTGCGAGGGCTGGTTGAGGCATCTACTCTGCGAGGGCTGTGTTGATGATTCTCCTTTTGGCATAGGGGCAGCATAGAACCAATGAATGGGACAGGGACAATACAGATCACTATGGGATATTATGGGATATTATGGGATATGCGGTGAAACCAAAAAAAAAGGGGAATCAAGTAGAAAGAGTCCAGAAAGAGCTTCGTAAGAACCAAAATGCGACAGAAGATCGTTTTCACATGCGTTCATCCATTATCAGTAGTTGATCAGAAATCATTTTCCATCATTTTCCCATAGCAAGGGCTATGGAAACACCATGAAGTCACAAAACAAGTCAAGCAAAACAACATCGAGATTACAGAGCGGGTGCAGCACTTTCATGCTGTTCACCATCATGGTGAAAGGCAGAAGAAAGGCAGCGAGTCGCGGGTGAAGTCAACCATCAGCCCTGGAGTCGGTCTCCTCATTCTCCTTGATGGGAAAGCATATGTAGCTACCTGCAGGATTTATCGCAAGACGTGTAGCCACCGAAATGGCCCGCGCCGAAAGAAGGAAAGGACAAAAAAGGCATCTGCTGAATCCAGTGACTGTTTTTCACCTTGTTTTCTCAATGGCTATGGGTTATGCAGAACCGAGGGACCGAACATCTTTGTTTGTTCCCAATACTCAATGGATTGGTTTAAGGGAAAATTTACAGGAAAGCCCCATATTTAATGGGAAAAACCATGGTTTCCTGTAAAATTTCCCTTAAACCAATCCAATCAAATACCCTTCTAGCTCAAAGGTGGGCAAAGACAACTTCGAACATTTCGGTCACATGCCGAAGCTTCGGATCCACAAAAATAGCGCCGTCGCGCCTGTGTCGATATGTTTCTCCCAAACTGATGTTGGAGGTAAGGGATCACCTGACCCAGGAGGCATCAAACATATGGCTATAGAATTTCGAACATCTAACCAACCATTGAGCGTATGCATATTATACAATACGTATATATATATATACATATATATATTATATTATATATATACATATTATCATAGATATACACATATTATTACATATATATATATAATATTATATATATACATATAAGAATATATACATATAAAATAATATATATATACATAATTTATACATTTTATATAATATATACCACCAAACAATATCAAAAATATGATGTTTGGATACTCTGGCCTGTCATTCTCTATTGACTCTACTGGTTGGTTGAGGATTTTAGGCAATAGATTGCATGTGATAATCCCGAATTCCGAAACATACAATCAACTACTGTAACTAAAATCAATGTAATATACAATTAACCTACAATAATTGTAATTCCGAATAGATATTAAAATCTAACTAACCACATACAATTATCAGACAACAAGGGGGGATTCCAGAAACCATGAACAGGCTGGCAAGTGGCAATAGTCAAGCCCTGAAACATCCTGAGACCAGCAGCTGCTTGTACAGATGTACAGTTTGGATGTTTTTTGCACAGCTCTCGATACACTGCCTACACATGATAGACCCATTCCCTGCTTACGGGGCCCACCAAACCGTTCTATGAAGTTCATCTTGCTGCACGACTAATGAGGGTTTAAACGTACCTCCGTGGGATTTGTGTGAGGAAATCACCATCGACACATAGTTGCAACATGTTGCAACCGATTCAGGATCGTCGTTTGGAGGGATCGACTGAATCCGTTACGACTCTGAGGCCCGATATAGTGGCAGTGCAATACGACTTCTTATCATCAAGTAGAAGCCGATGATACGCTAAATATCATCGAGTATGTTCTCTTTTGTTTTCATCATCGATTGGGGGGCAAACCCCTAACACTTTCATCATCCAGAATTTCAAATTGCGCTAAACCTTTTAACAAGTAGTAGTGACTTAGTAGTGCAATAGTCCTTTACTGTAGCACAGCCATGAACTCGCTTCAGCTACAGGGTTGACCACTTCCCTGGAGTCCATGGCAGGACCAGGCTGATGGAAGGTTGACGCTTGCAGGCGCAATAGACTGGGCTAAGATAACCCCCAGCTATAGACTAGGATCTGGGCACATCTATCCATATTTTTTTACAGAAATATGAGACGGTTTATATGGTCATCGATTCTATATCTCTATGGCAATCTAATCAATAACCAACCACCATTGATTTTAGACATTGCTCAATTGCATTCAATTCTGCAGCCCTCCCAAGAAGAGGAAGAAAAATGCTACGCGGATGACACTTCCTTGAGCGTTGTGACGGTTTTTCCCTGATACTTGTACAATCAGGTTCCTCAGTTTTTGAAATATCTGGGAGACCTTTAAACTAGAAAGTCCCTGTTGAAACACAATTGTTTCCATCCCTAATTAAACTGAGTGCATCCCTTCCGCGGTCGCCATGGCCTGGGTTAATCCACCGCGGCATGGGCACATCCTCTTGTCGGGGAGGGGCATCTGTCGCGCGCTCCCGAAGCTTTGAAAAAACCTCCCGTGGATTGGCTGCCGCCGATGAGACGCAGGCTGCCACAACAATGGCAAACATGTCCACAATAGCAGCGCCCGTGGTTGCGTTGGCCGGGTTCAGTTTTAAATGTTTCAGCAGCAAGGCCGAGATCTTGGCTCGAAGCGCTCCATAGATCACATCCTTCAAAAAGTTTGAGCCATATGCCTTGTAGATGTTTCCGGGCAAAGGCAAGTTCATTGTGCTTCGGAAGCACTTGGTGATTGGCAGGGTAATTGCGCACAAGACTGCGCCCACCGCAGCTCCTCTGGCCGCGGGCAGAAGAGGAAGACTCTGCGTCACCAAGTTGAGGACCTCGAAGGTCAGTTTTTTTGCCAACGGGGCCGCAGCACTCACTGATGCAGCCACCGCGGCACCCATGGGACCCAGAGCCTGCGAAGTTCCACGGCCATTGCGAATCATGGCGAATCCACACAGGACTCACCAAAATGAGCCGCCCCGGACTTAAAACATGTGAAAACATAAAGATCATCAATTAATCTGGGGAAATCTATAGGGTTTGTTATTGGAAAATCTCTCAATAATAATGGTTGAGAAATGTTTAATACACCTGGTCGAGGTTTTTCACTGGCTCTCATGGACTTCTGTCGGTAAATGCTTCGTCTTTGACAGCGGCATGAGACATCAGTATCATCACAGTTTACGACTGGATGTGAAATGATGTGAAATTTAAGGTAAGTTGCGACTTCGCCTGGAAAAAAAAGTTGGGTGAACTCACCATGTCTGGACCACTCGGAATGCCCAAGGTGATCTGAACCAAACCTGCAGATCAGTCACTGAAATCAATGACAATCAATAGTACTCTAACTGTCAAAGACTCGAGTCTCCCTTAAATGAGCTTCACAGGCTCTAAATCTCTAAGCACATGTCCAGTTCCTAGATTTGATTTAAGATTTCCCATGTATGTTTTCCCTTTGGTTAACCGCTTTCCTGGAGAATCCATTTGATAGATGGCCCTTACTGCGGACCAAAAAATCGCCCGAAGTTTAGGCCAAGTTTCGTGACATTGGCGTGATTCAAGCTCCTTTTCAACCCTTTCAAAGGCAAAGAGTTTTCAGCTGGTGAAGTTCGGATTTTTTTTTCACTCTTTCGTGCTGAATCCGCTCCAGTTTTCTGGAGGTGAATTGGAGACATCGGCAGCGCCGATGCCACAACATCCTGATGCAAATCGCCCCCCAACTTGTCACAGAAACAAAATGAAAACCCAACACCGAGGTTCTGAAAAATGAAGTTCCGATATGTTCCGAAAAATGAGATTGAAAAATTCTTTGGGTTCCACGGTGATTTCCGTGAGGTGTTTTTGGATGTGGAAACAGGGACATGTTTTCTCCAAACCCAAACGGCCCAAAGATCAACGGTAGAAGTTTTGATCCATCTGTGCACAAAATACCTTCGATAGCTTCGTGTCACGATTTAAGAGCTATGGTTCCACAAATATTTCTTGATTTATCTTGACCTGATGTTGATAGCATTAAACCATCCAATCGTATTCTTATCTTTACTATGAAACTAAACAATGTTGGGGCACCAAATGTTGATTCTCCCATTGAGTCACCATTAGATCACAATTTTCCCCAATCCCAGGATCTAAGACTCTAAGACCACTAGCCGTCACTAGCCATTTGTAGGGATGGAGCCAACAGGGAAGCACCAGCAGAAATGGGATATGAAGACCTTGCTTTAGTTGTTTTTGTACTAGTCATTCCAAAACCCCATCCACAAGCATCTCAAGATATCTCAAGTTTCTGGGAAGATCTATGCCCAACGGATTCCAAAAACAAAACAGAAAAGGGGCGCTGCAGAACTCTGAGGGAACAGGACATGGGTCTTTTGACCCGGAAGCCAAGAGAGGAATTCGGCCATATATAGGGCGTAGATTTGAACGTAAACTCTGAAAGGAAAATGCCACTATGGTTCCTCATCACACAATGTCAAATGTTCCATGATGATTCTATCCAACATATCCAACTGCGATACCAAGCACTTCCACTCCGATCTGACACGGGGGAACCAGTTCATCCTGTTCCAACGCTCTGGAGTAGGTGCGCTTCAAAAGAAAAAGACGACACATGGTGCTGAAGCACTTACAAAGTGGGACATCCAAGATCATCCAAGTACATGTGCAAATGTCCCAAAAACACTTAGCTGAAGGATATTGTTTTCCTGGAAACCATGGATTTACCTACTTAAGATATCTTAAGATAGGGGGATCCTATAGACACCATTCTGGGATACTGGGACACACACTTACGTGTTTACCATCCCTGGCTCCCCCAGTCAGGTACCTCCAAGTCGCAGAAAACCTTGAAACAAACTCCCAAGTTGAACGCAACAAGAAAGTTCCATTCTAAGTTTGACAACTTGATGTTTTCCCTAAGGAACATATTTAAAATATGTTCAAGCATCATAGCTTCATTTTCCCCAGAATTGCCGCTCCTGGGCGCTAATCCGAGCTGCGATCCGGGTCAGAATCTTCAGACGAAAACCGCCCGAAGGTCCTTGTGTTTGGGATGCGCCCTGTGAATATATGAAGGGGGTGGGATTATAACCAACCATTTTGGTGGGATAGCATGTGTATATATATATATATGTTATGTATACTGCATATGTGTATATGATATATATGTATGTATGTATGTATGTATGTATGTATGTATGTATGTATGTATGTATGTATGTATGTATGTATGTATGTATGTATGTATGTATGTATGTATGTATGTATGTATGTATGAGTATGTATGTATGTATGAGTATGTATGTAGTATGTATGAGTATGTATGTATGTATGTATGTATGTATGTATGTATGTATGTATGTATGTTATATGTATGTAAGGTATGTACTGTATGTATTGTATTGTAGTTCGTTGTCTGTATATGTATGTATGTATGTATTGTATGTCTGTATTTTTGTATGTATGTATGTATCTGTATGTATGTATGTATGTATGTATGTATGTATGTGTGTATGTATATATATATATATATATACATATGTATATATCTTCTGTACACATAGCAAACCAACAACTGACTGTCATTAGGATATAGTTTTAAGCAAAAAAAATACAGAAACCATTTTTCTTCCATATTTGTTCAATGGCTTCTTGATGTTTCCTGCATCTTTTCCACAGTTGGGGCTGCAATATACATAATCTATTCTGATTTAACTAGCAGTTTTGGGATTTACCGCCATTCCCGGACAACCCGGTTGACACGTCTTGAAAGCGATTAAACCATTCAGGTATTCAATGTTTGTTCAGTCAAAGCCAAGTGGCTTTGTCAGGAGAAGGGAGGTACTTGGGTGTGCCACGGATCCGACAATGTTGATTTTGAGACCCACATCCTATAGATGTTTGGGGATGTGCGGGGGATCCAAACGCAGAGAAAAAAAAATCATTCAACTTCAACCCGGAATCAACTCCCGGCTCAACGTCATGGGGATTCAACTGATTCAACTCCCCAAAGATCCCATTGGGGCCGTAAACCAATGACATAAACCTCCAAGATGGTCCATACACGACTATAAAGACCACTAATCATTCGTTGGAAAAGGCCGTCACGCACCACGAATGTTCCGAGAAACTTCCCACGGGGATATCTTGGGATAGATCTTGAAGTTGATGTTGCAAAGTCCCGATTCTTTCGATGTAAATACCTCTGCGGATTCACACACAAAAAGACATGCAAATGACCTAAATACTAAACCATCCTATACCTATAACAGTGGTAAACAAATCACAAGCTTGTATCAACCACTCAAATGCTTGTGGATGCCTGTGACTTTGTCTCAACATGAGGGGATGCCCCGAAAATCTTGCGTGTTTTTTTCCACATCCCGAAATGGTAGCTTTACGGCATGGACGGTAAAGCATTGTCGCTACAAAAACGCGATGAGGCAATCATCTAAGGCGGTAAACCCAATCTTTTTCTAACATGCCCCACTTAATGAGTAAACCTTTACTTGGGGTTGCAGTTCCGATTTCTTGTGGGCATGACCATGGTGATAACCTCCATAAGCTGCGATATAACCCTTATGACCCTGGGTCGAGATTCTATATCCACTTGTACCTGGAGTTTTCAAGTAATGAGTAGTTATGGAAACACAACCTAGAATTGGCTTATATTGGGGTTACTCCATCACAGTAGGCCAGGGGTAACTCATGTTTTTGCGCCTAAATAGCGCCATATAGTACCGCTTATGTTCCTTCCCCTTCTTCATTTGGGTTTGTATATAAATTGATGATAAGCATGCCCCAAATTCACTGGTTTATCATCTCATTCGCCAATTAAATGGCCATAAGTGGGTGTGCATGAACGTGTTCCCTCCGAAAAATATATGGCCATCATTTGCCATCAAACAATGAGGATAATGATGCTTCACCAATGGATTGGGAGGGCTTCTTCCTAAATTTCAAGACAAAGCCATATATTATCAGAGAGTTGCTTGTATATGTATATATATCCCTTCATTCCCCCATGAAATGTCAAAAACAATTGCCACTCAACGGCCCGTCGGACATCGTCGGACACAATTCAGACGTCTGGCTTCACGGGACGCCACGCGAGACTTCATCGATCGCAGCTCCGCACCTGGAGGGATTGAGATGTCAAGTGGCTACTTGAATGATCACTTGGAAGGATTATATATATATATATTGGTTTATAATGGTTTATATAGTAATAATGATAACTTGAATATATCAATGATTAGGGAATGATTAACTTGAATATATATATATATAATTATATATAAATATGGTTGTTCCCAACGATATTGGTTATATTGGGTGACGAATGATTATGGCAGAGAAAAACAGTTACTATCCAGTCGCCTGTCCGGAGGCAAATGTGCGTCCCAGTTTTCGTGGCTGGATAACTAACGAATCATGACTCAATCAAACTCAGATATAGTGAAACCATATAAAAACCGGCTTATGTATATATTTCTCTGAATAAATGCTTAAAAAAATTAAAAAGGGCATGGTTCTGAACCACTTACGAAGTGGGTCCCGCACGATGTGGAAATGCCCCAATAATAATTTACATACCTAAAGTGGGGCACTGTTTCTGGGATAGCGGCGAGCGCAATACCCACTGGTGCTTACCATCAGTGTGGTGGCTCAAGCGAACCCATGAATGGACTTAGCTGTGTTCGGAAATCAACAAGGTTTTTTTACAAATGCATGGACAGCTTCTCAGCCTAGATACCTTGATCCCGGCGACCCGAGAGCTCAGGTAAGCCCCTCAAAGTCACACAATTCTATATTCTTCTCACGCAACTTGAAAACACATTCCCAAGTTGGGCCTAAGAAAGATTTGTTCATTTGATTGCGACCTCAACCTTATGCATTTACTGGTTAGGAATTGGCATCACCTTGTTTTGATCCCCAGCTGGCCCTGGCCGTGCGATGCCGTGAGCCCTCGCTTTGGATGGCGGATCGCTAACTCCAGCACTCCACTAAGGAACAAATTTCCGGCAGCTCGTCCAAAGAGTTTCCAGTCAAGTAAAGTGTCTGCAACTTTCCGAGGCCTGCGAAAATTCCTGCAGGCAAGTCTTTCAAAGAGTTCCGGCGCAGGTCCAATATCTGCAAATCACTAAGACCCTCAAACAATCCAGCTGGCAGTTGACCCATGGAGTTGGCATTCAGGTTCAGTCTCTGCAACTTGTTGAGACCGGTAAACACTTCGGCCGGCAGTTCACGCAAACCATTCCGGCGCAGGTCGAGTGTCCGCAAGTCACTGAGACCTGCAAACAAACCTCCTAATCTTTCATCAGAGAGCCTATTCAGCTTGTTGTAAGCCAAATCGAGATTCTGCAAGCTGCTGAGGCCCGAAAAGACTCCGGCAGAGAGTTCACCCAGCCTGTTCCTATTCAGGTTGAGTGTCTCTAAGTTGCTGAGACCTGCAAACAAATCTGCAAAAACTTGAGGAGAGAGCTTGTTCAGCTTATTTGATTTCAATTCGAGTACCTGCAAGCTGGTGAGTCCAGCAAAGACTCCAGGAGATAGTTCACCAAGAGCATTATTATTCAGGTTGAGTGTCTGCAAGTTGTGTAGCAATGCGAACAAGTCTGGCGGTAGCCGCCTCAACTCGTTTTCCCTCAGGTCAAGGGTCTCTAGCTTGCCGAGTTTGTCAAGGCTGCCAGCAGGCATTTCACCCACCTGGTTCCAGCCCAGGTCAAGGGTCTTCAAGTTCCTGAGACCTCTTAGCTCTGCAATGTCTTGAGGAGAAAAACTGCACCGATCGCAGTTTAATGTTTGCAAATTACTAAGGTCTGAAAAAACTCCCTTAGGCAGTCCACCAAGACCGGTGGACCCCAAGATGAGTGTCTGCAACTTGCGATTAGTCGCAAACACTCCGTGGGGCAGTTTCCTAATTCTATTCGTCCTCATGCTGAGTACCTGCAGATTCCTGAGATCCTGAAACAACCCAGCAGGTACTGCATATATCTCGTTATATGCCAGATCAAGCGTCTCTAAGTTGCTGAGACCTGCAAACAAATCTGATAGCATGTCAGAAGAAAGTTTACCCAGCTTGTTACTCTTCAATGCAAGTGTCTGCAAGCTGCTGAGTCCCGCAAAGACTCTGGGAGACACTTCACCGAGTTCATTGTCGTTCAGGTTGAGTGACTGCAAGTTGTCCAGACCAGCCAACAGGTCAGGCGGAAGCTGGGTTAGCTGGTTTTTTTGTAGGTCCAGTCGCCGTAAATTGTTCAGGCCTGCGAAGGTTTTAGCAGCCAGTTCACTGATGGAGTTACTCTGTAGGTCCAGAATCTCCAGCCTCTGGTTTCCGGCAAACCCATCTTCAGGAATTTCCCTCAAATTGTTTTCGCTCACATCTAAAACTCTCAGGTGCGGGCTATGCTCCAAGAGTTTCTGTGGAAAAGTTTCCAATTCATTCCCCTGAAAGATCCTGAGTCCTTTCGCATTGGTCTTGCCTCCCAGCAGCAACTGCTCTAAGGCTGGCATTGGGTAGAGGAGCTCTTCTGGCAAGTGCTTTAAATGGTTCTGGCTGATGGACAGAACCCTTAAGGATGATAAGCACGCAAAAGCGTCCTTGTCCACACGTTCCAAGCCCACACGTCCGAGATCCAAGAGGTTCAAAGCATTCAATGGGCAAAGCATTTTCTTGGTCAAGAGAGGCAGCCTTGGTGATATGTTGGTTCTTTGCTAAAAATGATCAAATTAAAATTTTTGCAATTGAATCTGGGTCTGAGGATCTAGATCATGGGTCATCCAAATTTGGTTTACTGGGTCATTCCCTTTCACCCCCTTCATGTTTTTGTTAAGTCTCTTGCAAATCATATAAACTACGGTATTTTCCAGCAGTTGTTTTCACAAGTTTCAAGGTTCCCCCTTCTGATGACAAATATAATATTGACTATAAAATTATTATTGACCTTAAATGGTGAAACGGAATGAAACTCTGGTATTGGACCCCAATAATAGGAGCGGCCATGTATTTCAGGTTTTACAATACAACCAAAATGAAACTATGTGTACCTTTATTAGGCAGGTAATTCGATCCTGATTGGGGAGTCTCTTCGCGCAGCAAATTGTGCTTGGTTTGACCTTTATATTGGTTGGATATAATGTCACCAAAAAATCGTTCTTTTCAGGGAACATGTTCGCCAAGCGCAACTTCATTGATCTTTGTATCCGGTGACGCTAGAGAGTGGACAGGTCTTTTCTTAGTGAGGAAATATGATTCTTATTTGGAACCTCTTGGGCGAGCACATGTTGCTTAACTTTCACATGCTGATCACATGTTGATTAACTTTGCAAGGTTTTGGGCCAGGTTTTCAAGTCCTGCTTTCAAATTCCAGGCCCGGGTGTGCGCGGACCCATCCTGTACTTGAGAAGGGGGGACAAAAGGTAGGTGGGGGCATATCTCTCAGCAACTTTTTGCGTTCATCCTGTTTCAATATCGAACTTTCCCTTCCCCCTAGGTGCCTCTCAATTTCCTGCATCCATTTCGTTTCATACGTAGACTTCCCCCATTGGCCTCTTCACCACTTCTTACGTTTTTGTTGTTGCAATATCCGAACTTCCCCGGCATCAACAACTTCTTGCATGCATCTTGTCTCAATATCTAAATTCCACCCTGTGCCATAGTCAGTAGTAAGAACCACAAGCAAGATCATGTCACGACCACGCCTAACCCTTATATTAAGTTGCCTTTCTAACCCTTATGCTGCAAATTCATTACCATTACACGCATGCTGTTCTAACCCCATGGGAAATCTAACCCTTAAAAAAACTATTTTTAACCTTTTCATCAAACAAATACTAACTTTTCATCAAAAAAAAGTACTAACCCTGACCACTAACCTTACTATGGGTGATTTGTGATTTTGGAAACTGTTCAGCTCAGCTCTCAGAGAAACAAACACAGCTTCACACTGCATCAATTTTTTGACCGAAGAGTGCTGGCTGCGCAGCCTCCTAACCCTTACGGGCCATGTGATTTGAATTACTTTACTTCGAGTTATCCCCACCATGACACCCACCATGACATCTATACGTTTTGTTACTGGCAAATCTTCTGGCATTCTATCTGACATATCTTCTGGCATTTTATCTGGCATATCTTCTGGCATTCTATCTGGCATATCTTCTGGCATTCTACCTGGCATATCTTCTGCAATATGTTCTGGCATATCTTCTGGCACTCTATCTGGCATATCTTCTGGCATATCTTCTGGCATATCTTCTGACATTCTATCTGGCATTCTATCTGGCAAATCTTCTGGCATATGTTCTGGCACTTTATCTGGCATACCTTCTGGCACACTTTCTGCCAATCTATGTGGCATATCTTCTGGCATTCGATCTGGCATATCTTCTGGCATATCTTCTGACATCCTATCTAGCATTCTATCTGGCATATCTTCTGGCATTCTACCTGGCATATCTTCTGCAATATGTTCTGGCATATCTTCTGGCATTTTATCTGGCATATCTTCTGGCATTCTATCTGGCATATCTTCCGGCATTCTATCTGGCAAATCTTCTGGCATATGTTCCGGCAAACATTCTGGCACTTTATCTGGCATATCTTCTGGCATATCTTCTGACATTCTATCTGGCATACCTTCTGGCATTCTATCTGGCATATCTTCTGGCATTTTATCTGGCATATCTTCTGGCATTCTATCTCGCATATCTTTGATGGGGGGCCTGGGAAGGGAGGGTGGTGGGTCACGGGTGTGGAGGTCGTGTTGGATGTTAAGGCCAAAATTTGGATATCAAGGCCAAAATTTGGATGTTAAGGCCAAAATTTGGATGTTAAGGCCAAAATTTGGATGTTAAGGCCAAAATTTGGATGTTAAGGCCAAAATTTGGATGTTAAGGCCGAAATTTTGATGTTAAGGCCAAAATTTGGATGTTAAGGCCAAAATTTGGATATCAGGGCCAAAATTTGGATGTTAAGGGCCAAAATTTGGATGTTAAGGGCCAAAAATTTGGATGTTAAGGCCAAAATTTGGATGTTAAGGCCAAAAATTTGGATGTTAACGGCAAAATTTGGATGTTAAGGGCAAAATTTGGATGTTAAGGCCAAAATTTGGATGTTAAGGCCAAAATTTGGATGTTAAGGCCAAAATTTGGATGTTAAGGCAAAAATTTGGATGTTAAGGCAAAAATTTGGATGTTAAGGCCAAAATTTGGATGTTAAGGCCAAAATTTGGATGTTAAGGCCAAAATTTGGATGTTAAGGCCAAAATTTGGATGTTAAGGCCAAAATTTAGATGTTAAGGCCAAAATTTAGATGTTAAGGCCAAAATTTGGATGTTAAGGCCAAAAATTTGGATGTTAAGGCCAAAATTTGGATGTTAAGGCCAAAAATTGGATGTTAAGGCCAAAATTTGGATTTTAAGGTTAAAATTTGGATGTTAAGGTTAAAATTTGGATGTTAAGGCCAAAATTTGGATGTTAAGGCCAAAATTTGGATGTTAAGGCCAAAATTTGGATGTTAAGGCCAAAATTTGGATGTTAAAGCCAAAATTTGGATGTTAAGGCCAAAATTTGGATGCTAAGGCCAAAATTTGGATGCTAAGGTCAAAATTTGGATGGTAAGGCCAAAATTTGGATGTTAAGGCCAAAATTTGGATGTTAAGGCCAAAATTTGGATGTTAAGGCAAAAATTTGCATGTTAAGTGCCAAAATTTGGGTGTTAAGGGCCAAAATTTGGATGTTAAGGGCCAAAATTTGGATGTTAAGGGCCAAAATTTGGATGTTAAGGCCAAAATTTGGATGTTAAGGCCAAAATTTGGATATCAAGGCCAAAATTTGGATGTTAAGGGCCAAAATTTGGATGTTAAGGGCCAAAATTTGGATGTTAAGGCCAAAATTTGGATGTTAAGGCCAAAATTTGGATGTTAAGGCCAAAATTTGGATGTTAAGGCCAAAATTTGGATGTTAAGGCCAAAAATTGGATGTTAAGGCCAAAATTTGGATTTTAAGGCCAAAATTTGGATGTTAAGGCCAAAATTTGGATGTCAAGGGAAAAATTTGGATATCAAGGGAAAACTTTGTTGTTGCAAATTAATCTCATCAATTATTCCTTAGGCCTGCTGCTGGCTTTAGACTTAGAGGTTAGTGAAATACACAATATTGAGGTTATTGAAATGCACAATATTGAGGTTAGTGAAAATATAAGGGTCAAGAAAATTTTTGTGGTTAGCAAAATCTACCTTGTTGGGGTTAGGCAAAGATCTCTTGAGGTTAGCAATTTAGCTTGTAAGGGTTAGTAGTGCGTCTCAGATAATGTTAGTCAGTTTGTTGGCCAGCTATGTGAATTAGAGGGGCCAAGGTGCCTCAACCGATGGACGCCCGGTTGAGGCACGTCCATCAATAGATAGATAGATAGATAGATAGATAGATTAGGTAGGTAGGTAGGTAGGTAGGTAGATAGATAGATAGATAGATAGTTAGATAGATAGATAGATAGATAGATCAACAACGACGACGACGACGACGACGACAACAACAACAACCAACAACCAACAACCAACAACCAACAACCAACAACCAACAACCAAAACAACAACAACAACAACTACTACTACTACTACTACGACTACTACTACTACTACTCCTACTCCTCCTACTCCTACTCCTACTCCTGCTCGTGCTCCTGCTCCTGCTCCTGCTCCTGCTCCTGCTCCTGCTCCTGCTCCTCCTCCTCCTCCTACTCCTACCCCTACTCCTACCCCTACTCCTACTCCTACTACTGCTGCTGCTGCTGCTGCTACTGCTACTGCTACTGCTACTGCTACTGCTACTGCTCCTGCTGCTGCTGCTACTGCTACTGCTACAACTACTACACTACAACACTACAACACTACAACACTACAACACTACAACACTACAACACTACAAATGCAAATGCAAATAAACTAGGCTACATTACACTAAACTAATTACTACACGGCACTAATTACATCTAATTACACTACACTACACTAATTACAATACAACTACAACTACTACTACCACAGCTACAACCACAATTACAACTACACCACATTACACTACACTGCACTAATTACACTGCAGCACGCTACAACTACAAATACAAATGCGACTACAACTACATTACATTCCACAGCACTACACTACACCAATTACATTACATTACACGACAACTAGAATGGCAACTACCACTAAATTGCACTACACGACACTACACTAACTGCAATACACTACACTACAACTACAACTACACTACCTTCCACTACACTACACTAGGCTACACTACACTATACCAAACTACAGTACACAATCAATACACTACACTGATTACACCACACCACAACTACAACTGCAACTGCAACTACACTACACTAATTACACAACATTACAACTACAACTCCACTACACTACACTACAACTACGACTACAACTACAACTGCACTACACCACACTACATCCAGCAGTTGTGGTGAAGTGACCACTGCAAACATTGCAACCACTCCAAAAAACACAACTCCAACCACCTTTCGGTCCATCAGTGGATTCGCTCTGCCATCCGTGATTCGCAACAACCAACCTCCCCTATAGGCTTCCTATTTTTGAAACTTCCGCCACCGCCTTGTGCGGTACTACTGGTACGAATTACATACAATTTCACTCCCAAGGGAGTCTTAACTATGGAAAGGATGGGATATGATATGAAGAAATTCTAATGAAACAATTTTGACCTAACAACGATGTCCCCAAATCGAAGTCAGCTACCCCATAATCGATTGCAAAAGTTTACTTGTTTGTGCGGTAGGCGGCAAGCCCAAACCCCCCAAAAAAAAACGGAAAAAACGACGTACGTGTCTGGCTAAAGGCAACCCAGCAACGAATTGCCAGAGAGCGACAATCGTTGCAAGCCCGGCAAAAACCGAAAGGCGTTCTCTGTCACACCTGAAGGTTTTGCTGTTCTGATTTTCATGAGCCTCCAATGCAATGAGCAATGCTTCCCTGTTGAGCCCATAGAAATTCACGTGGCTTCACCAGAAGAGAAAGCAAATAGACAACTGTATAATCACGTAAGCAAACCGGGATAATCCAAGTATATCAAGATTTTAACATCAAGAAAAAATGGAACCCCTTGAGCAAACCATCCAAGATACTGCTGATGCCTTGTTCACTGAGACTAATGTCTTTGAGGCGAAGTACCCCTGCCAAACCGCAACTCTGCAGCTGTGCGCCATCCGACACGACTTGGCAGCGACATGGAAAGCATCCGAAGTCCCCAGAGTGCCCAGGGTAAGTGTTGCTCGAAAGCAGCAAATAGATTATGATCGCCACCAGGACAGGTGAGTACCTTTTTAAAGCAGGGGATTCAAGAAATCCACCAATACTGACTTGCAACATCTTGAAACCAGGTGGTGGTCTAACCTGGCAATGTAAAATCACCCGCTTTTTGTTTTCCTATGTTTCCATGTCCACCCACTCCAAAAAAAGGGTTCCCCTCCTAACATGACATGGAATTGTGGATTTCTCCAAAAGACAGAGACCGTACACCCCCCAAATAAACATCGGTATCCCGGTCAGCTTTCCTGAAAGAGAGAAAGTATGAAAAACCAACACCCGTCGAAATATGGGCTTGTCCAAAAGTAGGGTCCCAGGGTGCCCCAAATTCCAATTAGCGGTATCATAATCTTGCCGGTAGACATGGCTAGAAGTGGTAGGGTATCCCCAATTTCTGGACAAACCCATACGGGCAGCTTTGCCATTTGCTGCAGGCTACAGCACCTTGCAAATCAGTTTGCATGATTTGAACTGACCAGAGTTCGCTGGATGCATCGACCTCTGGCTACGCTTCTGAAGGTTTGGTGGTTGTCGCATGCTATGTTGCACCTCATAGTTTTCCAGAGCACGGCACACCGTGCACACGTGTGCCACCGAATAGTAGACGGCAAAATAACCAAGGAAATCCGAAGGAAAAGCAAAAGAAGCGTCCAATTCCGCTGTGAAGTTCACAGCAGGTTCATCCCCAAAATTCCCTGAAACTTGTTTGTCCAGCTTTAGCTCATAAATTGCAAGCAACGTGATGACGAGGTATGTCATGGTGTAAGCCATATCAAGAATCGCATCCATCATGGCCGCCCCCAGCCGCACCGACTTCTTGGAAGGGAACAGAAACAAAATGCTGGGATAGAGGCTGTTCAGGCAAAGGAAACCCACAAAAGCCCAGAAGCAGCGTTTGAACACCTCTGAATGTTCCGAAGCCTCATGAATCGCGAAAGAAACGATGCCGCCCAAGATTTGAAGCTTTCCAAAAGCTTGCAGTATCACAGTGAGAAACTGCAGCATGGCAACTTTGAAGCCGTAAAATTTGCCTTGGACTCCAAAATACTCCGCATACAGCACCTCAGGAATGTTCAGTTCACAGAATGTGCATTGAATAGCTTTTGTTACATAATATGTTATCAAAATATTGGTCATGGAATCATGGAATTGTTACTTTGAATTTAACCAAATTGTGTATTAATTACACACATTAAACTTGCTACCACTTACAGTACCGCCTAGGCTGCCTACAGCATACTGAATTTGGACCATTTCTCACTTGGGTGGGTTTTGGCTTCCGGCTCCATTGGATTGACCGTTGGCAACGGCGCAGGTCCCATGCTAGCACGATCATCAATGCCAGGTACGGCAGAAATAGGACAATACATGGCCACCATCCCTCAGTTTCCGGATCAGGGCTGTCAAATCCTTGGATTTGCCGCTCCGGAAGCCCTGAAATTCACGATTAGCGCCCTGAGCTACAAAGACCCATGAAATTGTAGGCCAATTAAAATAGAAAGTTGTTTATATAGAAAAAACTTGTTTTTGATAAAACAAGTACTTGCTTTTCTTCTTGATCTACTTGTTGGGTTTCAGCAAGTAGTTGATCAATACCAGCGTGCAAAGTAGATTTGCTCCAAGTGCGGGTGCTCTTCAAGTCAAAACTGGATATGATTGTTATGCTAGCAATAGATTACTATCTCGGATATATGCTAGCCCAACTTTGTGCAGAAATGTGCTGCGTCCAAAAGTGTCATATCATATTCAATTAGCTACAAGTGCCGCAAATCAAAACAAAATCACAGGGGCATGGATCACTTTCGGCACTGGTAATTGGTGCTCATATCTGCTGTCCTTACACCGAGTCGATAAAACTCTGCGTCACAGCCACTAATTTCTGCGGGGGAAAAATCCACAATTTTGGGTACGGGTTTGTATGGGTTAATTATGTGTCTTTTACGCGTTAATTGTGGGTTCTCAATTATCTTGTTTTTTCTTTGCCATTCACGAAATATGGGTTTTGCATGGGAAAAATATTGTTTTAGTATGGGTTAGGTTGAGTAAAATATGGGGTGTTCATAGTGGACCTTACAAAAAAAAATGAAAAACACATCGAAAATCCGATAAAACCGCGCTGTTTGAAGATTTCCTATGGAAAATTCAATCCGGCTGGGAGTTTCAAATTCCGGGCCGGAAATTTCAGAAATAGAAACTTATTCCGATTCCAGAAATAGAAAATTCCCGGGCAGGAAATTCCAAAGTTCCAGGCCGGGAATTTTGGTATTCCATCTGAAATAGGCAAAAAAAAATCATGCTAACAAGAGAACTAGTATCCTTTGGTGGGATTTTAGGCCTAGAACTCTTCCCACTCAGGTTTTCAGAATTTTTCAGAGATTTGGGAAATTCGGTTATCACATGTTTTCATCATTTCGAGAAACGGGTCATCATTCCACAGCGAATCCCAAAAGGTTACCAGAAGCAATGTATGAAATTGTATGACGATCAACGCTCCGAAAAAAAAAAAAAACTGTTTGAGAAAACCCTTTTTTTTGGCAACACGCATGGAAAAACCCGGTTTCTGAAAAAAAACACGAATTTGTGGGTCCATGATGGTCCATGTTGCTGGTGATTCCTCAAGCATTGTGCTTTTTTTCAGGAAAAAATCACCACATCGACTCAGCCAATCCAGGAATCTGTCACTCTGTTCGAGGGCAAGGCCATCTTTCCTGGTGGTTTTTCGCCACCCCTCTGAAAAATATGAATCAGTTGGGATGATGACATTCCCAATAGATGGGAAAATAAAAAATGTTCCAAACCACCAACCAGTTTCAATGATTTCGGTAGCTTTGAACGGAACACCGCTGGACTGTAGCGAATGAAGTATTGCGCAGACAGGTACATCGCAGCAATCAAAGAGGTCATCCGAAGAAAGAACACAGCGGCACAAAGGAACCTGGTCCACAAAAAGTTCAACGTCGGGGCAGTAGATCCATTCATAACCGCACCAGAAACATCATGAAACATCCACAAACAGTAAAACTCCAATGGTGTGGCTAACAATCCATCCAGGAACCATGAATTTGATGCGTGAAATCTGCCTGAAAGCTGCGATTCTGCGAAGCGCTTCGACTCGGCAACAAGCCCGAAGTGCTTGGCCAAGCGATGCACACCATCCACCTGCGCTTCCAGCTCACTCAACGACGCTTCGTAACACCTCGGGTGATTCCAGTGATCCCTGTGCTGAGCATCACCAGAAACGTCGGGATCATCCCCAACCATTGAAGGGTGACGCTCAACAACTTGAATTCCATTCTGAAATTAAATAAAAGGGGAAGGTTTACCAAACCCCAGCCTGATGGTGGCAAAATAATTGTCGACTGCAACAACCATCTCAGCACACCTGAGACCTGTCTGAGACACAGCAAAGAAATCTTGTGCACATACAATCTCGATGCCGCTCGTTTCGTTCATTCTCGTTTTGAGGAAATGCCAAGCATGCGACATACTGTTCAAGTCGTCAAAGGCAATATCACAATGCAGCAAATCCACAATCCGATTTGGGTCGCCTATCCGCGCAACAGCCTCTTGTAGTAATGGCAGCGGCTTCAACTTTGGCTGCAAACTCTGGCGTGAGTTGTATCCTTGCTCTTCCAAGAATGCATACAGCGGTATGCAGATGTCTCGCCTGAACTTGTCAAGTTGCTTTCTCGCCTGCAGGAAATGTTCCTTCAAGCTCTTGGATCTCTTGGCGTATGGCTGCACGATGTCTTCCCGCATCTGAATCATCTGATCACCGAACAGCGTGGACATGTCCATCCGAAGGTTCTTCGCATACAGCGCCTCCGTTTGGACTTCCAGCTCCTTCGACAGTTCTTGCATCCGATTGAGGCGGGCAGTGGTGTATGCGATGCTGATCACCATCAGCGATAGCAAGACCAAAAGACAAAGTGCTGCAGATACCCCGGTGGACTGTGACAGACAGTAACATGCCACAGGGAACAAGCTCAGCAGAATCATCAACAGTAAATATTGACTTTCAACCTCTGCTACTGCCTGTGTGAGGATGAGCAACACAAGCTCAAGGTGCTGCCGTTGAGTCTTCAATGCCAGCCTCATCCTTTTAAGCGTGCCGAACCAATGGTGTTTCTTGCAATATCCACTTTCAAAAGCATGAAAACTGCTACATCCAGCATGGCCGCAAGGAAAGGGTCTGGTTTCATCGATGAACCCAGCATCTACACTGTCCTCGATTTCCTCGCCCGATTCGTCACTGCTTGTGGCATGTGACCTGCCAAACCTCGTTGCCTCGTGCCACATGGTGCCCGATGGCCCAAGTTGCTGCCGATAGGACTGCGCGAAGCGACCGAAGCGCCCCGCACAGGACGAACACCACGAGGTGACCCACCAGGTTGCAGTGAGGCGGCCAAGCCAAGTACAATTTGGCAAACCTTCGATCTTCACCCAAGTGTCCAAGGCTTCGCCTTGGAGCAAGGCCCCCTTGGGGCCACGCAAAAACACACGACATGCATAATTATAATCATGAAAAAATCTATAAAATATATTAAAATATCGCAGTTTCTGGTGGGTTATCCATGGTTATCCGATATTGAAACACAGACATGATCGAAATCCACAGCAAATCCAGGGTGCCCCGGCGACGCTTCAGGGTCCGAATGGATTTCTGGAGTTCCGTCCTCATTTCCAGAGAGACTTGGCACCCACTGAGATCCAAGACAAGTTCTTCCAGGCTGCGCAAGGACAATAAGGCCGAATTCAAAGATCCAAGATCTTCGAGCTGTGGCAAATTCATGAGCCTGCGCCGCAGCAGATGATTATGGATGAAGAAATGGCATGTTTCGCAACCCCAAGAAGATAGAAAGGTCATGAAAACATTCATTTGCCATCATGTATAATCTGTATACGTATAATAAGAATATAATAAGTATCTTAGTGGGATTTTTCTATAGGTTCTATCCTTCTGGGGCTTGCTAAAACTCGTTGTCTGGATGTTCAGTCACCACACTCATCGAAGGCTTTTCCAGAATTGTGAAAACTATGCCGCAATTTTATATCCCATGTGTTGCAATGGAAATAGATTGGGCATTTTTTTTCATGACTTGGCGGACCATAGTTCCAGGTACATGAGGCTCCCCATCTCTATCAATGCATCGGCAAGGCCCGCTGCAGTGCGGAGCGACAATGAACTTGTAAAACGCAACGTCAGCTGAACAAGGGACTGCAAACACCCCAAACTTGTGGCTGATGCAAGACCTTCCAAAGTCGTTAGACCAGAGAATCCAAAGTCCAAGCGCAAGACTCTCAAGTGTGTGGGGAGGTTGCGCATCAGAAGTTCAAGCTCGTTGTCTGAAAAATGGCTGCAACCTGTGAATGAGAGCTGCACCACCTTCCTACTGGCATCTGCCCGCAAAGCTTGCGCAAGCGCTTCTGTGTGTCTGCCTTCGACAACGAACCCATACCAGCTGGCCAAAGCAAAGTGTGAAGCAAGAGCTTCGTCAACCCGCAGAAAATTGGGATGCCTCGGGTATGGTTGAGCCCCGCGAAAAATGTGAAATCATATGAAAACCTCTGCCCAGTAATAACGTTTGGAACAGGTATGAAATATATATCACAGAAGAAATGATTGAAACCAGGGAGATTGAAATTTACAACAATAATGAACCGATCATAAACCATTCTATTCGGCAGGCGGCAAACCGCAATTTTTTGCGGTTGGACAAATGCCCAACGCAGGATGGATACCTTTAAAAACACCTTCAAAACACCAAGCAATATATTTCAAGGGCATGAAATCGTGGAAATCATATCTTTTGGTGGTTTGATGCCAATTCTTAAGGCATGGAAATTAGAAGCTAAATGGATGAAGGGGAAATCTGCGGGAAAACTCGGGAAAGCTCGGAGGAAACCCATGGTTTCCTGTAATCTTCAGAATAAAACGAGCCCGTTGGAACAAGTGGGTCTGTCAGGAAATATGGTCTCTCCAGATTTGATGCTTCATGATTCATAACAGTGTTCCCTATCAAAAGTTGCCATCAATTGCGCCAAATCCCCAATTTTCAGTCAGTCCCCAAATTCCATGATTGGTCATCATTTTTGTGATGGTGAAATTTCGTTAAATCACTCCAAGTAGCTTGCTTACAAATCCTATAAATCCATATAAATACTATTAAAATCCCAAATTTGAAACCACCAACTTGCCACGATGCCCTGTCGGATTGGATTCTGGATCTTCCAATTCACTGGTCCCAAGCCGCGGGAAAGCCACACTGTTCAAGATCCGAATCTTGTCGATGCTTTCTGTGGCATGCGCTGCCTGCCCAGATGGGGATAGATGGGGTCCGACAAACAGACCAGCAACAAAACTAAACCCCGTATTATTTTAAAGATACGCAAAACACACGTACTTCGAAGGTCTAGGTATAGACATTTCTCTCTCTCTCTCTCTCACTCTCTTTCTCTGCAGATTGGTGTCCCCAAATAATCACAAAACGAAACATCACGACTTGGGGATGGTTGAATTTAGTTACTATTTGTTTGTTTCGTTTCTTGTTAATTTGCAAACAAAACTCGGCTCATATCCGGATGGTTTTACATGTTCACATGAGTTTACAATCTGGATGGCTTAGTCATAAACCTTGAGCAACTATGAACTGGTTATCTCAGGTTAATTCTGTCGCTTACCAGAGTTTACCACATTAATTGCATGTTTCATTCTGTATCCATACGCGGCAACTCAGCATGTTTTCATCCAAGAAGAGAAATATTTCTTTGGTGGAGATTCGTCAATACTTGGGCATGGTTTGTAGGCTGGATTATGTCCAATGCCCCACTTGCCATTTTAAAAAAAATAAAAGCAACAAACGGTTCTATTTCTCCAAGTTTCTTCGATTTTTACCTTCAAACCCTTCTCCAAAAGCTCCACGGGAAAGCGCCGTTCCCGCACAGATTTCTGGTGCAGTGCCACAATGCCAATCATGCGATTTTCCGCTCCAGCCAAACCGTCAGTCAGCACGTGAGCCTCGCTTTGGTATGATTTGGAAGTCGGACCCAAGACGCGGGTGTGATCAGTTGCCAAACACATCCCAAAATTTTGGAAAAAATCATCCATTTGAACTGGTTCAAGCTTTGAATTTTGAAGGACCATGAAGGACCCAGGTCCTTATTTAGCTGGTTTTAGCCCAATGAGGTGGTTCCTTGCGGTTTGCGGCGCTACCCCCACTTGTAATAAGCTGCGGATTGTGATTGAACTCGGATGGCTAGCCTTTCAGGAACCTTTTTCCATTGAAATGAAAAGCAAACAAAACTGTTGCGTGATCCCACCAAACTGGGATAGTAATGCTAATGATTCTAAGGCATGCCCCACTACCAAACCCTGAAGATGGCGTTTTAACGTTTTGCGCGCACTTGGAGGATCATCCCATCTAGTATGTAGATGTATGGAACTAGTGAATGGGTGGATTTCTTACAGAGCAATGGTGTAGCGCAAGAAACAAAGGAAGTGAATTGTCTCCAAGTTTATGAGTTATTATTACGAGTTACAATATCATTCTGGTTTATACCAGGTAGTGCCCGGCCCGCGCCGGGGCGGAAGTTTCGAAAGAATTGAAACAACTGTAGGAAGAATGTGGTCTAATAGGTAAGTTTTTCGAGATGCAGAAGCATCCAAGAAGTGTTGAAGTTGTGAAATGCATCAACGAATGGGCAAATGGTTGTCGAGATCATTGAGGCGCCAATGAAATGACACGAAGGAATCTATGCGCTGTGCGCAGCTGACTGAATGAATCAATGAACCAGTGAAACCATGAATCGATGAGCCAATGAAACGATGAATCAGTGAACCGATGAAGGAACGAAACCACAAATCAATGAGTCAAACGATGAACCGATCAACCAACCAACCAACCAACCAATCAATCAATCAATCAATCAATCAACCAATCAATGAATCAAGGAATCAGTGGGTCAATGAAGCAACGAAGCAATGAGCCAATGAATCAATCAATGAGTGAAGTAGTGAGTCAATGAATCACTGAGCCATTGAATCAACCAATCAATGAAACAATGAATCCATGAGTCAGTGAATCAATGATTGAACCAATGAATCAACGAATCAATGAATCAATGAAACATCGAGTCAATGAACCAGTGAATCAATGAATCAACGAATCG